AAAACTTAACTCGTTTACGACATTTAAATAGCGTACTTGATTTGTTTTGCACATGCTGTTTGGCGCTGCTGCACTGTGACGTCACATAAACAACATTTTAAACGTCTGTACAGTGTTAATGACTGAAGTACAGATATTGGTGTTCGGATTCATTTTCTTAGTTAGACCTTTTTCTTTCATTCTAGATAGTGTTCACAACAAAATTCCACAAAAAATTGTTATTTTATTTATCTGATTTTTCTATTAAAAATGGCGCCCTCATTGTGAAAATACACAGGGAGATAATAAGAACGGCAAGTGCATTGTTGAAGAATAATGCACGCTTCGGGCCTTCTTTGTTTATACAGAAAAATTTCCGTGTTAGAATGATATTTTCACAATTTGCACTATTGTTTTAAGTTTAATGTAGTATTATCTTTTTCAGAAAAGGATATTTACAAAAACATTTGATGTGTTCATCATGTTCAACCCTGTAGATGATGGGTATATGCAAACATTAAAAAAGAATCTACAGCATGAAAAAGAAGACATTAAGTTGTATGCTAACACAAGTCATTTCAACGAGGAAAAAGTTTGGCAGGATGGTATATTTAAGACGATGGTGGCATGTAAACGGTATGTAATTGGTAGGATAATTGTTTTATGCAATTCTATTGACTAGAATAAGAATACAGGCTGGAGTGATATTGTACCCATTAAGTTGCATTTCTGCTGCAGTTTTAAAGTATTATTAACAATTCATTTTAATCTTGACTTTTATTAATAAAATTCCTTGACAGCAACAGGTCAAACAACCTGAACTTTAACATTTGCTATTATTTTTAGCTCACCTGTCACAAAGTGACAGGGTGAGCTTTTGTGATTGCTTTTCGCCCGGCGTCCGTCCGTCATCCGTCCGTCGTCCGTCCGTAAACTTTTGCTTTAAATGACATCTCCACATAAACCACTGAGCCAATTTCATCCAAACTTCCCAGGAATGTTCCTTTGGTGGTCACCTTTAAAAATTGTTCAAAGAATTTAATTCCATGCAGAACTCTGGTTGCCATGGCAACGGAAAGAAAAATCTTTAAATATCTTCTTTTAAACAACCCTAAGAGCTAGAGCTTAGATATTTGACATGAAACATCTTCTAATGAGTGTCTACCAAGTTTGTTTAAATAAAAGCCCTGGGGTCAAAATTGGCCCCGCCCCAGGGGGTCATTGATTTTCCCTATATGCATATAGTAAAAACTTAAAAAATCTTCTTTTAAAGAACTGTAAAAGCTAGAGCTTAGATATTTGGCATGAAACATCTTCTAGTAATGTCTACCAAGTTTGTTCAAATAAAAGCCCTGGGGTCAAAATTGGCCCCGCCCCAGGGGGTCATTGATTTTCCCTATATGCATATAGTAAAAACTTAAAAAATATTCTTTTAAAGAACCCAAAAAGCTAGAGCTAAGATATTTGGCATGAAACATCTTCTAGTGAGTGTCTACCACCAAGTTTGTTCAAATAAAAGCCCTGGGGTCAAAATTGGCCCCGCCCTGGGGGGTCATTGTTTTTCCCTATATGCATATAGTAAAAACTTAAAAAATCTTCTTTTAAAGAACTCAAAGAGCTATGGCTAAGATATTGAGCATCAAACATGTTCTAATAGGTGTCTACCAAGTTTGTTCAAATAAAAGCCCTGGGGTCAAAATTACCCCCGCCCCAGGGGGTCATTGATTTTCCCTATATGCATATAGTAAAAACTTAAAAAATCTTCTTTTAAAGAACTGTAAAAGCTAGAGCTTAGATATTTGGCATGAAACATCTTCTAGTGAATGTCTACCAAGTTTGTTCAAATAAAAACCCTTGGGTCAAAATTGGCCCCGCCCCAGGGGGTCATTGATTTTCCCTATAAGCATATAGTAAAAACTTAAAAAATCTTCTTTTAAAGAACCCAAAGAGCTAGAGCTAAGATATTTGGCATGAAACATCTTCTAGTGAGAGTCTACCAAGTTTGTTCAAATAAAAGCCCTGGGGTCAAAATTGGCCCCGCCCCGGGGGGTCATTGATTTTCCCTATATGCATATAGTAAAAACTTAAAAAATCTTCTTTTAAAGAACTCAAAGAGCTATGGCTAAGATATTGAGCATCAAACATGTTCCAATAGGTGTCTACCAAGTTTGTTCAAATAAAAGCCCTGGGGTCAAAATTGGCCCCGCCCCAGGGGGTCATTGATTTTCCCTATATGCATATAGTAAAAACTTAAAAAATCTTCTTTTAAAGAACCCAAAGAGCTAAAGCTAAGATATTTAGCATGAAACATGTTTTAATAAGTGTCTACCAAGTTTGTTCAAATAAAAGTCCTGGGGTCAAAACTGGGCCGCCCCAGGGGTCATTGATTTTCTTTATATGTGTAAAGCAAAAACCTAAAAATATCTTCTTTGAAAAAACCCAAATAGCTAGAGTTTAGATATTAAGCATGAAACATCTTTAAGTAAATATCTACTAAGTTTGTTCAAATAAGAGCCCGGGGGTCAAAACTGGCCCTGCCCCAGGGGTGTCATTGTTTTTAACTATATGTGTATAGTAAAAACTTAAAAAATCTTCTTTTAAAAAACCTAATGAGCTAGAACTTAGATGTTTAGCATGAAACATCTTATGGGTGTCTATCAAGTTTGTTCAAATAAAAGCCCTTGGGTAAAAATTGGCCCCCGGGGGGGCTATATACAGGTGAGCGACCTCAGGGCCATCATGGCCCTCTTGTTTAATTTTTTAATGAATTGTCTTCATAATTGGACACAACAACCCTTTGACAAGACCTTCATGTATATTGGACTTAACTTGATATCGACTTGTAAATGACCTTGACCTTTAACAACTATGTATTACAGCCTTTTGATATTTGGTAGACAGCCTTTGCACATGGCCCCATACAGTGGGATTCAATTTCAGGTCTGTAGTTCAGCCACTTCCTGTTTACCGACTTAGTTAAATTTTAGACTGGCGTGATGATTAGTTCAAAAAGACCTTGAGCTGGTCAGTCAATGTCAAATATGAATTTTATTTTTTCAAGAAATTAAGGTTTTATATTTTTAATATTCTCTCCCTCTGATGTGTTTGACTCTAATAATTAGAAAAAAAGTTTACGTTGGGCCCACTAGGTTGTGGCTCTTGTTTGTACTCGTCACCAGTGAAGTGACAGTTCTTAATTTACAATGTTGTTTAACCTTTTCCCTTATATAAGCGTGTTTCGACGGCTTTTTGCCCCCTTCCCCCTTTTGAGGCCTCAAACAGTGAAAAAATGCCCTATTTAAGCCCCAAACACTGTTTTTCAATTGAGAAATGTTGTTAAAAAAAGTGACCACTTTTTCGGCGGCGTCCCCCATCCAAATATTACATCAGGGGGTTGCCAGAAGGGGGATATGCCCCCTTCTGTTAGGGGGGTTTGAAGGGGGGCGGAGTCCCCCTCATCTCCAAGAAAATTTTGGACATGTGACAGGCTAAAAATGGCCTCAGGTCGATCTTAGGGTAACTAGTCACCGACGCTGAAAAGCCTTTTACTCTATTTCAATTCATTGAGAAGTTGCAGCACTTTGAAATCAGTTTTGATGGATAAAAACAATGCAAAATAGTTCTTTTTGGCAATTTTGAGATGTCCCCCCGTTGCCATGGTAACAGGAAATTTACTATTGAGCATGCTGTTACAGAGTCTATGATGTAGTCAACATTTGTGCCAAGTTTCATTAGTATTGAAACATTTTTCACAGTTGCATAGCAGTTTGAACTTGTTACAGGAGGCTTTTCAATGAAAACGGCCATTTTTCGCAATATGCTCATGGGGTAAAAGGTTAACAGAAAGAAACTAGATCATGTTTTTGTCAAGGTTTTGTTAAACTTACATATTAAATGAATTAATGTTTGACTACAGTCAATGTTGCTTTTTATTGATATTTTCTTATTCTGATTTCACCACCAAAATCTTAAAACACTATGAAAGTATATACTGATTGCATTGATTTATCATATAGTTGAACTTTATAATCTTTATCAGTGATCAGTGACATTCATTTAGAATTAATATATTTATTCAGATAATTTTTATAAATAAAATGACTCCACTGAGGTTTTTTGAAACAATGAGATTGAAATTTTTTTTTTATTTAAGATTAATTAACTATTTAATAAACGTCTGGAAAAACAACTTGTTTTAAGTAATTCACTTGCTCTATTTTCTCATATAAATTATTTTGATTCTAAAATTGATCAAAGTTTGAAAGTATTAACAGGTATTAATCTCAAATTGTGCTAGGAATCACATAGAAATATAATTTCTAATTAAGTTATAAATATATTTCTTTACTTTGCAGAACATGTCTGATGAGATGTAAATATTTATTTTCAGAATTGTAGCAATTTTATCACCAGCATTTCTAGAGAGTACAGAGTGTTTAGAACAGTACAATATGGCAATGTGTTGTAACAGACTTCTAGGAGCAGATGTTCTAGCTCCTCTCTATGTGGACACAATCAAATCTCTACCCTCATACATGGGGCTTGTACAATGGATAGACTGCAGGTTATTTTCATTTATGAATTGTCACTATTTGCACCTTCTTGGGTACTTTAGATTAAAAAATACAAAGGGTTTTTAATTTTATTTGCAAGGATGAAGGTTGTAGATGGTCAAGCCGGAACTTAATAGTGGATATTTGTTTGTATATGGTGAAAATATATACACCAGATGTAATATTTTCATGAGTTGCATAGTCATAAGTGAAAAAATTTTGAACTGGTGTTCATGAATGAGTTTTTGATTATGAATTTGATTTTACATACAAAACAAACATTTTTTTTTATTTATTTGATGTTTTTTTAGTGGTTTTCAGTCATTTTTACAAATTCTTGCCACATATGGACATGTGCTCTCATTCATGATTAATCACATTGTCACATTGTTGTTGCTGAAAAAAAATCGTTACAATCCTACAAATAGTGATGGTATGTGCAAATTATAATGTCCTTTTTATGATAAAGGAAACTCATTAATTCTCTAATTATAATATATAATAATATAATTCTGACAGAATTTTCCCTTATTTGTTATATATCTACATGTATATGTATTTTCAGTACATTCAAATGTAGTCAAACTACTGTGAAAATTTATTTTATAATGCCACTGTGAAATTATTAGAATATACTAGTAATTTTCACTGCCTACTGAAAAGCATGTAATAAAGCATTGTAAGCTGCTATTTGTCTATAATGATATATAATGGAAGCTCAAATGTTTATTTGATATTTATCTTTAGTTTTGTCAGTCACAATTCATAGCGTAATAGTAAGAGATATGATGTTATAATTTTAGAGTGAGGAAGGATGGTGATACAACAGTTGGTAAGATACAGTCTGCCTGTAAGAACATTATAATGTCCATAGAACAACATGATTCTGGAGACATCAAACAGTCAGCTTTAGAAACAAACAACAAGCAACAGAATGACAAGTTTGAATTTGATGTATTCATATCCTACTCACACAAGAACCCTCACCATGCAGAGACATTGCTTGAGTCCTTCAATTCTATTGATGCTGATTGTAAAGTGTTTTATGATCGCAGTGCTTTAACAACAGGTACGTTTTTGTGCCCCCACTTTAGTTGCGGGCATTTTGATTTACCCTTGTCCGTCCGTTCGTCCTTCCGCACTCACAGGAGAGTAATTATGTGGCTAGAGGGACAATAGGTAACTGTTCTTTCTCTTTGATGTCATTCATTCCGTAATGCTTTTATGTGGCTATTTTCTTTTGTGTGGCTAAAAAGAACAATAGAGAGAACAATAGAGTAGCCACATAATTACTGTCCTGTGAGAACGTCCGTCCGTCCGTTCACTTTTGTGTCGCATGTAACTCAAAAAGTATTTGACCTAGAGTCATGAAACTTTACAGGAATGTTGACCAGCATGTGTAGTTGTGCACCTTGGTATTTTCGTCTGGATATTTTTAGTATTTTTAGAGTTATTGCCCTTGACTTATTAAAATTTTGCAATTTTCGACTTGTGTCGCATGTAACTCAAAAAGGATTTGACCTAGAGTCATCAAACTTTACAGGAATGTTGATCAGCATGTGTAGTTGTGCACCTGGGTATTTTCCTCTGGATATTTTTAGTATTTTTAGAGTTATTGTCCTTGACTTAGTAAAATTTTGCAATTTTCAACTTGTGTCACATGTAACTCAATAAGTATTTGACCTAGAGTCATGAAACTGTACAGGAATGTTGACCAGCATGTGTAGTTGTGCACCTGGGTATTTTCGTCTGGATATTTTTAGTATTTTTAGAATTATTGTCCTTGACTTAGTAAAATTTTGCAATTTTCAACTTGTGTCGCATGTAACTCAAAAAGGATTTAACCTAGAGTCATGAAACTTTACAGGAATGTTGATCAACATGTGTAATGTGCACCTGGGTATTTTAGTCTTGATATTTTTAGTATTTGAAGAGTTATTGCCCTTGACTTAATAAAATTTTGCAATTTTCATCTTGTGTCACTTGTAACTCAAAAAGGATTTGACATAAAGTCATTATACCTTATGGGAAGGTTGCTCAGCATATTAAGTTTTGCACCTGGGGTTTCGCTTGTAGATTTATCCAGTATTTTTAGAGTTATTTCCCTTGACTTAGTAAAAACTGTTTCATTATGTTGTTATTTGTTCCACGAGTGCTTGAGTTAGAATCAACCAACTTTACAGGAATAATGATCAACGTCACTAAAATACAGGAAAATGATTCACATCACTGTGAAGCTATGCACCTGGGACTTTGCATGTGGATTTTTTCATTTTTGTTAGAGTTATTGCCCTTGACTTATAGTAGTATAAATTTGCAATTTTCAACTTGTTCATGCATAGCTCAAAAAGTATTTGACTTGCAGGCCTGAAAGTTTACACAAATGGTGGTCAGCATGTGAACTTATGCACCTTGGGGTTTGCTTGTGGATTTATTCAGTATTTGTAAAGTTCTTGCCCTTTACTCAGTAAATGTCATGTGAGGAAACTATCCAGCTAGCTTATGGAACGTCGGTGGTTCTACTCAGGTGCCAGTTCGTGCCTGAAATAATGCACGGAAGGGCACCTGAGGTCTTCCTCCACCAGTAAAGCTGGAACGTCGCGATATGACCTTTACTGTGTTGAAGTGACGTAAAACCCAAAACAAACAAACTTAGTAAAAGATTTTTAGTTTTCAAAAAATGTTTGACCTAGAGTCATAAGATTGACAGAACAGTGGCACGGTGTCCTATGGACACATTTCTAGTTCTCCTTTCATTTATGTTCCAGTGAATTGTAGCTCCAAACTACCCCTGGAAAACGGTGGAGTATAGCAAGAAAATCAGTCAAACTGTTACCTCTGTTACAAATCTGTTCCAAATCTGTTCCCTCACTGCAGGATCAATTGTTTAATTTTGGTGTCAAAAAAGTATAGATATGTCAAACTGGCAGTTTAACCTTCAGCCTGCTGGGAAAATCTGAAATTACCCAGACAAGCAATACATACCAAGACCAGGGAGTGGACACTCATAAGCTTTCATAGCTTTCTGCCCAATCCCATGTGTTGCGTAAAATAATGTTCATCATGCAAAAGTGTAAATATATTGAATAATTATGTTTAAACCAAGACCAGCTTACACATCTATGCCGTCCAATCATGGACTGTACTGCCTGTTATTCAAGTGGTACAAACTTTGAAATTTTCCCAAAAAATGATGAATGGTTTAGCCCAGATTGAAGTATGGGCAAGCCTGTTTAAGATATTTAAGGGAAATATCCGTTAACAGCTCCTGAGTTTTAATATAATCTTAATTAATAAAATTAAGCTAATTAAATATTAACTAGGTTTGAATTACAGATAGGAAAACTCAGTTATAAATATTTAACAAGGCTAAAGGTTAAATAATCATTTTCAGGTACCAATTGGCAGAACATGTTATATCAAAGTGTTGGTGAATGTAGATGTTTTGTTGCTTTAATATCACCAACTTACCTCACATCAACTGTATGCATGGAGGAATATAATCTAGCTGTAGCTAGATACATGTGCAAGGTATGTATAATAGATGTTTGCTAGTCTGATTTATTATCATCAACCCTGGAATATATATAGTTTATTTTTCCCTACCGGTTTAACCTGAGGGAACATTAGGTTAACCCTGCATCTTCTGAAATGTGTATAAACTAAGTATAAATTAATACCAGTGTAAATTGTCTTTCAGGATAAGGATTTAATGTTGATACCAGTGTGTATTGAGGGACTCAGTGAGGTACCATCATATATGTCTACAGTACAGATGAATGATGCCTCCGAGGATTATTCCAACTTTGCTACACAGCTTGCTACATCTGTTATTGAATGGCTCAAACTGACAGCTGATAAACGACCCTCAATGTATCGAGTACAGGTAACATAATTATCACCATAACTTTGACTTTTTGAAAATAAACTTCATTTGTACAATTTTTATTTTAAAAACCTTATATGTGAATAACAGAGCTTTCAATATACATTTTGTACTTTATGTAAATATTTTGATGTACCTATTTGAAATAGGTTAAATCTAGAATTATTATGCTTGGCAGCTTACAATTTAAAGCGTTTAGCCACATATTGTTTTACTTCATGTTAAAAATCAGTACTTGATACATTTGATGATGAGCCTTGAGGGTCAAGGGTTATGGGATTGCATTGACTTGAGTTGTAAGCCTTCTAAGACACATTATGACTTTTTCAGATGACTGTCACTCTTTGTATGAGTTTTAGATGGGAACTTTGAATAATCTTTACTTGTAAAGCCATGAGTACTTTTTCATTTCTAGGAAGCTATAGATATAGAGAGAATACTGTCTGCACGACGGTGTGAGGATGTAAAGATGCAGTACAAACTGATTGGATCTGGCGATGATAAACTCCTGGAAAGGATTACACCAGTTGTTGTTCCTAAGGAAGATATTGATGAAATAGTAAGTTTATACTCTGTCACACTTATTGAAATGTAAAGTAAAATCTAGATAAATACTCTGATAAAGAAATGTTTTAAATGCATACCCTGTGAAATCATTATTATTTGTGAGGGATTAATTGTTGTGAATTTCGTGATACAGGATAACTACAAAATTATATCCTGATGAAGAAATTGTGCCCAAGATAATGTTAAGTATACTCAATCAGTCAATATAATGATGATAGGGGTATGATTTAGTTCCTTGTTGCATACATCCTTCTTAGACAAGTTATGTGCGTATCTGCATCATTTGTGTACTTATGGATATTCAGTCAACATATGGATGTTCTGTCAACATATGGATTTTCAGTCCACATATAGATGTTAGTCCATGATAAACATAGAAAGGTATCAGAAACTAAACCAACTGATGAGTATTTCATACAGGGTTGTACCCATATTTTGTTTGTTTACTACATACATTCAAAATGAAAGTACACATCATCATGTGTCTGTCAAATATAGAGCCCCATTCTTTTTTTACCTGGCATTTGAATTTCATGAATTTGCAGCCCCATGAAATTGTTGGCAAACCACGAAATTCCATATCCTCAAATTTAATGATTTCACAGTCAATGTGTAAGAGTTTATGTTATTTAAGCTTATGTTGGACTAATGCATATACACATGTATTTTTTAAAAAAGATTTTTATGAATTTGTTTAATAGAAATATTGTCAAACATCAGTATAAGATGAGCAGTAGATAAAAATCATATATCAAGCATAATGCAGTAAATCAGAACATCTTTCACTTATTTAAAGGTGTCCTTAGCTGAGTGGTTAAGGTAATTTACTTAAAATCACTTTTCCCTCATCACTGTGGGTTCAAACCCATCCAGGAATTTTTTTTTGTGAGGAAGCTATACATTAAGCTTACAGAATATCAGTGGTGTTACTCATGTGCCCGCTCATGCCTGAAATTATGCATGGAGAGGCACTAGATGTCTTCCTCACCAATAAAGCTGGAAAGTCACCTTATGCTATCTACTATGATGGTGCGACAACTAAAACCAACCAAAGAAACAAACTTATTTATTGTAATCAAGTTAATTAATGGTTTAATTTCTGTTTAAGGACACAACAAAGATTGATATAGCAGTCAGTTATGCCAACGATGCTACCAACCTAGCCGGAGCATTCTGCGTAATGCTTGACAAGAAATATCCAAATTTAAACATGAGTGTATACTCACATGGTGATCAACAAAGATATAACTCCCTAGACACAGCAAAGAAAATTGTTTTATTTATTTCAAATGATTTTCTCAGGAATGAGCATCACATGCAAGAACTTCATCTTGCCCTCAGCAGACAAAGACCGTTAGTAACAAATGTACTGTACTTGGTACAAGCAACTGGAATTACTGGCAGACCTTTCTTCCCAAGGATATTACCATATAATATTTCAGTTACAGACATTGTCTGGTCTGATTTGGAGAAACAATGTTTCAAGGAAGTAAAAATCTGAGGTAAACAAAAGTGTCAGTGTTTTGGGAAACGACGTTATACTAGAGCATTCAAACAGGTTCTACTGCAGAAGAGCTGAATACTTTGCTTTATCAAAAGCTGTAGATGATGTAGTTGAGTCATTTGTTGAATTAAAGTAAGTTTATCAGATTATATTTTCATAATGTTCATTCTTTTGAATTTTGATGTATCAAAGGTCAAGGTCTCTTTGACCTTGAATATATGTCAAAATAGTTTCCAAGCAACAATATATGCAACTGTGACATACTGACAAGGGAGAAATGCATGTTTTACAAACATATCTTGTTTTTTTACATCCAAAAGATAACAATAATCAAGATTAATTCTCAATATTAATCTACTTTATTATGGCTCAGTGACATGTCCATAACCTATAAAGCATTTTAGTCTGGCCTTAAGTACACTCCCAAAATCTCGTGCCGGGAGAAGTAAGTCATTATGACGTAGCAAGTCCTATATAAAGGCGATCATTTCGGTATTCGCCCTCTTTTTCTCGACAAAGCAGTAAGCAAAAAACGTTAAAAAATAAAATCGACATGCCAGGGCGTGGTAGAGGTGCACGAGGCAGAAGGCGAACAAGGAATGCTAGCCATGGAGCAGAAGACAGCCAGCAGCAACAGCCTAAAAGACAAAGGGTCTCTTTTGATAACAACGAGGACAACGTGGATAGAGGTGAGTCGCATTCAGTTATTGATTTTGAACAAATTTTACGGGCATCTGACATCCTTCCACGTGGCGGCCACGTGGCATCAACTTCGTCTGCTTGTACATCAGATAGGCTATGCAGTGATGAGAATATCACTCGCCGCTCTACCGAAATTAGTTACGATAATGTAAATAATACAGAATTACAGGTTCAAAACAATGTTTCAAATGTCATTTCACCTCATCCTGTTGAATTACTTAGGCAAACTAGCGACGAAATCGCTATGCACGTACCTTCGTCTTTAAAACAACGTTTTTGCAAAGGCGAATATATTAATTTGTCTTTATTGTTAAAGGGTGCGGTGGAGTTTGGCCGATTATAATAGCGTTGGCACATTATATATTTCCAATACTGGTAAAATTGAGTCACGACAAAATGAAAGCAAAGATGACATAAATTCTATAGAAAGATGGGACTGACGCATTCATCATATTTATGGACATTTATCTTTCGGCTCATCCGCTAAAAATTCACGAGCTACTGCAATTTTTTTTCATTAAGAGAATGCGCATCAGTCCATGGTGGTACTTTCTGGAAAACTTACGACCAACAATTTAGAAGCCGACAGGCAATTAACACCTGTATCATGGTCTTATATTAACCCTATGATTTATGGTTACGTTGTATGCCCCTTCGTGGGAGAACAGAAAAATCATCCACAAATACTAAATTTCGAACAGAAAAAAACAGTCACGACCACAAAATATCTGCATTGACTTTAATAGAGGCCAATGCAAATGCCGAATTTGCAAGTATACACACGCATGTTATAGTTGTAACAAGGGACATCCATTTGTTAACTGCGTCCCTAATTCAAGGAAAAATTCCTTTCAGTGCAAATGACACGAACAGCGGGCAATTCAGTCCCCAACCTCGTGCGGCAGAAACGGACTCTTTTGCACGGCAAAAACACGTGGATCCTTTCGCCGCACAATTCCCTATACAAGACCGCATAGGAGCTACTATAGACGTTAATAACGGACATATCTACGATATTGCTTATTCGCCAGTTAAAATTCCAAAGTTTACAACAGTGGTTGATTAACTATGATTCTTCGGATGTTAAAATACTGTTAATGGGTTTCAAACATGGTTTTCGTCTAAATTACGAGGGCCCAAGGGAACCACGGCTTTGTAAAAACCTAAAATCCGTGGCCCAATATCCTGATATAAAGCGCAACAAAAATAGAAAAAGAAATAAAGGCAGGCAGAGTTGCCGGTCCTTTTAATTACTCCCTTTAATTAACCTTAAAAGTCTCGCCGATCGGAATTGTCCCAAAGAAAACAATAGGGGACTTTCGATTGATTCATCATTTATCCTATCCGGAAGGTTCGTCTGTTAATGACTTCATCGATCCAAAATTATGTGTTCAGTTAAAACACGGAATTTTGAATGAGGGCAATACACATGGTTCAAGAATCTAGGGTCAAAATTGTTACTTATTTAAAATGGATATTAAAAATGCGTTCAGACTGCTTCCTGTTCATCCAGACGATTTGAAACTACTGGGCTTTATGTTTAAACGGCAGTTATTATTTTGACAAATGCTTACCCTTCGGCTGCTGCATTTCACCTAGTCTGTTCGAAAAAATTTTCAACATTCTTGAAATACATTATTAAACGCAGAATTCCGAATAAGAAATTACTTCAAATTATCTCGATGATTTTTTAAGGGGGAGACACTTCCATTGAAGCTGTAAAAATAACATGAAAATTTTCTCGGAAAGTATGCAAGAAATCGGAGTTCCGCTAGCAGACGAGAAATCTGAAGGCCCGTGTCAAGTATTAGTATATTTAGGTCTTGAACTAAATTCCAGGCAAAATGTTAGTCCGAATTCCGGGGGAAAAAATACAGGAAGTAGTTGAAAAAATTCTCGCGACCCTAACAAAAAAGTCGGTAAAATTTAAAAAATATACAGTCATTAATAGGTTCCCTTAAATTTTGTTGCCCGGGCTATTGTAGTAGGCAGACCTTTTTTGTAGGCGTTTAATTGGACGCCACATGCGGGGTTAAACGCTCTTACCATCATAATCAGAGTAACAAATGAAATGAAAATGTGATCTGAAAAATATGGCTTGAATTTTTTAAGCATTATAACGGTATTTCAATGTTTCCATGATCGATTTTTGGATCTCTAACGATGATGAACAATTATTTACGGATAGCTCGGGCGGCATAGGCTTCGGTATTTGGTTTAAGGGGACATTGGTGCCAATGTAAATGGCCAATTTCGTGGAAAAGAAAATAGTTTGACAAAAGATAATTACGCTTTTGGAACTTTTTCCAATTGTTTATCGCTACAGTCCTTTTTCGGCTCAAAAATTAAAAAAACAAGAAAGTACGCCTTTAATTGCGATAATCAATCGGTGGTGTGCATTTTAAACACGATGACTTCGAAGTCCCCCCTTATATTATCCTTAGTTAGGATACTAACCATGCAATGCTTAAGGCACAATTGCTTGATAAAAGCGTCTCATATCTATGGAACGCCGTGACTGTCTTATGCTATCAATATTTTTGCTATCTTCTGAAATGATGCTATTATTTTGTCATTTTAGCATATTAACATGTGCAATGTACATCATATCTTGTCTACAGACAATGCTGACTTGTTCAAACAGCATCTTAACTTGTCAAATAATCATTATGACATGTGCAGACAACATATTAACTTGTCAAAGTATCATGATGACTTGTGCAAACGACATGTTAACTTGTCAAAATATCGTGATGACTTGTGCAAACGACATGTTAACTTGTCAAAAATTCATGATGACATGTGCAAACAGCATGTTAACTTGTCGAATTATGGTGATGACATGCTCATAATACCTTAACAAGTTAACATGTGTTTTACACAAGTCATCACGATTCTTTGACAAATTAACATGTTGTTTGCACAAGTCATCATAATAATTTGACAAGTTAACATGGCATTTGCACAAGTCATCATGATAAATTGACAAGTTAGAATGGAGTTTGCACAAGTCATCACGATACATTGACAAGTTAACATGCTGTTTGCACATGTCATCATGAAATTTTGACAAAATAACATGTCGCTTTCACAAGTCATCATGATACTTGGACATGTTAGCATGTTGTTTTCACATGTTATCACGATGATTTGACAAATTAACATACTGTTTGCACATGTCATCATGAAATTTTGACAAGTTAGCATGGCATTTGCACAAGTCATCATTATACTTGGACAAGTTAACATGTCGTTTGCACAAGTCATCATGATACTTGGACAAGATAACATGCTGTATGCACATGTTATAACGATAGCTCGACAAGTTAACATGCTGTTTACACATGTCATCATGGATTTTTGACATGTTAGCATGGCATTTGCACAAGTTATAATAATATTTTGACAAGTTAACAGTACGTTTTGACATGTCAGCATGATACAAGACAACATGTCATTTGCACAAGTCATTACGATAATTCGACAAGTTAACATGTCGTTTGCACAAGTCATCATGGAAATTTGACATGTTAACATGCTGTTTGCACAAGTCATCATGATACTTTGACAAGTTAACATGCTGTTTGCACATGTCATCACGCTAATTCGACAAGTTAACATGTCGTTTGCACAAGTCATTATTATACTTTGACAAGTTAACATGGCGTTTGCACAAGTCATCATGACACTTTGACAAGTTAACATGCTGTTTGCACATGTCATCACAATAATTCGACAAGTTAACATGTTGTTTGCACAAGTCATCATTACATTTTGACAAGTCACCATGTCATTTGCACAAGTCATCATTATACTTTGACAAGTTAACATGTTGTTTGCACAAGTCATCACGATACTTTGACAAGTTAGCATGTTGTCTGCACATGTCATCATAACAATTTGACAAGTTAACATGCTGTTTGTACAAGTCAACATGTTCCTTTGACAAGACATGATGTAAATTGCACATGTTAACACGTTCAAACGACAAAATAATATCATCGTTTCACAAGATAACAAAAACATTGATTACATAAGACAGTCACGGCGTTCCATACATATCGCTGGGTCAAAAAATAATATTGCCGATGCACTCTCTCGATTTCAGAACCAAAAGTTCAGAGAGCTAGCTCCACAAGCGGACACAACCATGACTCCAATGCCGGACCATCTATGGAATATATTCAGCTTAGATCTAGACAACTGGTATACACGGGGATTTCCTCTAACACTCGATTAGCATACAATACAGCAATTAATACTTTCAATTCATTCAGAGGGTTATATAAGCTTCAATCCGTATGGCCCATACCGCTACAGCATATAATGTGGTTTGTTACCTACTGCTTTGAAAAACTCTACTCACCGAGAACAATTACTACGTATATCTCGGGTTTATCGTTTCATCATAAAAAAAATGGATGGTACAATATTAGCGACGTATTTTTGATACGTAAGATTCTTGAAGGTTGCCGCAGAGCCAGACCATCTATTTGACAAGAGGGCTCCAATTACACTTTTTAATATTACATGCAATCTGTAATGTTTTACACGCTGTTACAAATAATGAGTTTGAAAAAACCGTCTCTTTAAGACTATGTTTACGCTAGCATATTTTGGCCTTTTTTAGAATAAGCGAATTGGTTGCGACTCGGACAACGAATAGAGCAGTCGGGTTTTCCGAGGTCAAAATAGCAAATGACAAGAAGTCTGTTTTCATTACTTTAACAGTTTAATAAGAATAATCAGTATGGGAAGCCAGTAACGCTAAAGATACCGTGCGAGGGCAGATATTTCTATATGCCCAGTCTGTAGTTTACGCTCCTATCTAGCTGTTAGACCAGATATAAACGGACAATTCCTTTATTCATATGAATGGCACCCCTGTAACTCGCTATCAATTTTCTGCGGTGCTTCAAAAGAGTTTATCTCGAACAAAATTTGGGTCAGAAAAATATAAAAGCCATAGCTTTAGAATTGGTAGGGCTACTCAACTAGCTTCGTCTGGGCTGCGGAAACGGAAATAATGAAGTTGGGCCGTTGGAAACTCGACAGCTTATTTAACTTATATAAGAGTAAACACACAAATTAGAATATTATTTATAGGGCACTTATCATTTCATTCCAGATATTTGGTTTCTTGGGGATTCATTACCATATTGGGCCGGCGTCAGAGCGCAGTTCAGAAATATACCCAATCTAAGTCTTCCCGACGGACATAGCATTGCTTGGTGGGGCATTCGAGGAATTGGGATGGGAAGATTTCATTCATTGTGTCCAACTACCTGTGGTTTTTCGAACACCGCCAAAGGTTGTATTTTTTTTCATTTAGGCGGCAATGACCTTACTAAGCATTCATTACGCTTCATATTTAAAAATGGTGCAGGAAAGCATCCAATATATTACATCCGCTTTTCCCCGACTCCGAATTCCGTCTGGGTCGATATTTTGCAGCGTATCGATTGGGGTGTTGGAAATGACGAAAAACGTCTTATAGAAAAGAAAAGAAAACGCGTAAACAATTTGGGCGCAAAATAATTAGGCTAACAAAAAAACCATCATTGTATACGTTTCGATATCGACGAAAGTACACCGGGATTTTTTAGGAGCGATGGCGTTCATCTATCCGACGTCGGCCTTGATATGTACATTGACACAATCGCGGGAAACTTTATTGAAAATATTGTAATAAGAATTTTGGGGAAATAAATAATAATTTATTCTGTGGCGGAAAATTCTTTTTATTAGGTGCGACCAGGAGTCACTTGCTACAATTTGCTAGTGTCTTTCATACAGGGAGATAAAAAATTCACATTGCATACCTATGGTCGTGGAATATTCCATAGTGGTTGTCTGTGGGTAGACTGCGATCTGTAGGATTCAAAATTACTTATTTGGTTTAAATGGGCCTTCAAGAACTGGCCAGATAGCTATGACTAGGCGTTCTTTGATGAGCTCTTATTTTGTTAGGCCTATCTTATGTTAAGCACTGTATAACTATGTTGCACTGGTGGTTATATCAGGTACTGCGGAGTACCTTGCTTGCTGGTTATATTAGGTACGGCGGAGTACCTTGCTTGCTGGTTATATTGGGTACGGCGGAGTACCTTGGCTACTGGTTATATTAGGTACAGCGGAGTACCTTGGCTGCTGGTTATATTAGGTACGGGCGGAGTACCATGTTTGCTGGTTATATTGGGTACGGCGGTGTACCTTCTTAGCATACTATATATATCGCCAGGCGGCGGCTATCATTACAAAATAATAGTGCAATAGGGGTAGGATCTATTTGGGCGTACGGCATATCGCTCCTGGTCGCACCTTTTATCTCCTATAGTGGTAGTCTGTAGGTAGATCAATTTAATCTTCATTAGTGGTTGTCTGATGAAGATTCATCGCGCTGTCATGACCGATTCCGCCCATTTTTCACAAACCAACTGAAAATACTTAATAATATGTTTTTATTGATGAAATGTCTGATGACGTGCCTCGTTACATAAATAGAATATAAACAGTTTGTTGTTTGTTTGTTTGTTAACTATAAACTACTGAGTCCTAGAATAATCAAGATTAATTCTCAATATTAATCTACTTTATTATGGCTCAGTGACATGTCCATAACCTATAAGCATTTTAGTCTGGCCTTAAGTACACTCCCAAAATCTCGTGCCGGGAGAAGTAAGTCATTATGACGTAGCAAGTCCTATATAAAGGCGATCATTTCGGTATTCGCCCTCTTTTTCTCGACAAAGCAGTAAGCAAAAAACCACCCACCGCACCCAGAGTATCATGTTATCTTTTTTCATATCTTAGTATTTGATGTTTTATGAAATTGTTGAAGTCCAAATGGTGCTGCTTAGCTTTTATATTTCAGTATGTTTCTGGCTGCAACTGCGCCCGTACTGCTGACTTTAGGGAGGCACGCTAAACGTTAAATGGACGAATATACACAATGAACAGCCATGCCGGAGTTCCATAGCAGCATTCACCGGACTGATTGTACTAACGACTTGTGTAAAACTATCCTAGACAAGGATCAATAATGTTTACTATTTGTACATATGTGTTTATTAACAATATACGCCGGGATTCAAGAATGAACAAACAATTTGAACAAAGTGCAGCACCCTTTGGTCGGAGAGTACTAACGGACTTTGTTAATTATAATTGTGTAAAATCGAGCGTGTTAAAGCATCCTAGACAAGGATAAACAGTTTATTTCAATACATATGTGTTTAATTACAAACTTAAGTTGGAGACAGGCATATATATTAACAGCGGTTACAAAACAATAGTTTTCATACTTTATTTTATTGTTATGACAGCGGAAAATTCTTTTTCTTAGGTGCGACCAGGAGTCACTTGCTACAATTTGCTAGTGTCTTTCATACAGGGAGATAAAAAATTCACATTGCATACCTATGGTCGTGGAATATTCCATAGTGGTTGTCTGTGGGTAGACTGCGATCTGTAAGGATTCAAAAATTACTTATTTGGTTTAAATGGGCCTTCAAGAACTGGCCAGATAGCTAGCTATGACTAGGCGTTCTTTGATGAGCTCTTATTTTGTTAGGCCTATCTTATGTTAAGCACTGTATAACTATGTTGCACTGGTGGTTATATCAGGTACTGCGGAGTACCTTGCTTGCTGGTTATATTAGGTACGGCGGAGTACCTTGCTTGCTGGTTATATTGGGTACGGCGGAGTACCTTGGCTACTGGTTATATTAGGTACAGCGGAGTACTTGGCTGCTGGTTATATTAGGTACGGCGGAGTACCATGTTTGCTGGTTATATTGGTACGGCGGTGTACCTTCTTAGCATACTATATATATCGCCAGGCGGCGGCTATCATTACAAAATAATAGTGCAATAGGGGTAGGGATCTATTTGGGCGTACGGCATATCGCTCCTGGTCGCACCTTTTATCTCCTATAGTGGTAGTCTGTAGGTAGATCAATTTAATCTTCATTAGTGGTTGTCTGATGAAGATTCATCGCGCTGTCATGACCGATTCCGCCATTTTTCACAAACCAACTGAAAATACTTAATAATATGTTTTTATTGATGAAATGTCTGATGACGTGCCTCGTTACATAAATAGAATATAAACAGTTTTTTGTTTGTTTGTTTGTTAACTATAAACTACTGAGTCCTAGAATAACCACAATTATTCTCTCTGTTTGTTAGTATGGACCAGGGAACAATCTCATTATGACTTAAAAATTATAGGAAGCTTTTTTAAAATACAATTTAATAAAACTTGTTTTAGTAATATACATATTATTTCAACCTAGACAAAGAACCTTGAAATAGAGGACCAAGAAACATAAATGCCATATCCTAATCAATGTGCACTCCCCTAACTAACAAAATTGTGTAATATTAAGTAGCTTACTTCACTAAAAGTCAAACACATATACTTTCTTAGTTTTATAGATATTTAATGCAACCTTTTTGCATTTATTTCACTTCTTCATTTATGTTTGTCAAATCTTTCAGGGATGAAAAGAAGAGTCTTATTCCAATGTTGCTTAATGTCAAGGCAATTGAAAGTGCATCTCAAACAGCACTCACATCCCATCAGAATCTCAAAAATGGGCATATATCAAATTCTGATTTGGATGCAGTTATTATAGATGGCAAACAAGCAACAGATATAACAAATAATGAACACAAAGATAAATCTGTGACAGCAAATGACAATCACAGGGATAAATCAGCAAATGACAATCCCAGGGATAAATCTGTGACAGCAAATGACAATCACAGGGATGAATCTGTGACAGCAAAGGACAATCCCGGGGATAAATCTGTGACAGCAAATGACAATCCGAGGGATAAATCTGTGACAGCAAAGGACAATCCCAGGGATGAATCAGCAAAGGACAATCCCAGGGATGAAAATGCAACAGCAGATGACAAATATAAAGATGAATCTATGACAAAAATTGACAAACAAAAGGATGAATCTGTGTTAACAAATGACAAAGTAAGGGATGAATCTTCAGCAACAAATGAAAAAATCAGGGAAGATTCATGTTTGAAATGTGAAGATGGTAAATCTAACAAAGGGAAAAGCAAATCTTGCATCTTAATCTGATTATATTTTTTTAAATGTAAATTGACAGGGTGCAGAGTAGAACTGCAGACATTCAGTGCCTCTTCATATGAAATAACCTCAAGTCCCTTGCAGGATTTGAACAAACAGTAGTGAGGGGTAAATAATTAGAAGTCAGCAATATTACCTTTTTCTCTGTAGACTGCCTTTGTCTCTTTAAAATGGTATAGTCCTTAAAAACTATCAACAGAATCAAAGATAGATAAGCTTTTAATAAGTTTATTAATATAATAGTGTCTTCTCATAAACATATCAAAGTTCATTTTTAATTAACAATGTATGACAAAATGTTAACTTTGTTGACTATACTGGCTTTTGATATTTGTTAATTCTAATGTGAATGATTACTGGTTTTCAGAAACTTTCTTGTTACTTTAAATTAAAACAATAAGAGCAAATAAAAATTGTGCGTACATTACCCATAGGATTGATTATATTTTTACTTGAGCATTCCATGAATTTTATAATTATATCTTTCAAGAAGCAACAGACTAATTGTTAGTTTCAGGTATATGTAGTTTTATTGTTTAGACTTAGATATATGTTTAAGATAGTAATTTAGGATATAGGATTATTATATGATCTAATTATACAGCTGCAATCGCATTGGATAGCAGAACAATTTATAAAATCATATTCACTGGCTGAATGAGATTTTCCCAATCTAAAAATAGAACGATACTCGTATTCAATGGCCTTGTACATCATAGACTGTTAATTATACATGTGCAAACTAAATATAATTGTTGCGTTTTGTTCTTTATGGCAAAATTTTTTTACATTGAATTATCATCATTTTTCTATAATAGTTTAAAGTTTCACCCCTTTGATGAATATAAATTTGAATTATTTTGATTTGCACTGAACATTTCCGTAATTGTTGAATGCCTGATGTTATCTTTTTTTTACACAGTTACATGAAAGAGGCTTTTTGTGATTTTTTAAAAGAATCTTAGCTCATTTATGTAATAAAACAATTTTTGACTAAGTGAACCATTGAATATATAGAGGATATTGATTGAGACTGTAAGTTCAATACCGAATTTATTGCATGAGTTGAATAAAATTATATTATGCGAGCCTCTGGTGAGCATAAAATTATTTTATTAAACGAGTGCAATAATTTCAGTTATGAACTTACACGAATTTAATATTCTATTTATCACATACCCAAAATAAAGACCATTTAAAGTGAAATAAGAGTCATTTTTCATTGAAGCGCCTACAGTATAACGCTAACATTTAGCGCGTCTTTACACTATGTTTGTATAACGCTAATGTCGTCACGTCAAAATATATGCACGGCCGTGCAATACCATATTTACGGAGTCGCAAAATCGGCACGGGTGTGTGATAAGATGTGATATTCACCGGCACAAAATCATATTGACCTCGGCTATCGTCTCGGTCAACATGTCACATGCCGGTGAATATCACATCATATTTAAAGATTGGCTCACTTAAGTCAATAATTTTGTTATATAATCCACATTAAGATTATATATGAAAGCATATTAAATGATTGTTTTATAGTGTTATATCCTCATATTGGACATTAGCAATAAGTTTCCTTTAATCTACAATATATTTGCATTTGATACTTGTGTTTAAAAGTTTATGTAATATCATGTTTATGTCAAATTGACCTTGAACTTTATATTACCTGAACCTTTATAATTAAAGTTTTGGAATTTTGTCCATAATTTTGTATCAATATTGTTGCATTTGGTAATACAAATGTTACACAAATAGTGAAGTGTGGCCTGACTGTTCTTTAGGAATAAAGGCTGTTTGCCGGTATTAATATCACATTTAGTGATAGTTCTAATTATAAACTGCTATTGTCTTGGTTTCTTTGTTTTCCTTTTTCTTTGTCAAGAAAGGGATGTATGTTAATTAGATAATATACAGGGATATGTTTCTAAACTGTGATATTAATTTATTTTGTTAGTATTCTATTTGTTATACATTTATATTTACTTTATTGTTTTGATTTTATTCATTACCAATAAACTTTCTGTATAAAATTTTATTTCTTTCACATATTTCTTAGCCATTGTTAGCTCCACTTTTTAAAGAAAAAAAGTGAAGCTATAAGCAATTGTCCCACTGGTCATAATGTCATTATGTCAGTGTTGACATTGATTAGCCTTATATGTATATAGTAAAAAATTAAGAAAAAATCCTTGTGAAAATCCAAAAGAGGTAGAGCTTAGATATTAAGAGCATGAAATATAGTTCTAATGGGTGGTTACCAAGTTTGTAAAAATTCTCCTGTGAGAATGCAAAAGCACTACATATAGATTACATATTTGGCATGAAACATCTTCTAGTTGATGTTCACCAAGTTTGTTCAAATTAATGCCCTAGGGTCCAAATTGGCCTGTCCCAAGGGTTATTGATTTTCCTTATATGTATATAGTAAAAACTAAAAAAAATCTTCATAAGAAATTCCAAAAGAGTTAGGGCTTAATAGATATTTGGCATGAAACATCTTGCAGTGGATGCCTACCAAGTTTGTTCAAATAAAAGCCTAAGGGTCAAAATTGGCCCCGCCCCAGGGTCATTGATTTTCTTTATAGTAGAAACTACAAAATCTTCTTGTGAAAATCCAAATTAGCTTGAGCCTATAGATATAATGGCATAAAACATCTTCTAGCGGATGTCTACCAAGTTTCAATTGAAAGCCCTAGGGCCTCTCTGTCCTATTTTTTTTAATCATTTGATCTCCAGAATACCTTTTGTTCTCTTAAAAAGAAATAGTGTAATACTTGCAGTGATAGAATATATTTTGTATACATTAGATTACTAATGTAGCAAAAGTCTCTTTTTGTAAGTTTTTTGTCTTTCCTGTATTTAGATTTCTTTCGCTTCTGAAAAGTATGACAAGCGGTTGTTATTGAGCGTTTGTGTGACAAAGCTGAAAGCGCGGACTTGTTGGCATTTCAGTGATTCAAAATAACTTCCGAGGTTTTAGGTTAATTATGGCTTCTTTTGTCGCTGAAGTGTTGACATCTGCTGGTAATAAATATTTCTTTTTCTTCCGTTTAATATCATACCTTACGTTGCACGTTACCGACCACAGGCACGAGTATCGGACCTACCAGCTTGATAAATAAATGTGTCAAAAACAAAAATTGTGAAAATTATATGAGCCCCCTTAAAAATATATCTTGTCGTATCGAAAACCCGTCAATCCAGGATACTTTTAGTTAAGAGAAGGACGGAAATTCAAGATTCGAGTCTACGTTCATTTGAAAACAATTGTCAAGACAAATAAAAAAAACTTTCATCACTATTTCACGTTTGTATTAAGCTTCCAAAGGAGACCGACCCGAAGTTTTTACCCCTTCCTGTTCATAAAATATATCTTATTTGGGGGAAACAAGGGCATTCATGCTAAAAATTCTAGGTAGACAAAATTGCGACACAACAATTCTGTACGTTAACACAGACCAATACAAGTTTGTCAGCCTAGTACAGGCCATAATAACTCGAATTATTAAATTACATTACTAAATAAGTTAAATGGGACCACTCACAACCGTCAGTAGCATCTGATACATGCGAGATTTGAGTTTGGCTATATCCTAGAATAGATCCCAGGGTCTAAACCTAGTCCAACTAATTGTACTCCGCGGCGAGATATTGTGCTATTTTCGTGTCTGGGCAATATCTCGCCTCTACGTACAACATAAAAAGTACCTTTTCTGTGGTGAAATTTGCGCCGGGATTTTGAGCGCAAGCTTTGGACCGTCTAAAATCGTATTAGAAATCATATTTGAATAAATTTGTTACGATACCTTTAAAGATTATTCATTTCTACATCAATTTCATGTTTTATTTGTGAAAATATTCCTAACATAAAGACTTTAATAGAAAAGTAAACACATGAACCATCAAAATAAAGACATCGCCGCTAATGTCACGTGACAGATACACTGTTGATTACTACACTGGTGTGTATGCGGTACTGCGTAACTGAGAAACGCCGAAACACTCTTAGTAAAGTTATATTTAAGACATTTATTTATGCAAAAAAAATAATACATGTAACTATAAAAGGATGAAAATATTATTTTATTGGGGCAGATGCAAAACTTATTCGTTATTGTCAGAGCGTTCTTAGAAATATCAGAATCATCATTATCTTTTTAGAAAAGCTACTACTATGTAAATGGACTCCTCACAAAATATTTTCTAGTTTATAAAAAAAAATATTTTGTTCAGCTTTCCCAGTAAATATAGGACATGGGACCTATTGGTAACAATAGATTTTTTTCCCCAAGATTATGATGAAAATAGGAATATGTTGATAGCAGAAACACGAGGTTTATATGTTTAAAGAGCAACGAACGGATTCCTAGTGCCTTAGCGACTATGAGAGGACGCCATTCTAAGGAATTTGACAGTCTGTTATTTATATAATGTTGATTAACTATTAAACGATATTTTCAATGTTTAAAATATTTTTTATCAATAATAAAACGAATAAATGTCAAACGCGGTATAAAACGAATAAATGTCAAACGCGGTGCCTCGACATTATACATGTATGTTCCATGTAATTTTATTATTTTTTTTTTTTATCCACGCAGGTCCATAATTCTTGCTAGTTTATTCCAAAAAGCTTTCTGAAGATGTTTATAGAAAGAAAAACACACACACGCACACACACGTAGGTATGAAATTGTTTTAAAATGACCGTGCTACAGGGAAAAAATACTCTGAAATTTATTTCATGAAACAGGACTGGTGCCCGCTTCATTTTTTTTGTTGTTGTTGTTTTTTGTTTTGCAATAGACTTTCATAATGTTGGTATACAGTAAAGATTTATTCCATATATTTCACTTTTATGCCGTTTAAGAAATTATTTTCTTTTATAAAATACACGCATGGCGAAGTGCGATGCGGCTTTTTTACAATGTCACATAAACAAAACGCTGTGCCGCTAATTTCTTTCACAGAGGTGTAGGGTGTGGAGCTCAAAACGATTTTAAAATAAAGAAATGCATATTTGTCAATCCCAGCACATGTACTGATCATGTATATATATATATAAAAATACTTAATATAAGCCGTTTTGAAAAAAAATCATATTTCAACGTCTATAATAATACACAAGATAAAAATGTTCGCCGGAAAAAAATCCGCACACCTACCGTCAAAAACACCATGTATTTTATTCCGTTTCCAATATTTTCACATAATCCTTTGGCCCACAGACACAGAAGATATAATTCTTCATGATGATGGTCAATTTTAAACTTCAACATCAATATAAACAACGCAGCAGCCGAAATAAACATCGAGATTATCGCCGTTTTACTCCATTTACAAAATCTTTCGACAAATTCAAACGTGGCACCCCAACGTTGACAAATATGTTTCATTTGGATTTTAAAGGCGTTTTGAGCTCCACACCCAAAGTGTCTGTGATTTCTTTGATTCTTGTCCAATCTTATAAGATTTAAGGGTTATGCAACACGTTTACTCATTTTAAACAATAATATATGATACAGATTGCTACTGCCCCAAGTATTCAAGTTGTTGCTTTGGAAAACGAACTTTATCTTGCGTTAATTCATAGCCGGGAAAACATACCGTGGAAACTCGTGACCGTAACACATTTAAATTCTTACCACCGTTTAAACAATTTTCATAAATGAATTATAGAAATAAATTTAAGCATAAGATTATCGTCTTTAAAATGAATCATCAAGTATATTTATAATTATAAATTGAAAAATAAATACATGTTATTAAAATCTAAAAATAACTTTTCTTTACAATTTGAACCATGTCAGCATGGAAAATTGTTTTAACTGATTCCGGATAGGAATCACGGCTCCAATTTAAATACTTATCTATAAATCAAATTTATTTAAAACTTAATCTTATAAATTTTAAGTTGTCACAAAGAATTTAAGTAAGGAAGAAACAGAACTGTGCAGTGTCAACATTTCCGAACTGTATATTGGTCAGCGTACCGGTGTCGGCGTTGTGGAATAGTTGACACGTAACGTTTCAAAAATAAATACATGGTTGAATATAATGTCTATACCGGAACAAAAACTTTTCTGGAACATCGCTTAAACAACGCCCAAATATCCAGGCCATTACGGCATGCTATGATTATAGTCTTTTATTACACGGATAAATGGTACACGCAGACAAACGAAATATGGGCGCTCGGAGTAACGAATTTTACTTTTCTGAAAACTGTTGAGGAATGAAAAATTAACGCAAGAATTTACCATTTGAATTCAAAAAATCTTTCATAGCTTAATGCACGTTTGGAAAACAAAACTTTCCTAGGGAAGGAGTTGCTGATTTTAATACGCAGCAAGTTGTAACTAACATAATTATTCTAACATAGAAAATACTACAGAGTGGTGACAATATAAATCTTAATGAAAATACAGTATTTGTCTATCCTTTAATAAACATGTTTATAAAAAAGAGGTCTAAATCAAAAGTTTCTCCGCATCATTTTAAAGATTTCAAGCAATTAGAAAAAATAGTTAAAGATTATTTCCTGGCGATTTATTTTAATGTAGCAATAAATATAATTAATAATAACAACATTAAAGAATAATAAGCACCGTTTAACAGTTTTTCATATTTTTTTTGCCACGCAAAAAAAAAATGACAACATTCACGCGGCACGGTACCGAACAATATCGATTTTTAGCGTACATGTTACATTACTGTAGCAACATCACAATATGGCGGCGTTGGTACACAAACGAGACGGTGAAATGAAACTAACGTGGTTTACTTTCTTCTAAGTTGATAGTCTAGCACTTTTTGAGCTGTTGATTCCTTAAAATTGTATTGTTGAATAGATTCTAAGTTTAAATTGTCTGCATTTTTACATTAACATCGAAATCCACGTTTCACCACAGAAAGGTCTCCTTTTGGTTTTGACGTTAAAGCGAGATTCTGCCCCAGAACGAAAATATCTCAGAATCAAGCTTTGTCACGTCAATATATTTTGACTAGGTCTAAACCAGGAGTAAATATAAGGTTCATTCCGTTTTCTACAGTGTGTTATATACAATTTTTACTTCTGAAATATACAAAGGGGTCTAATCCAGGAGATTGCCCGAGTTTCAAACCTCTACACAGTCTTTCGATTGCTTTCTACGCAGTAATTATAGAGTTATTGCCCTTTGTTACATGTACTTTTCAGTTGCTTTTTTCTTGTCTGGAGCATAACTTGAAAACCACTAGTTGGAATTCAATACAACTTCATACATTGGTCAAGCACACTGAAAGAATTTGCATTGCACAAGAACCATAACTGGATCTTGACTAATGACAGAGTTAGTCATTCATTACTTTTTCTTGTCCAGAGCATAACTTGAAAACTTATGGTTGGAATTCAATGCAACTTCATACAATGGTCAAGCGCAATGAGAGGAAGTGCAATGTACAATAACTACAACTTCTTCTTCAGTATTTGCGTTATTTGAGTTATTGCCCTTGTTCGGTGCATACGTAAAAACTAATATTTGGAATTGAATGCAACTTCATACAATGGTCAAGTGCAATGAGAGGAGGTGCAGTGCTCAAGAACCGTAACTCTGTCTGGACTTATTACAGAGTATTTCAATAAAACTTTATCAATTGTCAACCACAGTGAAAGGAAATGCAACATACAAGAACCACAACTATCTTTAATTGCCCACAACCATAACTCTATTTCAATTCTTCTACAAGGTATTCAGTAATTCTGTTACTAGTAACTTCCTCATTTCCGAAGCAGACTTGCGGGGTATTAATCACATTTAGTGATAGCTCTAGTTTTGTTTAAAGGTCAGCTAGAGACACAGGAGGCTTCTGCCAAGCTGCATCAACTTTCCAAAAAGATTGACAGTCTTAAGTTAGAGGTATATGAGATCACCAGCAACAAATACACCAACTTTCTTCCCCAGCTGCATAATACAGAACAACTTGTAAATGATGTTGAGGCTGTTAAAACAGAGATGGATGATATTGCCAACAGGATTGAGAATCAGGTAATAATATAAAATACATTGTCACACTAATTAAACAAAAATAGATGCTTATTATTACTAGTACTTAAAAGGCACATAAACTCTCAGAAATTAGTACATTTTTTTCTTAAGAAAGTGCAAACATGTGTTTATACTGTTCTGAAAATGTATTTAGAACATATTTGATGACCGTCATTTGAAGAAAGTAGTGTTGAATGTGATATTTTTCATAAATATAGTGACATGTTGAGATGTAAACCAAGTTGTCTTGCATACAAAATACTAAAGCACTTGAACTACATAATTCTAATCTGCAAAGCAACATAAAAAGCAAAAGATGGTTAAGTGATATGATCAATAAGTAACTTGTTGGAAACTGTAACAACACAAGAATTAAAAAGATTTTGAGAAATAAAAGTAATTTCCTTTTTTGGGCAAAATAGGTCTAAAAAAAACAAGAACAAGTGTTTAACTCTTAATGTTGAATCAGTCCACATAATATTTCCTTTTATCTACATGAAGTTTATCACTCTTGCCCAGTAGCCATGTCTGTGATTTTTCATGCCTATAAAAGGCCTATTCCCAATGGAAATTTTCTTTAAAATTATGCATTTTTTCCCAAAAATATGAAAATACATCACTTTTTTTATTACTTTTAGCAATAATTCTTCTTGAAATCAAGAGGCTAAGGCCTCTTCCTATTAAGTAAGAAAAAACTACAACAATGTTGATTAATCACATTGACACATTGAGTTTTCTTGTCCATTGCAGACTTCAGAAACACTTTTTCAAATTCTGTGTGCAATACATGCATTTTTTAGAGAGTTTGGTTCACAGAATATGTACTACCTTTAGTCCTCCCTTGCTGTTTCAACGATTAATGTGGGAAGCTTTGTAAACAACATTAGCAATGGTACATAACTAATTCACACTTGTTAGATGCCTGTCTGCCGATTCATAACTGGAGAGTATACTGTAAAAAACAAAAACAATTATTTTTATCCTGAGTTCATGTGTATCTTAGGTTAGCCACAAAAAAAATTTCACACAGTTTTGGACTTACAAAACATAAGAAAAAGAGATGACAAACTACGTTTATAGGACTTCATTTAATAATGTGTTTATCAGGGCATTATGAATTTTTCCAACATATGATTGAACTTTTTTCACCATTTACTAACTAAAGTAACAATATGATATAGGGCGCAGCCCGCTATATTCACAAATAATGGCATTAAGCTGCATATTCTTAATTAAAAACAAAACTGGTAAAGAACACTGTATTTGATAACTTAATGATCACACATTTACATAAAATTTAAGTGCATTATGAATTTCCATAGATAAATAAAAGTAAACAAAATTCAAACTTAAAAGTAATAAAATGATTTTTAATTGTAGATCAAAAGTCAGTTGAACATGTCAACAGGAGAATTTCAGTCATTAACAGGACAGCTGGAGGATGTAAACTGTCTTCTTACAGTGCTTGAGAAGATTGTAAACTTGCAGGTTAGTTACTTACATTTTTGTTTCCTTCCAATAAATGATATATACTTGTGTGCAATTGCTAGAACATAATTTAATGTCATAATGCCTTGTAATTGTATTCTTTGATATGAATAACCTGTCATTTGCATATTGTCCCCGCCTTTTTGGAGAAAGATATTTTTGAGATCTAAGTTTTGAAGTTCAATGAATCATTTAAAGTAAATTTTCATTGTTACAGGATGGATTGGAAGCCATTGAGACTGCAGTAAGAACTCAAGAATACTCCAAAGCTGCAGATGCTGTTTACCTAGTAAAATCACTGCTAGCACAGAAAGTGTTTGGACATGAAAATGAGGTGAACATTCTTGCAGCTATCCAGACCGAGGGTCATATACAGGTACAGAAGCTGATAAGTGATCTGTCAGATAAATGGAAAGCTATGATACAATGGACATTGCCAGATGAGAAACAGAAGCATACAGATGCTGAAAATACAAGAAAAACTGAACTTAGAATAAATACTAAAGGTGAAAGAGTAGATCTTCTAGACAAAGTTGTCATTGGTATGAAGAAGATGAACATTTTAGATGAGAAAATGAAAAGATTTGGTGAAAGGTTGTTACAAAATGTGATAGAGCCAGTAATGACATACACAAACTGTGAAGTAAAAGAGAGTGATGCTGGAAATACTAAGATATTATCAGTACTTGTACACGTCGAAGATGATCAAGGTTGTCCAACTCCAACAGAAATGTTTGAAAATTTAGACAAAATTTTACGATTTCTCAACTCAAACATGTTACATGTTGTAATTGGTGAAGAAAAAGGTGAAAATACCCAACCTTTTACGTTAATGAGAGTTTTAGGGGACATGATAGCAAATCAAACTTTAGAGCTTGCTGTGAAGCAGTGCCTTATTAAAGCCATACCAAGTAGTAACAAGGAGCTTGAAGAATTCAATACTGTTGTTATCATGACAGAAGAGGTGCATAAACATTTGATCAAATTATGCTTTATACTGCCAGACAACACTATTTTGGTGGACTATGTTCAGAATGTAAATGTGTTGTTTGCCAACAAGAAATGTCAGGAGATCCTAGAGAGAGCAAGAAGATTAATGACTACAGAGGTACATAATACTGTAGTAGTAAGTCATGATAAACCACTCGGTGATTTACCTCCCTTAATGGAAGGAATGCCTGGAGCGAAGAAAGCTCGTAGAGATGACCTTGCTGTGGAGTCCCCATTGAGTGGAAATACATTCAGGCTTCCAAAATGCCATATCAGGTATTTAAATATTTAATATCTACATTAAACACTGACTTTGCTAGGAGCTGTCAATAGAACTAGGGAAGTAGAAAGAAGTCATAATTATGTTAAAATATCAACGGTAGAACTTACTCTTTAAAGTCTTTTTGTAACTATAATTTTACTTTCATGTCTTTTTTACATTCTCTTAAAGTACCTTTAAGAAAAGGTTACTATAGATTATAAACAGAAAAAAATATTACTAACTCTAGTTGAACATTTCAGTACATCTATACAAGAATTGATGACCATGGCTTATGAAACATTAAGAGAGGCAGGAGAAAGTTCCCCACAATGTGCCATACAAATGTTCTGTGCAGTGAGAAATATGTTTGAATTGTTCTGCAGTGTGTTTCCTACATACCACAAACAGAGTCTTGAGACACTTCCACAATTTACTGGTATTTTATTTATAACATGATATATTGACTAATATTTCACGTTGACTATACAGTTAGACATATTCTACTAACATGTCATTTGGCACTGGTTTAAAACCTTTGGTGATATTTTATCGGAAATTTTAGATCTCATAAACTACACACTTCAAAATTTACATGGCTTTTAATAGATAGGAATTATCTGTTCAATGTGTAAGATGCAGAATAAGAATGGATTTTGGCTGAATTTAACCACATTGGAAAATTAGAAAGTTCTAGCTTCCATTGGCCCTAGCTTTTGTATGAATTGTTACTGCATTATATAACCTCTTGTTTATTTCCTACCAGACTCATGTTTTATTGTCAATCATTGTGAATATCTATATAAAATATGCTGTCAGAATGGTGGCTGCTGATTCATACTAAATCAGAGGAATGTCTGTTGTTTTTTTTATGCCCCCGCCATATAATGGCTGGGGCAAATAGTGTTACCCTGTTCCGTCATTCTATCATTCCGTCATCATCAGTTTCCGTTCATTATCTTAGTAACGGTTGCACACATTCAACTCAAATTTGGCATATGGATATGTCATGAGAAAATACAGGTCAAGTTCGAATGTGGTCATGGTTTGATGATTTTTGGCAGAGTTATGCCCCTTTTACTTTGAAAATAATATGAAATTTTCAGTTTCCGTTCATTATCTCCCCAACGGTATTACACATTCAACTCAAACTTGACGTATGAATAGGTCATGAGAAAATACAGGTCAAGTTCGAAGTTGGTCATGGTTCGATGTTTTTTGGCAGAGTTATGCCCCTTTTACTTTGAAAATAATATGAAATTTTCAGTTTCTGTTCATTATCTCCCCAACGGTATTACATATTCAACTCAAATTTGACATATGGATACGTTAAAGAAATGCGCAGGCCAAGTTCGAATTTAGTTATGGTTCAATGATTTTTTGCAGAGTAATGCCCCTGTCACTTTAAAAAAAATATGAAATTTTCAGCTTCCATTCATTATCTCCTTTAGGGTAATACACATTCAACTCAAATTTGACATATGGGTACATCAAAGAAATACGCAGGTCAAGTTCAAATTGTGTCATGGTTTCGATGATTTTTGGCAGAGTTATGCCCCTTTAACTTTGAAAAAAAAAGGAAATTTTCAGTTCCCATTCATTATCTCCCCAACAGTTGTACATATTCAACTCAAATTAAAGATATGGATATGTCATAAAAATGCATTGGTCAATTTCCAATTTGGTCATGGTTTGATGATAGCTGACAGAGTTATCCCTCTTGAATCTTGAAAAACATTTGTGCAAACAAATTTGGAACTAAATATTATAACATCTGAAATTTTGGCTGCATGCGGGGGCATCCGTGGCGTGACGACCATTTCTAGTTGTTGTTTTTTTTATTCCAAAATTCAAGGCCACACAAATAGTGATATTTCATATATAGTATGGTCTTAAGTATGCCATATGCCACACATTCAAAAGCACATCATTTCATAATATATAAAAGGTACTAAAAAGTAATTATAAACACAAGAAAGCTGTTAACATTAGTGTTGTCCCGATTGTCTCTGAGAATCGATAACTAATCGGATCACCCCAAAATCAGCGACAATCGATAGTCCTTTTTAACAATCGATTATTTTAATGTTCTACTACCGCAGAATTGCCTAGGGCATAACTTTTTTACATAAAAGTCAAATAGAAGTTTCCGACCAAATCTCTTTAATTCCAGAGGATCCTGTAGTCTTTTTTGTTTGCCTTATCAAAAAAGAAATACAGAAAAAACATGGCTAGTGAATAAGTGGGTGCTTATTTATTCTCAAAATATGGTCACTATTGTATAAAAAAATACATACAAGGATTGGTACCTTAAAAGAAAAAGGGCCATAAAAACTGCAAAACTCGATTATACTATCGGAAGACAATCGATTGTGGTGATCCGATTATCGATAGTGACTTTTGAGTCCGATACCCAACACTAGTTAACATTCAATAGGAAATATGTGAAAATGTGTGTTGTTTAGAACATACAAGCTTAGAACATTTGAAGTAGATGACATTTTGACTTAAAACTTGTGTTATCAGATTTACACTTGTAAATGACTCTTAATGATGTTCTATAAAAATGCAGATCATTAATAAATGGAACAATAACTCTGGATTTTTTTTCAGCTTTGCATTACAACAACTGTATGTATATCTCTCATCATTTGATGACACTTGGTCACCAGTTCAGCAAGAAACTTCCTCAGACAATTAATGCAACATTTGTGGATCTTGTTCCCAAGATACGTAGACTTGGCACAGAGACGTTCTTACAACAGTTGTCCAAACAGAAAGCACAGATGTTAGAATACCTTGCTGCTGCTAATGGTATGTCATATTTGAAGGACATAAAAGATTTTAGCTATCTTCTCACCCAACATATGAATCTGAAACATATCTCTCCCTTTTGAAGGGCCTGGTCATCATGTTGTGAGGGTGACTATCACAAATGGCTGAGTGTTGCATTCAAAATTTTTAATCAATTATGTTATACCAAGAGGGAAGTCAGTGGCTGAGTGGTTAAGGTCATTAAATTCATATCTTTTACTCGTCACTGCTGTAGGTTCAAATCTCACCAGAGTCTTTGGATTCTTTCATGTGAAGAAGCTAGCTGAATGTTAATGGTTTGTGTCTGAAATTGTACATGTAGGGGCACCTGAGGTCTTCCTCTAAAAATTATGCTGGAAAACTGCGATATGACCATTCCAGTGTTGGTATGACCAAAAACCTAACTATTGTGTGATGTAAAACCCAACCAAAAACATCACTAGAGATGATAAAATATCCAGTTTGCCCGCAGCATAATTATTTATACACGCATAAAGACATTAAAGTATTACTTTATTTCAACTGTTCATCATCATGAAATATGCTACATAACCTAGACTTGATCTAGGTCAGTAGGTCAAAAGTCAGGGTTAAACCAAGAAGTCATCTGTGCCATGTACAAATTTAGGGTCCTTTAGTATTTGTTAAACTTATGGGCATATTTTGTGACCATTGGACTATTGTTAATAAATAAGCAGAAACATGCACTAAATAATGCATTATTTGATCAAACTTTCCCCAGATAGGGCAGGAAAAATATAAAAGCATGATTGTAAGTTTTTTGGTGAGTTTACCTTTTATTTTGATATATTATACAGAAATCTTATTATTTCAGGATTCCTGAATGTATCTGAAAAAGAAGCATTTTTTGCCACAGAGAAAGCTGTGAAACAAGTTCTACATCAACTTCAACATCTTAGAAAAGTCTGGCATGAAATACTTCCTCCTACCAACTATAGAAAAGCTCTAGGTAAAAATATGGTGTCAAAAAAGTTAAATACTCTAATGAAAGTCTTTATAGATGGGTTAGATTTTATACACCCAAAAGATTTCTCTTTGTGACAAATTATGGTATTGTGTTGTCGTTTTGTCTGTAGACAATTTGAAAAGTTTTAATGATTGCATTTGTTAATTTTTGTTATATCAAAAGTATTCAAAACAAAGGTTTTGGAACAAATTTCCCTACAGTCATTTCATTATTGATAAAAAGTTATCAACATCCCTACATCATTAGGACCTCTTTGTCTGTATAGTTCTTCAAATCACCATTTGTCAGGAACATGTAAAGTAGCATTAACTAGCTTATGGAAAGTTAGTGGTTCTCCTAAGGTGCCGACTTGTGGCTGAAATTATGTTCCACAAGTAAAGCTGGAAATTTGTCATAATTATGACCTTAACATTATCAGTGTGACTTGAAACCCAAATAAATAAAAGAAGAGAAAATAAATCTGTAAATATAAGAAATTATTTAAAGAAAAAAAACAACAATTTTTCAATGTTTTTTTGTGCCCCCACGTTAGTGGCGGGCATTTAGATTTACCCTTGTCCGTCCTTCCGTCAGTCCGTCCTTCCGTCCGTCCTTCCGTCCGTCCGTCCGTTCACTTTTGTGTCGCACGTAACTCAAAAAGTATTTGACCTAGAGTCATGAAACTTTACAGGAATGTTGATCAGCATGTGTAGTTGTGCACCTGGGTATTTTCATCTGGATATTTTTAGTATTTTCAGAGTTATTGCCCTTGACTTAGTAAAATTTTGCAATTTTCAACTTGTGTCGCATGTAACTCCAAAAGTATTTGACCTACAGTCATGAAACTTTACAGGAATGTTGATCAGCATGTGTAGTTGTGCACCTGGGTATTTTCGTCTGGATATTTTTAGTATTTTCAGAGTAATTGCCCTTGACTTAGTAAAATTTGGCAATTTTCAACTTGTGTCGCATGTAACTCAAAAAGTATTTGACCTAGAGTCATGAAACTTTACAGGAATGTTGATCAGCATGTGTAGTTGTGCACCTGGGTATTTTCGTCTGGATATTTTTAGTATTTTCAGAGTTATTGCCCTTGACTTAGTAAAATTTTGCAATTTTCAACTTGTGTCGCATGTAACTCAAAAAGTATTTGACCTAGAGTCATGAAACTTTACAGGAATGTTGATCAGCATGTGTAGTTGTGCACCTGGGTATTTTCGTCTGGATATTTTTAGTATTTTCAGAGTAATTGCCCTTGACTTAGTAAAATTTTGCAATTTTCAACTTGTGTCGCACGTAACTCAAAAAGTATTTGACCTAGAGTCATGAAACTTTACAGGAATGTTGATCAGCATGTGTAGTTGTGCACCTGGGTATTTTCATCTGGATATTTTTAGTATTTTCAGAGTTATTGCCCTTGACTTAGTAAAATTTTGCAATTTTCAACTTGTGTCGCATGTAACTCAAAAAGTATTTGACCTAGAGTCATGAAACTTTACAGGAATGTTGATCAGCATGTGTAGTTGTGCACCTGGGTATTTTCGTCTGGATATTTTTAGTATTTTCAGAGTAATTGCCCTTGACTTAGTAAAATTTTGCAATTTTCAACTTGTGTCGCATGTAACTCAAAAAGTATTTGACCTAGAGTCATGAAACTTTACAGGAATGTTGATCAGCATGTGTAGTTGTGCACCTGGGTATTTTCGTCTGGATATTTTTAGTATTTTCAGAGTTATTGCCCTTGACTTAGTAAAATTTTGCAATTTTCAACTTGTGTCGCATGTAACTCAAAAAGTATTTGACCTAGAGTCATGAAACTTTACAGGAATGTTGATCAGCATGTGTAGTTGTGCACCTGGGTATTTTCGTGTGCATATTTTTAGTATTTTTAGAGTAATTGCCCTTGACTTAGTAAAATTTTGCAATTTTTAACTTGTGTCGCACATAACTCAAAAAGTATTTGACCTAGAGTCATGAAACTTTACAGGAATGTTGATCAGCATGTGTAGTTGTGCACCTGGGTATTTTCGTCTGGATATTTTTAGTATTTTCAGAGTTATTGCCCTTGACTTAGTAAAATTTGGCAATTTTCAACATGTGTCGCACATAACTCAAAAAGTATTTGACGTAGAGTCATGTAACTTTACAGGAATATTGATCAGCATGTGCAGTTGTGCACCAGGTATTTTCGTCTGGATTTATTTAGTATTTTTAGAGTTATTGCCCTTCACATAGAAAATTTTTGCAATTTTCATCTTGTGTCGCAAGTTTCTCAAAAAGGATTTGACATAGTCAATAAACCTTATGGGCAGGTTGCTCAGCATATTTTAGATTTGCACCTGGGGTTTGGCTTGTGGATTTATCCAGTATTTGTAGAGTTATTTCCCTGGACTTAGTAAAAAGATTGACAGAACAGTGTCGCGGTGGGGGCACCCGTGTCCTATGGACACATTTCTAGTTTTCATCTAGGTTTCAACATGTTGCTCAATGCAATCGACCTTTTTGAAATCAGTTAGTCTTAAAAGGAAAGGTACATAATCCTTTCGTTCAAAATTCAGGAAAGTTTAATTTGAAGTGGATGAAAATCTATTTAATTTGGAAGTATTAATTAAAAGACATAAAAAATTTGAATCATTTGCATTATTTATAGCAATGTGCCTTGTAGCGTTTAAATGAAATATCCTAACATTTGTTGTTGTTTCTAAAACAGGAGGATTACTAAATGGTGTGATCATTGAGATAACAGACAGTATTGTGGCCTTAGAGGACATCTCAGCTGATGATACCAAACAACTGTCCAGATTGATAACCACCATCTCCGAGAGAGCACCAGAACTCTTTAAAGTGGACGAAGATGAAAAGACTAATATTACAATTGAGATACAGAGAAACGTAGCCAAATGGCAAAGGTTTCGTGAACTTGACATGGTACTTAATGGCAGTATGATTGAAATAGGTGATAGATGGGCTTCAGGGAAAGGTCCGCTTGCTGTTGCATTTACAGCAAATGAGGTGAAACAGTTGATACGAGCTTTGTTTCAGAATACTGAAAGAAGGGCTACAATGTTGGCAAAAATTAAATAAGTCAACTTGGGGTTTATTGCAGTTGTTTTGTGTTATATATATTTATTGGAAAATATTGCTTTATGTTTTTTTAAGCGATTGAAGTAGTTATTGTTAAGGTATTGAATTGAAATGTGATGTGACTGTTTATAAGCTAAAGTTGATTTCTTAATCTAGGTCTAATCTAATTGAAGCACAGGTAGGTGTCAGATTTGATAACAGAAAGATGGTTGATTCAGTAAACCAATAATGTTTTTCACCTTTCAATGGGGCATTGCTATCTTAGCAAAAAAAGTAAGGGAGATTTACCATCCATATTTGAAAATATAAACATTTAAAGTTGTAAATCTACACTGTTTTCAACCATTTAACACTTAAAATTAAATATAAATTTTGAAATACATCTTCATTCAAAAAATGGCTTCCAGTAGCCATGCAAACTGCATCCTTACTGAAAATGAATAATTTTCAGAAAGGAGGCCTAATGCCTTGAACAATAACACTTTTTGGTGATTTTTGTGGGTAGGTAGCTTGAGGGGGAATAATATTTTATTTAAGGCCTAGACATTTGTAATTTATGTGAAAAAAGATGCTTGTCATATGTGCTATCTGTTATTTGTTAAATATAAGTACATGAATAAAATATATATAAAGTCTATATCAGTTAGACAGTTGTGATTATGAGTGTCCCTGTAATTAAAGAGAGAATGTGAATTTTGCTTAATACATGAATATTGATTTGCTTAATACTCGAGTTGAATATTGTTATTGCATTTGGATCCCCTGGGGTCAAGGTAACCGTTACTAAAAATAGAAAAATGGTTTCCGGACAATAACTAGAGTTTGGAATAAGATATTGTACTCAAATATAGTATAAAGCAAGTTTATCTAAATTGAAGATCCTGGTTTGCATTGCAATTAATTGAAATAATTCTTTATTCACAGTTAATTCTTTATAATTTCTTAAATTATAGGTCGAGTTCAAATTTTGCTTTAGACCACTTATTTTTCAAAAAGTCAAAGTTGCTGGTTGGGGTATTAGTCACCTTTAATGATAGCTCTAGTTACTGCTGTGCACTAAATAATACAGTCTGTGCTTGCAGCCATTGTAAGATTCTTATAATCTCACCTGAGCATACACAATAGAACTTTTGTAACAGCTTGATGTCTATTGTTTTCCACAATTTCTTTAAATAACATCTCAACAACATGGTGGACTTTTACCAAACATCACATAATTCATCTTCAAAAGTTAAGTATATGGCTCTGAATCTGATGCTTACATATTCAGCAAGAGGCATCCCATTGTAGTTCTCTTTTAGTCATTGGTAGTTCTCTTTTAGTCACAGGGTCAAAATTGATCCCATCCAGGGCTCACTTAGTTTTCAAAAACATTAACACATTTAAATCTCTGAAATTACATGTCCTAGGACTGAGATATGTAGCATTGCCTCTACAAAACTTAAATGCCCCTGGTGTCAAAAATGGTGCCATCCAAATGTGATCCAAAAACTTATTTTTGCATTGAAGTATTGTGACTTTTCTAAAAATGGATCTTTGTTTAGTGATTTAGAGCAATCATATTTGCCTTGTTTTTATTATCAATTTCCACTAGAGGTACATATATTACTAATCAGAACCTTTAGGAAATTTTCATAATAGATGTACTTTTCAAAGTAGAGGTCTTTCAAATATTGCTTAAGTCAAACATTAAAGATCATCCTCTTTTAACGGAATAAACAACATAACAAATATAAATGAAAAAGAAAATAAATTTATTTGAATATGATCATATCACAGAAAGTTATTAACATGTAAATAGAACTCTTTATCTGAATAAAGGTATATATAATTAAACAACAGGAAATAATTAACATAGTACATCAGACTAATGTGAAATTATTTCATTTCAATCACAAATTACACTAGTGCAATAATGTTAAAGTTGGAAATCATTTGACAATAGTCTGAGCAGAAGAATACATAAAGGAAAAATCACATTGAACACTTAATATTGATTACCTCGCGAGCTCACCTGTTCTTACATTGTCAAGATACTTTATAGATAGTCTTTAACAAAATATGACGGATGTGTGTTGGAGGTATTTACAAAAACAAGGAAATATTATTTATATTCCAAAAACATTTAGTTAACACTTAAATGAATTAATATATCACAAACTAATTGAATAATACTTTTGGCAATGCCTTGTTAAACTCCCATCTTATAAAATATCTGGTAATACTAATTTGGCTTTAAATTATCATAGAATAACTTTATCTGAAGACAGAAGTGGAATCATGAGAAGATAAAACATAACTTGTATAAAAAAAAATGTTATAGCAATAATAAAATTTGAGCGTTTACTCTGATGTCGGTATAGACTATTATGCGTGTGATGTTCATATTGCAGCACAATTACTATATTTCCTAAGTACACAAGTTTTATAACTTTAATAATATCAGGTTGTGCAACAAAAAGCTAAAACTCAACAAACAAGCCTGAAAACCTGTCATTAACAATATCAAACGGCATGATATATTGATGACAAGAGTTAAGCAAGATAAAAATGCTGGTAGTAAAATCTACTGATCTGTATTGTTAAGATACATGTATAAAGTTTCAGGGAACTGTACAAAGCAATACATTAGAGTGACTACACATTAGGTGAATATAAAGAGTACAAAGAAAATGCCATTTCATCAACGACAAGGATATATAAATATACTTTGATAAAAACAATACAATTAATTTAGATAATATAAACCTCTTGTACCCAATATTTATCAATATTTCTATTACAAGTAATAAGAATACTGAATAAAATAATCAGCTAAAAGTAAGAAAATTAAGATGTTGACAAAAGCAGTTGACCATAAACAATGACAAATATTGGTCATGGCTAGGAAATAACCATCTTGTTACCTAGCCACATATTGTCCATATACACAACAGCTTTATAATGCTGAAAAATGCTTAATTCAAGTAAAAACTACATGAATTAAATAACACAGAAAACTTGGCACAGCTACATTTCAAGTAATCATAAAACAGTTTTTAAAGATTTGACACAGATTAACTTATAACAAACTATCAAAGCATTTAAATTGATTGTACATTTTTATAATACACTTGTCAAAAAGTTTAAAATGTTGATGTTCTCTGTAACATACCAATTTGACAATTGCAGAAATAAATCTTAACAAAACAAATGCATGGAGAACAAGCTATATTCTAGAAGTGCTATATTGCACTATAAAATACATAAACATTTATTTATATATATATTTATTTAAAAAAAGGCACATAATGGCTACCCAAGACAAAAATAGCTACAACAAGTACACTTTTAAATGCATCACATCACTGCATTATCACATTCCACGTATTTATAAATTATATAAACTAACAATTATAATCATTAAACAAGAGGGCCATGATGGCCCTGAGGTCGCTCACCTGTATATAGGCCCCCAACCCCCATCCCCCCCCCAACGTTGCAGGGCCAATTTAACCCAAGGGCTTTTATTTGCACAAACTCGGTAGACACCCATAAGAAGATGTTTCATGCTAAACATCTAAGCTCTAGCTCATTGGGCTTTATTGAAAGAAGATTTTTTTAAGTTTTTACTACATGTGTACACATATAGTTAAACACAATGACACCCCTGGGGCCGGGCCAGTTTTACCCCAGGGCTTTTATTTGAACAAACTTTGTAGACACTTACTAGAAGATGTTTCATGCTTAATATCTAAACTCTAGCTATTTGGGTTTTTTTCAAAGAAGATTTTTAAGTTTTTGCTATACACATATAAAGAAAAATCAATGACCCCCAGGGCGGGGCCAATTTTGACCCCAGGTCTTTTATTTGAACAAACTTTGTAGACACTCACTAAAAGATGTTTCATGCTTAATATCTTAACTCTAGCTATTTGGGTTTTTTTCAAAGAAGATTTTTTTAAGTTTTTGCTATACACATATAAGGAAAATCAATGACCCCCGGGGCGTGCCAATTTTGACCCCAGGGCTTTTATTTGAACAAACTTGGTAGACACCTATTAGAACATGTTTGATGCTAAATATCTTAGCCATAGCTCTTTGAGTTCTTTAAAGAAGATTTTTTAAGTGTTTACTATATGCATATAGGGAAAATCAATGATCCCCGGGGCGGAGGCCAATTTTGACCCCAGGGCTTTATTTGAACAAACTTGGTAGACACTTATTAGAACATGTTTCATGCTAAATATCTTAGCTTTAACTCTTTTTGGTTCTTTAAAAGAAGATTTTTTTAAGTTTTTTACTATATGCATATAGGGAAAATCAATGACCCCTGGGGTGGGCCAATTTTGACCCCGGGCTTTTATTTGAACAAACTTGGTAGAACACCCTATTAGAACATGTTTGATGCTCAATATCTTAGCCATAGCTCTTTGAGTTCTTTAAAAAAAGATTTTTTAAGTTTTTACTATATGCATATAGGGAAATCAATGACCCCCCGGCGGGGCAATTTTGACCCGCAGGCTTTTATTTAGAACAAAATTGGTAGACACTTATTAGAAACATGTTTCATGCTAAATATCTTAGCTTTTAACTCTTTTTGGTTCTTTAAAAGAAGATTTTTTAAGTTTTTTACTATATGCATATAGGGAAAATCAATGACCCCCCCCCTGGGGCGGTGCCAATTTTGACCCCAGGCTTTTATTTGAACAAACTTGGTAGATTACCTATTAAACATGTTTGATGCTAAATATCTTAGCCATAGCTTTTTGAGTTCTTTAAAAGAAGATTTTTTAGTTTTTACTATATGCATATAGGGAAAATCTATGACCCCCCGGGGCGGGGCCAATTTTTGACCCCAGGGCTTTTATTTGAACAAACTTGGTAGACACCATTAGAACATGTTTCATGCTAAATATCTTAGCTGTAGCTCTTTTGGTTCTTTAAAAAGATATTTTTAAGTTTTTACTATATGTATATAGGGAAAATCAATGACCCCCCGGGGCGGGGCCAATTTTGACCCCAGGGCTTTATTTTGAACAAACTTGGTAGACACTCACTAGAAGATGTTTCATGCCAAATATCTAAGCTCTAGCTCTAATGGTTTTTTAAAAGAAGATATTTAAAGTTTTTTCTTTCGGTTGCCATGGCAACCAGAGTTCTGCATGGGAATTAAATTCTTTGAACAATTTTAAAGGTGACCACCAAAGGAACATTCCTGTGAAGTTTGGATGAAATTGGCTTAGTGGTTTATGAGGAGATGTCATTTAAAGTAAAAGTTTACGGACGGACGGACGGACGGCCGGACGGACGGACGACGGACGGACGCCGGACGAAAAGCGATCACAAAAGCTCACCCTGTCACTTTGTGACAGGTGAGCTAAAAATGGAAACAAATTTAAGTCAAAATTGAAAAAAAAAATCTATGAAATCATAGTGTTATAACAAAACAGAAAGTCTCTGAAAGATAGAAACTACATATTACTTTTGTAGTAAAGATGTTTATCAATAAAACCGGTTGAATGCATCAGAAGCACCTAATAAAAAATAATTCAAACAAAAGTCAGTTTCATGATATATCCTATTTTGTTTTTTTTCTTTAAATTTAAATTATCTTGTTATTATTCCTTTGTTGATTCACCTATACATGGTTCCACTTTAGTCCCATTTTCTGTATTTTCAGCATTCTGGTTCAATGCAGGTGCTTTTTCTGAGGGCAATTTTATTTTAGAAGGTTGCCCAGAACCTTTTCTAGAAGGAGAATTTTGTTGGGGTTTTAGACCCTGAAGTTAAAGATTACCATTTAGTAGTTTTCCATGATTTTGGGGGTTTTAGGGATATGACTGTGCTTAAAAGGGAAATGGGGGCATTACAATGTTTTTTCCCTTTCTAGAAATTGGCTGCTTCATTGAAAGGTTGTTTGCCCCCATGATTTCTTGACGTTCCCCCTTTCAGGAGTTTATTACCTTAGGGGGTTGAAAAAACTGTTTGTTTTTCTTTTGACATCGGACCCCAGAAAAAAGACCCGGCGCTGGGAAGAAATTTAAAGGGATTAAAAATTTTTTTTACTTTATTTTACTGTTTTACCAATGTAGGTTTTCAATGTGACATTGAAAGAATTTTATGAAAATGCTTCGCATCGTAGTTACTTATGCACTTATTGAAAAAGTTTGACATCAATTTTGTCATCAAATAATATCATTGTGACAAAGAATTAGCCATGAAGAATAAATAGGATGATTATAGATAATAGATTGTAGTGAAAACAATAGTCATAGATCCTATGCCAATTTGGCAACACAAATTAATTTTATAAAAGTAAAAGTTATTGCTAGGAATGCGGATTACCTTTCCTCTGATAGGATAGTTTGTATTGTGACGACTGTTGTACTGATGTTCATAAGATATCTTTTCTTTAAAAAACCTTTGTTTTCCACTCTTGGGTCTTAGAAAGTTAACCGGTACTGAAAGTAAAAGTAATTCATAACATTTTGTATAATTGATTGAGTAAAACATATTATATAAATGATTCATTATAATCATACATTTACATTATATAATCTGCACTAAATTATTTCAAAGATTGAGTACCGTTGACATTCATAATGTGATGGATGTCAATGTAAGAAAGTTGGCAGTGACCCAACATGGCAAACTGAACCCGTAACAAATGACTTCTTAAACTCAGTTAAAAAAGCCATAGAATAGAAATAGAAAAACAAATTGTGCATGTAAGATGAAAAATATTTCACTGTTGAACACCAGCTTTTATATTTACGCCTCTTATATTTCGATCTTACATGCAAGACAAACAATTATCCTCTATCTAATCTTATTTTTAAATGAAGTTTTACAGTCCTTAGCCATTTTGTTTTAACAAAAGGCAATGATTTGCACAGCAGCTGTAAACTTAATATTTTCCTTGAATCTGACCATAATGCATAGACTCTAAAATGACTCTTAATCTGTCTCTACTTCAAATTATCAGATTATTGGATTACTGTAAGAATTTTATCACAATATATTTGTTAACAAAGGAATACATGTCAATATTTGAGGTTTTATCATTAATAAGGATTGTAAACCGACTGCCGCTCCGCTACTGACAGGAAATATCTAGCTCAATGGTAACTGTTTATGGGGCTAACAAGGCTCTGCCGAGTTTCCACTTACAGTTACCCTAGAGCTAGATATTCCTGTCTGTGACAACAGTCTGTGGTTGATTCTTTTTCTTGCATGTTACCAATTAAAAATATTTCCCAAAAAATACGAAAACTAATATTTTCATTTAGCACTTTTCTTATAGAAGCGTATGAACTTTATTCATAACGGCACAATGACGTCATCCTAAGACTGCAATTCATTTTGAAAAGGCGCATTGGAATGATGTAATTTAAAACAACTCCTGTCTTAAATGTTAAGACTGGTTTTTATTGCACCCGGCGGGTGTTAACAGCAGATAATACTGTGATATACAAGATAATGTAATTCCAGGTAAAAGGTTAAGAAGAGATCTATCAATAACTGACAAGATATTGTTACACAACTTCTAAATTTCTCCTACTCCCAATACATTTTACAACATAAGATCAGTTACCTGTTCCAAGAGCAGGCTCTGTGTTTGGATTAGAAGTGTGTCTTAATGAGCCAAATGCTGAACCAGTTGGCTTTTCCCTATCTTGAAAATCAGCTCTATATATGGTGTCATCTGTTCTTGGTGGAACTTGAAGAGGTTCGTTTGAGACACGAGAGGGCCACCATTGATCCTGCTCTTCTTTAGTGAATTCTGTGTATACACTGCATATTGGCTCATTTAGCAGACGTACATTATGCCTCAAAAAGCCACAGGAGCCTGGATGAGGTCTGTTTAGTCTATAATCTGGTGCAACCTGTGGAAGGACCTCAGTTTTCCTATTGTAAATATCAGGTAAGGCTAGTCCCTGATTCTCAAGCCAGACTTTTCTCCATTCTGATGGTCTGTTAGATTCTACAAAATCATTCTTTAAGTGTTCATCTTCTGCATGTTTACTGATTACTCTGAATGTATCAGGACTGAAATAAGAATAGCATTATTAAATAAATATTTTTACCACCAAACTATGTACATAATCATCACAACATGTCACTTGGTTTTAGTATAATGTAAAACTTCAGCCTTTAAAAACAATCAGTTTCCCTCAGTACACAATTTCAGGTAAAAATTACCCATTTCAGTAAATGTCCTAAGTAAATTGTGATTTTCACTATTGAATATAGAAAAACAGAAATTGTGCGTAATTATGCAATAAAATAACTGTTGACGTTCTTTATTTAGATATGTGACATAATCAAAAAACATGTAGTGTAACCACTTAAAAATCTGATACGCTGGAAATAAGTATGGAAACAAATCAGGCGCAATTTTAATAGGTACGGCAGCATTTATTTGTTGATATCATCGTTAGAATCAAACTAATATATCCAAAATGGTGATTTTATCTCTTGATAACATCACTGTTTGTCGTTCGGATGCACATCATTACATCACTCGGGCTACGCCTTGTGATCTAATTCCTTGCATCCAAACTCCAAACAGTAATGTTATTGAGCAATAAAACCACTGTACGTTTGGGATATATTATTTCTTTATTATCATTTATTTTGGGAAATATATATTTACACACTATAATTTCACGTATATATCATCATACATATAAAACACACAAAAAGGCAACAAAAATATAATTATCTAAAATAATTAGTATTGTTAAATATTACCCTAGGACTGCCCATAAATTAGCTAAAAGCTTATTTGAATGGGGTCCAATTACTATATTAACACACTAAATTATATAAATCATAACTCAATTTAGTGATATCACAGGTGAGAAAAATGTGCAGCCTGACATGGACTCCAGGGACCCTCGGAATACTGTACCACGGCCTTATCAACTGAGCTATACGGCCGCTTACACACTATCTCTCCTAATTAGTGAACAGTTCTGATCTGCATTCAAGACAGACTCCCCCACTATATTGAAATTTGTCCTCAATTTTTTACATGAGTTAACTTTGACAGATGTTTTTTTTTAATGAAGATGAAGGTCTAAGAGTAGAGCATCAGACTCTTAATCCAGAGGTTGTGGATTCAAATCAAGTTGGAGATAATTCTTTAAATTTGCTTCTTCAATCTAAACTATCAAGTGCATTTACTGGTTAAGATTCACAACAATCACACATATGGCACAACTTAAAAGGATAAAGTATAGGCCACTTAAGAGGGTCAATAATTAGATTGGAGGTAACAAACATTTTAATTTAAATACACCTTATTTCGTATAAAAAATAAAGTTATTAAAGTTAAATATAAAATGTCATACTTATATCTTTCGAGAACTCTCTTTTTCCGACAAAGAGGTGGCATATATATCGCCATTATGAGTGATTAACCTTGATATATCCCATAAAATTAACGTAAAAAAATATTTCTAAAATTCATCCAAAAACAGGTGTGTAGTCCGCCATGTTGTTGTCACTGGTTGCTAGGGATTAATTAAATTATTTTTTGGTAAAACTTATATTTGAGTTAAAAGCTCTGAATCAAACTTTGATTTTTATATTAAATGAAAGAAAAATATTTTTGTTTTTAAAAAAAATAAACTTTAAGAAACGTAAGAAAAGAAATTCCGTTACGTCACTCATGACAACACAGCAACAAGATGGCGGCTATGGTTAGGTTGCTGAACGAAACTGATGCCATAGTCGAAACATCGTACGAGAGAAAGAAGTGAGTTAAATTAACTATTCCTTCTGTTTAACGTAGCTTCAGATGTGATTTATATGATGAAAGTATAATAATTGTTTGTTTGTTTCATACAGGAACTTTCATGAATTTATCAGAACATATGCGTTCGTACTCAAAAAATTTCGTTCCAAAATTGTCGTGCTTTAAAGTTTTGAGTAAAGTACAAGTATGACAGGCCAAAATATAAAGTTTCAACTGCGACCCTTAAGCCATTATGCACATCTTCGGACCATTATCGCAAAATGGCGAGCAGCAACCAAGTATTAACCTCTAAAGAATCACCACATGAGCAATTATAAAGCTAGTTCATTTTGTACTTTCAATGTTTCATAGAAACATGATATATATGTACTCAGTTTTTTTAAAACTCATATCGTTTAGTTTAAAAGTGTCATATTCTTAATAAAACATGGTTTTAAAGTGTATATTATGTAAAATTCTTAGTTCTTAGTTCTTCTTGGATAAAACAAATTCCCCATGAATACCGGGTGTATTATGTATGCATTTAATTTTCCAATTTGTTTGGTACTTGCACAACTCTCAAAGTAGGAGAAAAAACTCTTTATGAAAAAAATATTTATGATGGTCAACTATCATTTTCCTTTCCTTTTTTAATTTATTGTTGATATATATTTGTAGATTATCAGCTTTTTTGTCCATTGGTTTGCATTTGAGCCACACCATGACAAAACCAACGTAATGCGTTTGCGACCAGCATGGATCCAGACCAGCCTGCGCATCCGCACTGTCTGATCAGGATCCATGCTGTTTGCTATCAGTTTCTCTACTTGAAATAGGGTTGGTAAGCGAACAGCATGGATCCTGATCAGACTGCGCGGATGCGCAGGCTGGTCTGGACCCATGCTGGTCGCAAACCCACTATGTTGCTTTTGTAGTGACACAGCTCATTTAATTTCATGACTTATTAAATGGGATATTTCAGTAAAGCAGAGATAGAGAGATTACAGGAGTTTTCAGCAGCTGTGAGAGTACAAGCATGGTTCAGAGGAGCTAGAGTCAGAGTTTATATGAAGTATGTTTCAAATTTCATCTATAGTTTAAACTCTGATATTCTAAGATTATCAATCATTTATAACAATGAAACTTTTCAAAAAATGATCATTGCAGGTCACTAAGTTCTCTGTATATATAAAGAATAGTTATGATTCATGATACTATCAAAATAATAATAATTGACATTATTTATAGCTTAATGAAATGTTCATGAAAAAAGAGGAACAGCCAACATACATCATATGTTTAATTTTAACTTTACAGTACGGGAGATAGAAAGGAGAACCATTATTAATGGGTTAAACTATTCAAGACTTTGAAAGGTAATAAATATTTACATGTACATTTAAATCAATTAATTACAGACACATCAACAACTGTGCTACTGAGATACAGAGAAAATGGAGGGGTTTCATGGGCAGAAATTTCTTCAGGTTGTATGTAAAGGTAATATATTTTTGGCATATAAATAAAGTTATTCGGTGATACTCATTTTAAACATGACTAGAGATATTAGAGTTGTGAGGCTGTAAGAACAAAGACTTGACATACTTTAAACTAGAAACAAAAAGAAATTGCCATGCAACATCTGCAGATTTAACAATAGATTATATTTAAAAATATTTTTATATAAATACATGCACATTTTAATAACATAATATTTTATTTTGAAAAGTGTTGGAATTTGAATTACTTGTATTTCAGAACTGTGTACTGGTCATGAAGTTGAACTACTTCAATTCTCAAGCTACAAAGGTAAATTTTTATAAATGATATGTATAGATTTCTGATAGAAATCAGTGAATTTTATAAAAAAAATCCCAAAACCAAACAAACAAAAAAAATAAATAAAAAAACACACACAAAAAAAAATATGATGCAATTCTTAAAAAATAAATTGATGTCTTGAATTTATTTTATAATTAATTCAAATAAATGTTTGATGTATGTTTAAAGGTACAGAAAATGTGGCGAGGATATTATGTGAGGAAGTATGTGTTCAACTACTACAGTAGGAAGAGATATCTGGAGGCTCTTGTCATCAAGAATGACATCATTAGGTAACATATATCATTCTAGATATAGACTTCTATTTAGAGAAATATTTGTCATAAATACAGGGTGATGTGAATTTAATAGAGGTTTGAACTATTTCTGTCTATATTACCGTTAAGCAAAATTATAATGGTCACAAAACATTCCATTTCAGACAGAAATTGTAAATTTTCATCACTTTACCATTGATTATTCTGCTGTTTTCTGTCAATAAAACTGAAGGGATATTTTCTGTTTTGTGTATCAAAATTAGTGATACTTTTGGTGATGAATACCAATTTCAATATCTTTTCAGGAAGTATTTTACTGAAGCATTTTTATGCCCCCACAATGTGGGAGCATATAGCGTTGCACTTGTCCGTCCGTCAATCCGTCAGTCCGTACGTCTCGAAATCTTGTGAACGCAACTCCTCTTAAACCGGATGGCAGATTTTGCTTAAACTTACAGGGATGAACAACCTTAATGTGTAGATGGTAGTAAAGGAAGGAATTTTCGCTGCGACCAAATTTTACAGAATTATGGCCCTTTGTTGATTTTTTCACTAGATACTATGTAGAAATTTTGTGAACGCAACTCCTCTTAAACCGGATGGCAGATTTTGCTTAAACTTACAGGGATGAACAACCTTAATGTGTAGATGGTAGTAAAGGAAGGAATTTTTGCTGTGACCAAATTTAACAGAAATTATGGCCCTTTGTTGATTTTTTCACTATATACTATGTAGAAATTTTGTGACGCAACTCCTCTTAAAACCGGATGGCAGATTTTGCTTAAACTTACAGGGATGAACAACGTTAAGGTGTAGATGGTAGTAAAGGAAGGAATTTTTGCTGCAACCAAATTTAACAGAATTATTGGCCCTTTGTTGATTTTTTCATTATATACTATGTAGAAATTTTGTGAACGCAACTCCTCTTAAACTTGATGGCAGATTTTGCTTAAACTTCCAGGGATTAACAACCTTAATGTGTAGATGGTAGTAAAGGAAGGAATTTTCGCTGCGACCAAATTTAACAGAATTATGGCCCTTTGTTGATTTTTAGTTTTCAACTTGTGGCACATGTAGTCCAAAAAATATTTGACCTAGAGTCATGAGATTGACAGAACAGTGGCGTGTGGGGGCATCCGTGTCCTATGGACACATTTCTAGTTAATTCTTTTTTGTTTTTATTTGTTTTGATTTTTGAGTTTGCATTTTTTTCTTCTTCTTCACATAATTATTAAAATTAAAATAGCTGTTAGTAATTGTGTTACTAATGAAATTTTTCATGAGGCCTGAATACCTTGAATCATAATTGACTTTCACTGGTGTAATAAGCAGGTACATGTATTAATGTTTGAACAATTTGCTGTTTGCTACAGGAATGAACTGGAGGAGTATTCTGAACAACAAGAACAGAACAGAAGACGACAAAATGAAGCTAAAGAGAAGTTGACTCAGGAGAGACTGGCGAGAAAATATCACTATCTCATCAGTACACATGTTATACCGGGAGTCTTTAACTCACCATATCAACCGTATGTTGTTAAAAAATATCCTCTTTCCATGTGTGAACATTATGATTATAATTTATTTCTGAAAAACTAGTACACATTCGCTTATTTAGAATTGTAAAGGCAGTAAGTTTTCTGACATGTAAATCTGGTTGACCTTCTGAATGTTTACATTTAAAAGTAGTAGTTAGAAGACTTGGAAATAAATTTATAAATTCTTTTGAATGTTTATCTAAAATTTATACATTAGTCATTGACATATCACACTTCAAATATCATTGTCATTAAGTATAACTAATTCATCTGCCCATGAAACTTGAAATATTTTATGATTTAAAAATAACTTCTTTATTGTTCCATATTATATTAAAATCCATTATTTACACTCATTTACTGTATTTAAGGTACCCTAGTGAGATGGAGTATGCCCTTGCCAGTGTGAAACCTCTGATACACAAGAAAAAGCCAAGTACAGACAATCCATATGACCCAGCATGGAAGAGTTATGGGCACGAGCTTCCCAAACCACAACAGCTTCCACCTCTTCATGGCAAACCTCAAGTATGTATGATAATGTCAAGCGTAAATTTTTATGTCTTTCAAGGACACGAAAGCTGTAGCTTTTGCCAAATTTCAACAAAGAAGCTAACATATGTCCAAAATGTGATCATTATATTTATATTTATTGGTTGCTCACTATAATATTGAGCTAGCCTTGTTCCAAAATTTCTGTCAGAAGTAGAAGTTATTTAGTTAGCACATTAGTACTTTATAGATAGTAAAGACACCATTAAACTATGATGACATGTTAATGATTGTGTTTGTGTATATTACACATAAAGGGTCCATTCCGTGAGCCAGAGGATGTTCAGAAGCAAAGGTATAAAGGCTTCCAGCCGAGTCTGCGTGTAGCCACGTCATTTACAGCCCTTGAGGATGCAAGGGAGAAAATGAAAGCAGAGGAATGGGTTACAAGACTCAATGATGATACGTAAGCTTCAATATTAACCAAACATTTAAGTACTATTTGACATTGTGAATTTCTGTTAATATAATATGGTGCCGATATTTCAAGTTGTAATTGTAAAACATACGCTTCAATAGTTTTTTTTGGTTTTTAAAGTCACTATGTTTTGGAAAAAAAAAAAAAAAAAAAAAAAAAAAAAAAAAAAAAAAAAAAAAAAAAAAAAAAAAAAAAAAAAAAAAAAAAAAATTTGAAAAAAAATTCAACCAAAATTAAAATTTTTTTCAAATTTGGGGGTTTGGTGGAAAAAGAAAAAGTAAAAAAATTTTAAGGAAGTTACATATCATTTTCTTGTGTTAGCGTAAAACGTAAAAAAATTTCAACTGTTTTAATAAATCTCTTTATTTCCTGTGATAATGATAAATTTTTTTCAAAGAAAGAAATGAGTCATTTTGAAAATCATGTTTACATTGTAGATGATATATTTATCATTTAAAGATCATCAATTTAGATGAGTATTTTATTTTTTAGTTTCTTACCTTTCACGAGACGAAGCTACCAGTATGATCCACTCTTACATACAAAATCCAACTTTGGCCATCCTCCCTATGGAACAAAATATTTCAGAGAAGAATTTATTGACAAACATATTACACATCTGGTAAGTGCTTTTTTGTTTCATAATGAAAAGTAATAGACTGAAGTAGGGGAGTCAAGTAAATCCTAGCTTATGAATATGATAGAAGGTTTTGTGATTAGTTTAAGCTAAAGGTGCTATGTTAGTTTTGTTGGAAACTTAAACTTCATTTTTTACCCTTTATTGAAAAAAAGATAAAAATTACAAATCCATTTAGAAAGTTTACATATTGACATAGTAATGTACAAAATCATTATTAAAAGAGGTTACATCATAAGATGCATGTTGATCAGAAGTTATACTTGTTTTACTGTTAGTATTACAAGCCCATTATTTAACAACAAAGATTATTTTTACACCCTATGCAGAGTGCAAGACAGATCTCCGTAGAGCTACTCCGGGATATCTCGGTTAGAAATATGTTGTCATTTAATATATTTTCAATCATTTAAAAACATAATAATTTACAATATTACTATTGTACAGCATGTAGGAATTTAATGTTTATATATTGTTTTGGATGAATCAATGATTGGGGAAGAAAGCTTCAAATAAAGAACCTGTGATTTACTTGCTTATCACTGGGAATCAGTTAACATTATTTTAACTCCACTTTTAGTCTCTCACTCTGGGAAATTGTGTATTGCACTTAAACTTCTACAAAATGGAGTTCTTTTATGTAACAGGATTTTAATGTCAAAATGTGATAATAGTAAAGTCTGTATACAGATGTACAGATTAGTCAGGCTCTACAGTGGTCATAAGTGTCTGTTTAAACTGTAAGAATTTGATCTATCTATTTATACATTTGTATTTATGATGAAAACAGAATATAAACAATATTATCTAACCTGAAAAACGTTTATTCATTAAACCTTACTGGAACAAAACAGCATTATTAATCATGAATTTATTCAGACTTTAACTATCTTTATGTTTGTTGAATTACATGAAGTCTTGTATGTATTGTTAATTGTCAAATTACATGTAAGGCATGTGAATGTTGTGTGTTCTGTTAAGATTTATGACACTAAAAATTAAGGTCACAATTGATCATATTCACTTTATAAATGTTGTTGTCGTCTATTTATTGGCACATTGTAGTCCTTAAGATTTATTAATAGTTCCATTATATTTATACATGAAATTTTTTCCATAATTTAGTATCTGCCACTTTATATATTTGCTTATTCAATTTACAAGTGATATAACTTTTGAGACTATATAGTCTAAACAAATGTTCTAATTACACATGTATCAAGCTGGAGTTATCAGTAAGTTCTGTAGAGAGACATGATATGATATTCTACATCACAGACAAAAATATAATAAACACATGTACCCAATATATGTGATAGTGTGAAATGCAAATAATGCAAAATGATGATGCCAGTGGTAATCATTTGTAAACAGCATATACCTACCCTGACTGGTGATCACAGCCTGATAGCTTAAAAAGAAATGTCACATAAATATGACTTACAGTAACATTGTACATAATTTTGGGTATATTTGCCATGTAAATTATATCCCATGTCTTTGTACTGTATTTATTGAACATTTCATCATGATCATGCCAATAATGACACATATATTAGGCCATTTATACATGCACATTTACATGATTTTTAAAGTGCATAATTATATTGTATGTATAGTTTATATTTTAAATGATATTTACAGGTGACACCCTTTGAAACTTACTATATGGTACAGTGTTTAATTGCTTTTACATCTCTATCATTCATTGTACCAGAAATCAGAATCATAATGACTAATAGCTGTGTTGATCAAATGCTTCCTGATCATGTATTGCATGTTACAGCATGTTCAATACAAGTTTTCTGTTTTGTTTTGCTCCAAAAATTTTCAGATTTTGTTACTTTTGTGGAGAAATTACCATAAATAACCATGAATTTTAACACAAAAAGTAAACTGAACAACTGCTAATGTACATGTACTTATGTGTGAGTCTTGACTGCTTTTTAACATTAGAGAACTGCTGATATGTTCACACCAGTGGCATTACTCACTGGTCATGTTACAGCTTTGTCTCTTACATAACTTGTCTTTTCTCTGTTGAATCTGTCATATTTTGTTAATGTTCAATATTTACAAGTATTTATTTTTTAATACATACCATATGACTTTAGAAAATCTGTTTTTGTTTTAATGATAAATATTATTAGAAGTGTACCTATCCACAGTGTTATATGCATGTTATTTTAAATGGGAGAATGTCTTTACATGTATTTATCTATTTGTGTTCTCTATTTCAGCCCTTCAAGACCGTAGTGCCTCCTATCCCAGTGTTTGAGAAACTCAACGATACTTACTCCCAGGGACAAGTCTGATTTCCTTCTTCATTCGGATTATATAATGGTTTTATTTTGTGGTGATAATCAATGGCAATATAATAAAAATAGCATCAACTAACCTTCCATTCATTTGATTATTATTAAGGAGTTCATATTTAGTTGAAACACAAACTGTTGTTTAATGTGATTTTATTCACATAAAATTAAACTTTTATCAAATCAAAAGGAAATGTCCGAGATATGTATCTCTTGACAATAGCAGAAAGAAGCTTTAAATGTATATACATGTACATATACAATTTTAGATTTTTTTACACAAAAAAGACATACATGTAATTAATGGATTATTACAAAAAATTATATTGACTATACATCACCTTGTTGACATATTTAAGTATTCTTGTTGAACCAAGTGGCTTCTTCATATATTTTCCCTGTCTCTATATAATAAATCATGGTTATAAGGTGTATATATTGTAAATGTTAGTATCTGTGATATTTCTTTGCTCTTATAAGTTTACATATAATTTTTGTTATCAGTTTTTTTATAATATGTTGTTTATATTGAAATAGTGGAAAATAATGATAACTTTCGGTCAAAGTTAAATCTTGTGAATAATTGACTCATTGCTTACATATGCTGAAATGTTTACAATGATGGGAGGAAAATACATAAAATTGTAGTTACAAATGTTAAGGATTTCATGTTGAATATCATATGATCTTTGTATCATTTTCATCTATAATCATGTACTTTCTCATTATCCGTCCATATTTTTTGTTTTTGATAATAAAATAACATGAAAAAGAAAAGGTTTTGATTTTTATTCCGATGGTGTAACCCCCATAAAATCAAGCTCTGCTATAACATGAAAGACTGTTATGTAGTCTTTGCTAGATAATTTGCATATTTATTGCAAGATACATCAAATTATCAAATCTAAGGGGAGTAAGCCAGTGCATTGCTAAGTTATGTATTCTACATGTCTTTTTGTGGCAAAGATCAAAGTAACATTTAACTTTGACCTGACCTCTAAAAGCATGACTTGAATACCCCCTATTCATGTAGCTTTGCCTGGGGTGTTTAATGATGAAATATGAGAACATAATTATATGCTTCAAATGTGAAAATGTCAAAATAAATAACACTTTGGACCGGCATTCTCAAGCATTTGAGCAGACAAGCTTATAGTAGTAAAAGACCCTGTAACTTTGACCTTTGACACATTCACCTAAAATTCAATAGGGGTCATCTACTAGTCATAACCAACCTCAATACCAAATATGAAGACTGTTGACCAAAGCACTTGTGAGCAATTGAGCGGACAAGCTTTTTGAACTAAGGCCCCTGTGACCTTTGACCCAGTGACCAAAATCAATATGGGTCACCTAATGGTCATGATTAACCTCCATGTCAAATATGAAGACTGTGGGTCATAGGGTTCTTAAGATATTGGGCGGACAAACCTTTTTAAGTCAAAGCCCCCGTGATGTTGACCTTTGACCCAGTGACCTCAAAATCCATAGGGGTCATCTAATGGTCATGACTAATCTCCATGCCAAATATAAAGACTGTGGGTCACAGGATTCTTAAGCTATTTCAGTTAAGGCCATTCTGACCTTTGAGCCAGTGACTTCAAAATCAATACCATCTACCAGTCGTTACCAACCTCAATGCCAAATATGAAAACGGTTGACCAAAGCATTCTTAAGCAATTGAGCAGACAAGCTTTTTGAACTTGAGGCTCCCGTGACCTTTAACCCAGTGACCTCAAAATCAATAGAGGTCATCTGCTAATCATGACTTACCTCCATGCAAAATATGAAGACTTTGGGTCAAAGGATTCTTAAGTTTTTGGATGGACAAGCTTTTTGTTAATCAAGGCCCCTCTGACATTGACCTTTGACCCAGTGACCCAAAATCAATAAGATCTACTAATCATGACAAACCTCCTAGTCTGGTTCCCGTCGTACTATAAAATTTAGTACTATTGAACGGAGAGAAAAGGGCAGGTAATCCAGACTAGACAAACCTCCATGCTAAATATGAAGACTGGGTCAAAGGAGTCATTGGGCAGACAAGCTTATTTTCGTCAAGGTCCCTGTGACCTTGACCTTTGACCCAGTGACCTCAAAATCAGAAGGGGTCATAGGAATCGTAAGTTATTGGATGGACAAGGAAAAACCAACAAACGGTCGGACGGACAAGCTGATTCCAGAATACCCCCCAAAAAATGTTGTGCAGGGGTATAAATATATTCTATATGTTTGAAATTCTGTTTTTATGCCTTGTTGATAAATTTCATCACTTTAAATCTTTTCAGTAGCAATCAGACCACTATAAAGACTAGCCAATGTGGACATTTGTTTCATAAGTGAAAGTAAATTATACTGTTGGCTGTTCAATCTTAAAACCTTCTAAAAATTACTGATGGAAAGTTGTAAATTGTAAGCTATACAAGACCACTATGCACATTCAGCAGAATTTAGTTATTTGATATCATACTGGACTATCAGACATTTGCAGCCATGCTCGCAATAAATAGATTTGGACTATCTGGTGCTTGCAATAAAAGACTAGGGCTATTTGATGCTTGAATAATTAGACTAGAACTTTTTCATGCTTGCAGTCATTTTCACAATAATTAGACTTGGACTATCCCACTCTTGCAGCCATGCTTGTAATAAATAGACTAGGGTTATTATGATTGTTACAACCATGCGTGAAATAAATTGATTCGAGCTATATGAGGCTTGCAGCTATGCTTGCAATAAATAGACAAGGGCTATCTGAAACTGGCTGCCCTGTCCACAATAAATAAAGTATCTGATGCTTGCAACCATGCCCACAACAAGAATACTAGGATCATTTAATGCTGCAGCAATGCCCACAATAAATAGACAATCAACAAAAAATAACTAAGAATACATACAAATTTATTTCTTAAAATTATTACATCAATTGAAACATATAAATATCTAACAGATAATAATCAAATATACATAATGGACGGAATGTTAAGAACACAAAGAAAAAACATTTTTTCTAAAATAGAGATTCTTTTCTATGTACCACTGTTTGGTTCAATATTTCTGTGTAACATTTTCACCATCATTTTATTAATGAAGTTGCTCAGATATTTTTGCAAAACTTTATTCAATATTTCAATAAAAATTTTAAATTATCAGAAATGTTTCAGAATTTTAAAAAGTTACAGATACATATATAAATAATCAAAGAGTGCATGTATATTTGCTAGTATCAAGCCTCATTTGGTACATTATCCTTCTCAGAAGCATCTGGTTGTTCAGCTTTCTCCCACTGTGTCAACAACTCTGATGTTACTTCTGTAAATAATCTATCCCAGTCCCAGGGTTTGTCCTCCTGTAATAAGTTACATAAACTATTTATATTACTGCTTCAAAAAATATAACTTGTACACTTTAATGCCAGTTGATAAGAACGGAAAGCGCTTTAGTATTTCTAATCAGTATACCTTTATACATGTACATGTATATATTTTTTGGGGTATTCTATCTTAAGTAATGTCAGGGGCTCATCTGCATTATGCAAAGCAGAACTTATCTACAACTAGAACTATCACTAAATGTGATTAATAAATGAAATGAGGAAGTTACTTGTAACAGAATACCTTGCAAAAGAATTGAAATAGAGTTATGATTGTGGGCAATTAAAGGTAGTTGTGGTTCTTGTATGCTGCATTTCAAAGTGGCTGACCATTGATAAAGTTTTATTGAATTACTATGTAACAAGTCCAGAAAGATTTACGCTTCTTGAGCAATGCACTTCCTGTCATTGTGCTTCACCATTGTATGAAGTTGCATTGAATTCTAAACGTAAGTTTTTATGTTAGGCACCAGACAAGGAAAAGTAACAAAGGGCAATAACTCTACAAATACTGAAGATGAAGTTATGGTTATTGTACACTGCACTTCCACTCATTGCTCTTGACCATTGTATTGAATTCCAACTACTAGTTTTCAAGTTATGCACTAGACAAGGAAAAGTAACAAAGGGCAATAACTCTGTAATTAGTCAAGATGGAGTTATGGTTCTAATGCACTGCACTTTCTCTAAATGTGCTTTACCATTGTATGAAGTTATATTGAATTCCTACCATTAGTCTTCAAGTTATGGTCCGGACAAAAGAAAGCAATGGAAAAGTAACAATGGGCAATAACTCTGTAATTACTTTACAGTTATGGTTCTTGTGCACTGCACTTCCCCTTATTGTGCTTGACCATTGTATGAAGTTGTTTTGAATTTCAACCAGTAGTTTTCAAGTTATGCTCCGGACAAGGAAAAGTAACAAAGGGCAATAACTCTGAAATTAGTGAAGATGGAGTTATGGTACATGTGCACTGCACTTTCTCTCAATGAGCTTGACCATTGTATGAAGTTGTATTGAATTCCAACCATTACTGATTAGTCTTCAAGTTATGCTCCGGACAAGGAAAATGCAACGGACCGCTGGACCGACTGACTGACTGACCGACCGACCACCGAGTGACTCCTATATACCCCCTAAACTTCGTTTCGGGGGTATAATGATAATTTACCCTTTATTCATGTTAAGTTTTTAACAATAACTTATCAACCTTACCTCTATAAGATCTGAGTCGGTAGCCAGTGACTTAGTTAGTAATTTCAGATCTATCTCATTATCCTGAAATAAAAACAAAACATTCAAATAAGGTAATAAGTATTTCAATATACATGCACATGTATCCTACCTTATATATATATGAGTTCCTTCAAACTTATGTAAAAGAAGACCATAAAAAAAATGTAAATTTTATGATGACATCAGAAGACTGGCAACCCTTTCCCTTTTGTAGTTTTGAAGAAACCACCTTGCATGCAGAAACTTAACCAAAGTGTTATGCTGACACCAAAAACCACACCTTGGTGAGTACAACAACTCTCCCTATTCTTCAAATAGTTGAGCTAATAAAATTTTAACTTACTACCCTTGTAATAAAAATTCAAAGAAACGATCATATTATATATTTAGCTAGGTCAATAGGTCAGTTACTAGTAAATGAGAATGTTTTTCACTCACATGTCTATGTACGGATACTCTTGAGAAGATACTATAATTACAACAGTTTTTTATTCTAAACACTTTAGTCAGCAGCTACCATACCAGTCTCAATCATTCGAGTAAAATGCCACAAACGTTTTACATGTGCTACAGGCAAGCAGCTAAATAACGCTATGTAACAGTTTACACAGATATAATTTATTTCTTTTGTGCAAAAACTAGCCTAGGAAACTGAGTATCATTTACTTTGATAACCTTGAAATTGTTTCTATATCAGTACATACCAAAGTGAGAAATGCTGCCTGTCTCAATAAATCATTATCTAATTCCTTGTATGTTGCTACACGATTGACTGCCACACTGTAATACAAAATGATTCAATAATATATTACATGCTTTACTCCAATATCAAGCTGATGTATTTCAGTTTCAAGTTTATAAAAATCTAGAAATCAAAGTTATCATTTTATTACCTAGATTGTTGTACTCTTAACAAATCACATCCTTCAGGGTGCATGCACATATTACAGTAGCAGTAGTAATATCAGAGAAAACAACAATCAGAGCCTAGGTGTGCTTTAAGCACAGCTAGAGTTGTATGTTGATATTATATCTTAAAATGTCAGACTTCTTCTATAAGTTGAGCTTAAAAATCACAGTGTTTAAGAAATAAAAGTAAATTAATACATTGTATTGTTAGAGTAACCTGGGTTAATTATAAAGATGAACATACTTGGGAGCATATGCCACTGTTTGTGTGATATCTTCTTCTTGTTGATCCTCTAGATCAGGGATAACTGGTATATCTGTAAATATATAAACATTCTACAAGTATACAGATTATAATAGTGGTCATCTCCTTACTTGATTTAATATTAACTTTTATGTCTATACCTTCTCCAATGTCCACAAGCCACAAATTCATTTCTTTGTCTAATGTTGTAATATTGGTCATTTTTTAAACTAGCTAAAACTTTATATTAACATAAGTATTAAATGGGTTATTTGTCATTCAACAGTTATTCAGCAATTTGTTCAAGTTTATACTCTACCTACCATTATCAGAATCATCACTTTTATCTGGACTGTGTGGTCTCAGCCTCTCACTGAAATATAACAGGCAATAAGTCAGTTTTCCATTCTATATAACTTTGATGTGCCAATATTAAGGTTTAATGTACAAAATGTTCATGAATCAAGTTAAATTTATAAAACTAAACAAAGAACATGGTGAGGGTATTTTTCAATGCATGCATCATGCAGTGTTACATATACAATACATTGTATATAATATAAACATGCTCTATATACAACTGAAAAAATAATCAATATATTATACAACAATATCTTAACACAAAATTACACTATATTACCTTACATGATACATTTTTTATGACAAGACAATTATTTACATTTATTTACCAAAACAATGCAAATTTTACTCTTGATATAATTTTTACCATTTTAAATGACTGTTATTTCATAAAACAGTTACAATTGCAAATTTATTGTACAATATAGCAATAATAAATATAATTTCAATTTCCTTGCACTGACCTGCTAAAAGAACAGAAAAACTGTTTATACAATACCAAGTTTTATTTAAGATATCTTATTAAAACATTTATAATAACTAGAACACAAATAAACAAACTACATATATATATAAAAATCTTAATCATGAAATGTAACTGTAAATTAAAACAAACAACAGGGATTCACATGACAACAGTAAGGTGATCAACAGCAACATAATTATGGTGTTCAAGTGTAAAGGTGAAGGGGATTCAATGTTAAGTTGAGAGGCAAATAAGAAGAGGGCCATCATGGTCCTAGACTGCTCACCTAATATCCAGGAAAAGGTCATTATTCTTACAATATTAAGTAAGAAATTGGGTCACATTGGGTGTGTCATTTTTACCACAGCTTCATGATTTATAAAATGTTTGTAAAGGTCAGCTAAGAAATGCTTTATGCCATTTATCTGGGCATTGTAGTCAAAATATTTTGATATGTCAACGCCAGATTCCAAGGTATTTTTGTACTGGGTCAGAATCTAGCTTCTAGTGTGGAGCTATTGCCCATACACAAAATAGCACAATAACTCAAGGCATAGTACAATTAGTTGGACTTCTAGGCATTGTATTGTCACACTTAAGACAATATATATAATTTTCGTAGAGGATCGCATAGAAAATATATGCCAAATAGCTATTCTATGGGCAAAGAAAGTTTAAATAGAGAATCAAATGGTAATTCTGCATGCTCTGGGCTCACAGAAGTATATATTAACTCCTTGATCCCTAAGGCATAGTCAATGATCACTCCATGTCATACTTTATTTAACTTTTGTAAGCGTTAATAAAATGCTACATGCTAAATATTTTCAGGTATTTTTCAAAGCTGACTTAAAGTTTGACCCCAAAGCATATTAATACAGTTAAAAGTTAAGAAGCCACAATATGCAACGACAAAAATCAAATATCTTTAAAAATGGGTATTCAGTTTTTTAGGAAATTTTTTAGATTTTTTTTTTTTTATTCATTTTGAGCTCTGTGCGACTCAAACCCCTTATAAAACATTTGTAAAAAGGTACCTAAGGAAAATTTTTGTGAAGTTTTGGTGGTTTAGGAGATGTTGTTTATAGAAATTGTGATTAGCAAAATATAACTAGAACTGCCACTATCATGGCTTGAATACCCCCGCATACCACTTTGTCAGAATCAACAGTGGCCATTTAGAGCTCAAGGACAACCTCCCTGCAAAATCTGAGGTTATGCCAGTGCATTGCTAAGTTATGTATTCTACATGCTTCAAATGTGAAAATGTCAAAATCAATAAATTGCGGACAGGACATTCTTTAGCAATTGAGAAGAAAAGCTTTTTTTGTCAAGGTCCCTGTGACCTTGACCTTTGACCCAGTGACCTCAAAATCAATAGGGGTCACCTTATAGTCATGATCAACATCCATGCCAAATATGAAGACTGTGGGTCAAAGGAATCTTAAGGAGTGGACAAACTTTTTGAAGTCAAAGTCCCTATGACCTTGACCTTTGATCCAGTGACCTAAAAATCAAAAGGGTCATCTACTAATCATGATCAACATCCATGCCAAATATGAAGACTGTGGGTCAAAGTAATCTAAAGTTATTGGGCAGACAAACTTTTTAAAGTCAAAGTCCCTGTGACCTTGACCTTTGACCTGGTGACCTCAAAATCAATAGGGGTCATCTACTAATCATGACTAACCTCCATGCCAAATATGAAGACTGTGGGTCAAAGGAATCTTAAGTTATTGGGCGGACAAGCTTTTTGAAGTAAAGGCCCCTGTGACCTTGACCTTTGACCACAAAATCAATAGGGGTCATCTACTAATCATGACGTACCTCCATGCCAAATATGAAGACTGTGGGTCAAAGGAATCTTAAGTTATAGGGTGGACAAGCTTTTTGAAGTCAAGGCCCCTGTGACCTTGACCTTTGACCTGGTGACCTCAAAGTCAATAGGGGTCATCTACTTATCATGACTAGCCTTCATGTCAAATATGAAGACTGTGGGTCAAAGGAATCTTAAGTTATTGGGCGGTCAAGCTTTCTGAAGTGAAGGCCCCTGTGACCTTGACCTTTGACCTGGTGACCTCAAAATCAATAGGGGTCATCTACTAATCATGACTTACCTCCATGCCAAATATGAAGACTGTGGGTCAAAGGAATCTTAAGTTATTGGGCGGACAAGCTTTTTGAAGTCAAGGCCCCTGTGACCTTGACCTTTGACCTAGTGACCTCAAAATCAATAGGGATCATCTACTAATCATGACTAACCTCCATGCCAAATATGACGACTGTAGGTCAAAGGAATCTTAAGTTATTGGGCGGACAAGCTTTTTAAAGTCAAGGCCCCTGTGACCTTGACCTTTGACCTGGTGACCTCAAAATCAATAGGGGTCATCTACTAATCATGACTAACTACCATGCCAAATATGAAGACTGTGGGTCAAAGGAATCTTAAGTTATAGGGCGGAAATGAAAAAACCGACGGCCGGACGGACGGCCGGACGGACAGCCGGACGGACGGACAAGCTGATTCCAGTATACCCCCCTTACAACTTTGTTGTGCGGGGGTATAACAAGCATTGGACAACTTACAATCAGAAAAGTTTTTCTAAATGATGAACAAACAACAGCTGTCCAAAAGATAGCTAGTTCAACTATCAAAAGTACTTGCCTGGAAGTGGGGATGATGGCCACTAACAAGTATTTAATGTTTCAAAGCAATACCTCATAAGGTAAAGGAAAATAAGTGGGGCAGTATTGAAATTCTTAGTAGAAAAAGGGGCATAATTTTGTCATTATCCTTGACAGAGTTTTGTTCTCTTGCCTAGAAGTGGGGATTGTTGGTCACTAACAAGTATCAAAGTTTCAAAGCAATATTTCAAATGGTAAAAGGAGATAAGTGGGGCGGTATGAAAACTTAACTGAAAGTATGATGCAGATGCCCAGCAGAGTATAAATATAATAGTCAAGCTAAAATCTATCATTACCAAGTAATGTATTGAAATACATATACTTAAATCAGAGCTGCTTGGACATATATTCAAATAATATCAGCTGTTTGTAAAACAACATATTTAGTAAAATATATATATTAAATCAATATGCATAATAAAAAGAATATTTAGCAAAATTTCATTACAATAACAAGCTGCTATTGAAGAAAAAATTTTATTTTACAACATCAAACTGTAATTCAATGGAGGACAAAAGTTAATTTATCAGAAAATATTAAAAGTCACATAATGCATTGTCTTTGGGTTAAATAACAATCTGATACAGTTAAATCAGGGTGAACACAAACAAAATCAGGTGGCATGGGGGCACAATCACTCAACTCTTCCTGCTCAGTACCCCACCCATCAAGTTTACGGGGTCGACGCGGACGTTCAATTTTTTCCATCTCAGATTCAATGTCAAGGCCACTAAAAATATCTCTACAACAAAAAATTTCTTTTAAGATTAATTTTATAATAATAATCAGATAAAAAAATTACTTTCAAAATTTCTTCAAGTTAATGTTACAAGTTTCATTACGGTAACTTAACAAGTGTATCAAGTCTCTGTATCAGAAATTGCTTCTCTGAAAGAAAATGGCAAGTTCATTAAGACACCAATGTTATCATAAGTATAAAACATGTGATCATAGTGATTTATGCCAGTAAAATAAAGTTCACTCCCCTTTCATCACACACATTACTCTGTTCACTTGCTGTAATAGTGGTATCAAGGCATTCTTAATTCTTCTACAAATGACCTATCATATTTCAAAGCAAAATGCATACAATGTTTGCTACAAATATAGTGTAGCTTATTCTAAGATTCAGTCAATTAAAACCAGGGAATACTTGAATGTATATTCACAACTTTAGCAAATACTACCAAAACACAAGGGTGGTACAGGGCTGATTTTTTTTGTAATGAATCTATCCTAATTTGATTGAAAAACTTTCTACTGTCAGATTTTATATACAATTTTAAAATCAACTAGCCAGCAGTATAGTATAACTGACTGCTAGGTTATGTAGACAGATATAACTCTTTACTGATGGCACTTGCCTATCATTGTTATTTACAGTAAGATAAATATAACAAGAGGGCCATGATGGCCCTGAGGTCGCTCACCTGTATTTAGGCCCCCGGAGCGGGGCTAGTTTACTACACACATATAATGAAAAACAATGACCTCCCCCCCCCCCCAACCCCCTTTGGCACGGCCAATTTTAACCCAAGGGCTTTTATTTTAACAAACTTGGTAGACACCCACAAAAAGATGTTTCCTGCAATCTAACCTCTAGCTCATTGGGTTTTTTAAAAGAAGATTTTTTTAAGTTTTTACTATACACATATAGTTAAAAACAATGACACCTCTGGGGCCGGGCCAGTTTAAGCCCCAGGGCTGTTATTTGAACAAACTTTGTAGACACTTACTAGAAGATGTTTCATGCTTAATATCTAAACTCTAGCTATTTAGGTTTTTTCAAAGAAGATTTTTAAGTTTTTGCCATACACATATAAGGAAAATCAATGACCCCCAGGGCGGGGCCAATTTTGACCCCAGGGCTTTTATTTGAACAAACTTTGTAGACACTCACTAGAAGATGTTTCATGATTAATATCTAAACTCTAGCTATTTGGGTTTTTTCAAAGAAGATTTTTTAAGTTTTTGCTATACACATATAAGGAAAATCAATGACCCCCGGGGCGGGGCCAATTTTGACCCCAGGGCTTTTATTTGAACAAACTTTGTAGACACTGATTAGCACATGTTTCATGCTAAATATCTTAGCTCTAGCTCTTTGGGTTCTTTTAAGTTTTTACTATATGCATATAGGGAAAATCAATGACCCCCTGGGGCGGGGCCAATTTTGACCCCAGGGCTTTTATTTGAACAAACTTGGTAGACACTTATTAGAAGATGTTTCATGCTAAATATCTTAGCTCTAGCTCTTTGGGTTCTTTAAAAGAAGATTTTTTAAATTTTTACTATATGCATATAGGGAAAATCAATGACCCCCTGAGGCGGGGCCAATTTTGGCCCCAGGGCTTTTATTTGAACAAACTTGGTAGACACTTATTAGAAGATGTTTCATGCTAAATATCTTAGCTCTAGCTCTATGGGTTCTTTAAAAGAAGATTTTTTAAGTTTTTACTATATGCATATAGGGAAAATCAATGACCATCGCGGCGGGGCCAATTTTGACCCAAGGACTTTTATTTGAACAAACTTTGTAGACACCCATTAGAACATGTTTCATGCTAAATATCTTAGCTCTAGCTCTTTGGGTTCTTTAAAAGAAGATTTTTTAAGTTTTTACTATATGCATATAGGGCAAATCAATGACCCCCTGGGGCGGGGCCAATTTTGACCCCAGGGCTTTTATTTGAACAAACTTGGTAGACACTTACTAGATGATGTTTCATGCTAAATATCTTAGCTCTAGCTCCATGGGTTATTTAAAAGAAGATTTTTTAAGTTTTTACTATATGTATATAGGGAAAATCAATGACCCCCTGGGACGGGGCTAATTTTGACCCTAGGGCTTTTATTTTAACAAACTTGGTAGACACTTACTAGGAGATGTTTCATCCTAAATATCTGAGCTCTAGCTCTTTGGGTTTTTTTAAAGAAGATATTTAAAGTTTTTTCTTTCGGTTGCCATCAGGCAACCAGAGTTCTGCATGGAATTGAATTCTTTGAACAGTTTTTAAAGGTGACCACCAATGGAACATTCCTGTGAAGTTTGGATGAAATTTGCTTAGTGGTTTATGAGGAGATGTCATTTAAAGTAAAAAGTTTACGAACGGACCGACGGACGGACGCCGGACGAAAAGCGATCACAAAAGCTCACCCTGTCACTTTGTGACAGGTGAGCTAAAAACAGACAGACAGATAGACATGATTGTATGAAAACTGCATCTATTTATATATTACAATATGACATTGAGTTAAACAGAAAAACATCAGTTCCACAGTAACAAGATAGAAATCTTTGTGTAAGAAAATTACAACAAAATTAATACAAAAAGGCTAGAAATAGAAAAACTTAACATTAACAAATTTACTTTGCTCAAATATGAGACATTTGGATTTTATGAAGCTGACAAAGTTTGTAAATATGAAACAAATACCTCTCCACTGAAAACACTGACACTGTCCTAACAAGCCAAAATCAATGTAAAGTACAAGAAATGTTTATCTATTTGTACAAAACCACAACTTGTAACCTTGTAAATGTGAATGTTACAATATCATAAGGTGAGGATACCACAATACAATGTATATAATTATACATGTATAATATGGAAAATAAACAGCAGATCGAAACATTCTTATACAGAACAAGTACACATTACAATCATAGTACCATAATTAATATGAACAAGCAATTATCATAGTATTGCAAGCTATCCATAAGTCCCCTACCAGTTAGAACCATTCACTAATGTTTCAATTTTTCTCTATTTTAAGTAAATTTGTTGGAAAAGTTCTTTAAAAGTGATCACAGGAAACCGGTTTTTATGAACAGACAGACAGACGGACTGAGGGACACTCTACTCTAAAGTTAATATTTGAAACATCTCTGTTACCAAAATATAACATTTTTAAAAGCAAAATTCTTAAAGAGGAGATAACTCTTGAATTAAAGATGCAATTTCATAAAAATTTTCAGCTCTTTTTAACTAATCACAAATATTGTTATATTTGCCATGTTTTAAGCCTATTTGTTGCCAGGGCAACCAATGTTTTTTCAAAATAGGAAGAAAAGATAAAAACATGCATAATCTCCAGACTGCCATCTACCCATATGTCAAGTTTCATAAAAATATTTCCAGTACTTTTTGAGTTATCACTGGATTCAGTTTATGTGTAAAATTTGCCATATTTTCAGTCTATGTGTTGCCATAGCAACCAGAATTTTCAACATAGGAAGAAAAGAAAAGGACGTGCATAATTTCCAGACTGCCATCTACCCATATTTCAAGTTTCATAAAAATATTTCCAGTACTTTTTGCGTTATCACTGGATCCAGTGTATGTGTAAAATTTGCCATATTTTCAGTCTATTTGTCGCCATAGCAACCAGAATTTTCAACATAGGAAGAAAAGAAAAAGACGTGCATAATCTCCATACTGCCATCTATCCATATATCAAGTTTCATAAAAATATTTTCAGTACTTTTCAAGTTACTGCAGGATCCAGTTTTGTGGACGGACGGACGGACTGATGGACTGACAGACAGACGAACAGACAGACGGACGGAGGATAAACCTAAAGTCCCCTCTGGTAAACCGGTAGGGGACTAAAAAATATAATGTGACAATCTTAAAAAAAAATATTTAAAAATACCATATACCAGTCAGTAAATATAAGTAATAAGGTGTAAAGACTTGAAACTTCTATCTAAGCTACTTGAAATATCATCAGTTCATAAAAAAATTACCATTATATAATAATACTCACTCTTCAAACTGTTCCATGCCTTCTCCAAGATTTCTTCCCCTGAAATATTAAAGGCTTTGAATCATTCCACTTAAGCTTGTTTTAAAAAGTAAGTACTAATAATAAGCAAGTAACTACTTATAATAATCTTGATACATCTTGTAAGATGCATGCAAAAGTTGTGTAAACATTTCATAATTAGGTGACCTTACCACTTTTCCTGCCGAATTTCTCACAGGGAAGTGTCTACATTCTATTTGCCCATTTTCAATAAAATAAAGCATTTGAGGTTGAAAAATATTAAAAATTTGATGTTGTCATTGTGTCATTTTTTATCGCTGAAGTAAAAGTTTAGGGTTTTTTGCAAGTTTGCCAGAAATATTTTGAACAAGAAACTATGATATAACAGGATGGCATTTATTTTGGTAATGACACTGTATTTTTTCGGTAACGTAGATTTCAGATCTAATAATGTAACATATTGGCTGAATATTAACAACAAATGTCTTTAAAATATATCAAAATATATCAAAATCTGTAAATTCTCTATCTAGAGGGACTTTCTAACCCAGGATAATTCAAGGAAGTTGGGTACCTTGCTAATTTTCAGTTAATTTCTTCAAAGTTAAATATTCGTAGAAAGCAAAAATAGTCAATTTTGGAAATGATTATTTCATGTCTTCATTCAAAGGATATATATCATATATAATATATGAGAGGTCGAATGCATACACAAGTGTTGTATTAGCATTTTTTTTTTCAAAACATTCAACTTTTCACTTTCTTAATATTTGGAAAATTTATTGCTAAGCAGTTCTATATTTATCCCCATATAGGATGTCACGTATGTTTCATTTTATTCAAATGCAAGTAAAGGTTGAGAAAACAATTTTATTTTTTGTAAAATAATGTATATTTATGGATATTATTTTAACATTATTATATATAGAATGAAATACGGTCAGTAAGCTCTTTGCAGAAAGGAATTAGTTGTTGCTGAGAACATCAATATCTTGTAAAATATTTTTAACATTTCTGCAGGTACATCAACATATTATTAACATATCTTTCCTTTGTAAAAATAATTTTGTATCTTCTTACATCTAATACAAGGTAACCGTTACTAACAGGCATGATAATCCCAACTTTATCTTTAATTTAAAAAATTGTTGAATTGTAAGTTGGAGTAACGTATGTTTCACACTCGCTTATTTATGAACTTAATCACGGAATTGAAACTTACATGTAAAATCGACTTTTTTATTTAGGAATCAAATGTACATCATTCTTTTGTCATAAAAATGCGATTTTATGTTTTTATATATGCATGTGTAAACAATATAAAGTTTGTTTGATAAAAGTAACGTTTGTTTCACTGTGGTTGCTTAAACAAGTTAAAACTCGACCAAAGTTATCAAAATTTACTTACTAATGTCAAATAGAAGTTAATGTTGCTGTTATACGTGCTTTCTGACTTCAATTTCCCTTTTGATAAACTTACTTTAAAAAGTTGATAACGTATGTTTCTGTAACGTATGTTTCATTTTTACATTTAAAGTGGGTTAAAAAATGACGCAAGACCGTTTAACCCGCCATAATTTGTGGTTAATATATCAGAGTTACACACATGTTGATTTTCTTTCTTGTTTGGATTCTTCTTTGAATCGATGGCTCTTAAATAATGGTAACGTATGTTTCTTTTTAAAATGCTGTTGAAAAGATTTGAATAAAAAATGAAAATTTCCGAAAATATAATGATATTTGAGAGGCTGCAAGCTTATTTTTACTTATAATTATATATATGCTGTATTATTAAGCATGCATCGATTCAATTATGTAATTTTGGTTACACTTATTATTGTTTTAGGTTTGTCACTATTTATTTATATGCATTTGGCGACATTTGATCATCCATTATATCAATGAGATTTTAACAGTCAAATATAATTTTTACCAATAATCAAAGTTCATATACACACAGCAATGACTAATTGCACAAGTTTCGTTTATTCTGGAACTTATTTTTCTGAGACACAATTTCAAAGTTGAAAATTCTAGGTGGCGACAGTAACGTATGTTACATTTTTGGGCATTAATCGTACTTGTAAAAGAAAAATAACAGATAGAAATGTAAAACTGAGAGTGTCCCTATTAGACAAAGTGGCAGCCACCTTTCTAACGACATTTTGACCTCAAGAAAAACCTTCGTATAAGAGCTACCCAGTGGAACATCAAATGCTGTGTCTTATTGAGAATGAGCGTATTATTAGAACTGTCCATTATCAATTTTGGATATATCAAGATGAAATTTTGGTCTGCCTGAAGTCTAGAGCCTGGTTAATGTGTAATCATTTACAATTTATATCTATTCCTTCCATTTTCATCAAAATAAAAAAAAATTCTTATTTTCCAATATTTATTCATTTAATAAAGTTTTTGCTACAAAGAATCTTTACTGGTGTTTAAAACATATATTGAGCTTTTTGAATGACTGTAGGTTCAATACTGAATTCAATACAAGTTGAATAAGATTATATTATGTGAGCTTTAAAAATCATTAAATATATACCTTCTTCTAGGGGCATCTTCTCCCCAGCCAGATACTCTGTTAGGTTTAGGTGGTCCATCATCCTGCAATGACAATAAAAATATTTTTATTACAGAAATATTATTCAACAACTCTTTTTTTACAATTTGAAACATATATAATTTTACAATTCAATTGATGCTTAATGGTCTTTTTACTTTTCTATCATTTTTTCTCTATTCCCTGTAATGACAATTCATCATTTGAAACTGACACAAAAATTGTTCTAATCATTACAGCACTTTTGTAGCACTTTTTTTTGTTTCATTAACAAAAACAATTGTAATAATGTAATTATAAAACCTACTATATCTTGTGCTGGTTGAGGAGAATCTCCTCCTGGTGACGCCTCAAAGTCTGGTGCTGCGGGAGCCTTTGCTTGCTTTGATTGAGCACGCCTTCCTGTTTTTGCATTCTGTTCATAGAAAAAGATAATAGAATTTGAGTCGCGTCACGACAAAACGCCCAGTCTGATCAGGATCCATGCTGTTTGCTAACCAACCCTATTACAAGTAGAGAAACTGATAGCGAACAGCATGGATCCTGATCAGACTGCGCAGATGAGCAGGCTGGTCTGGATCCATGCTGGCCGCAAACACAGTATGTTGGTTTTGTCGTGACGCGGCTCATTTAATTTATGTACTTTGATCAATTAATGAAATTTCAATCTTATTATCTAAATACACATGATTGTAAGCAGTAAGTAATACATGGCTATTTCAGATGCCAAAAATATTGTATCCATATGATCAGACTCAATACAGAATTATACTTCATGAACATGTCAGATACTGCATGCAGACTGATGTTAAGAACTTGACTGCATGCATGCTGTCAAACGTAGACATACATGGATGTTTGATTTATTCTATTAGTTTGTAACTATTGAATTTATGGTTACGTTATTGTCATAAATAAAACAAACTTCATCAAAAAAAATGTAACTTTTCCAACAACATTTAACAATTCATTATGATTTAAAAGTCCCTGGATGACAGGGAAATTAATTTATGGGTAGTAAAGTTCTTCATGTATCTGTGTGTGCCCACAAAATTATGCTATTTGTTTGGTGCTGAAATATTGGGGGCTATTTCTAACTCAGTGTGGGTGGGTATTTATCAGACCTTCAAACATTTGACTATCCCTAAAGTGCAGGGGTAATAGGACATTTAGGACCATGGACGTTTCGGACCTGACATTTCGGACCAGATTTTAGGACACTTCGGACCATATTTAGGGACATTTCGGACCAGATTTTTGGACATTTCGGACCATGTGTTGGACATTTCGGATCATATGCGTTAGACATTTCGGACCATGTGTTGGACATTTGGGATCATGTGTTAGACACTTCGGGCCATAATTTTGGACGTTTCGGACCAGAATAAATAATATTTTTTTTATATATTGTGCATCAATTATTCTATAAACTAAAGTGTAATTTTGCCGTGTTGGGCTTTCTTTAGGGATTCTGTTTTTATCTATTTTAGAATATATGGGACACCATGGAACGATTTTACACCTATCCCGATTTAGATTTAATATATTTTGCACTATAAATGAAGAAAATTAAAAAAACAAACAAACAACGTTTTAATGACTCGTTTGGAAACAATTTATTACAAAGTATATACAAAAAGACATTTTTATATTGCAGTCTGGACAACAATTTTTTTACAATTATAATCAATTTGTTTATTGATGATTAAAACTGTACTTTAATCGCATCTACATCAATTTAAATATTTGTTGTCAAATTAGGTGAAAATTGCATACATATACTTCTTTAATTGAGTGAAACGTTACTTAAACAAGTTCTATTCAGCAATTAAAACGTGTGAAAAACTGCATTGACAAGGATGTCTTGTTCTTTAATACCTGCTAGAACACGATTTAATTTGGTTAAAATTGACGGACAGGTCATTGCTGCATGCATTTTGAATATCATAAAATATAAAATTGTCAAATATTTGTTGCATTTATTATTAGAAACTATATTAAATACATCCTGAAATAACAAATAATTACATATAAAAAGGATATATTCTGGTCCGAAGTGTCTCCATCATGGTCCGAAATGACCATCACATGGTCCGAAATGTCCCAAAATCTGGTCCGAAATGACCAAAAATCCTGTCCGAAGTGTCTGGTCCGAAACGTCCGTGGTCCGAAATGTCCGTAATTCAGTGCAGGTAGGGCCTTTCCTGGATTAACTTCATTTTATTTTCCTGACGAATTAGGCTATTTCAATTTGGCCCTGCATCGTTTACTTTACTCTTTTAATGAAAATTACTGATTTGGTTACGGGCGACATAATATCTTCTTATCAAAACATCCTTCAAATCTTACTCTTTTGCTTGATTCAGTTTCAAATCCAAAATCCTCACTCATACTTCAATCTTTAAATGTTGATAGGAATTCAAGAAAGATTTGTTTTGTTGTTTACAGAAGAATTTATGCAAGGGAGACAACTGTTTGATTTTTATATTTTAACGAATGAATTTTTATGTATATCGTTATAGTCATCGTTGTCATTGTCATCTTCGTTGTCGTACAATGTTAGTCACATACTTCACTTTTTCCAAGAAAGTGAAGCATCTGTTTGTCTCAACTTTGACTTAATATCCTAAACTTCAAAGCAAGTAGGTCACATGTATTACCTCAATCCTACCACGCAATAATATGTAATTACAATGTACCGCAACAAAATTTTCGGTACCAAATATAAAGTTAATACAGCAAGTAAATTCTAATTCCTTACAAAAGGTATAATCAACTCATCTTCAGTGAAATTTATCATTTTAGTGGTAAAACCATAGGTTCAATTTGCTAAAAACAAAAGAAAAGAAAGATCAAGATCAAATGATATTAAGGTTTTATTTGCTTTGTCAACTAACATTGATCATATTATAGTCTAAAAGTACATTAACAAAATGTGACAAATTGCTGACTTGCAAAGAAACCAACGTTACCATTTTCGGATGACAGTAATACAAAATACAATCAGAGCTGGCTCAAGATACCGAGCAATTATTACATTAAGGATCATGCTAATTTTTTGGATCAGCTACTAAACAAGCTTATCTTGCTTTTTCCTAAAATTTCTTAAACCTGCTATTTCAAATTGACTTAAATGAAATAACAATTGAAAATAAAATCTAAAGGAATAAACAATGGAGCATTTAAAGTTGAATTTGATCTTATTCTTGTTTCTTAAATATAAGTACATGTAAACACGGGGCCTAGCGCTCCGCTCTTCCATGCAACACCTGTTGCCTACGTACGACGGTCTAATGTGCCATTTTATTTTAAAATCCCATCATGCGAGTTATGGCTTTTTGACATCGAGCCTTCGTGAGACTAACAAATCTATGTAGTTACAAGTCAGTCTCTTGAATGAAATAGTTTTCCAATAAACTTTATATACCACAAGAAAATATATATTCTAAAATAAAACAAAAGAATGCATGAAATGCATGGTAACCTTAAAGAATGCTTCATCTGGTAAAATTGAAAATGCTACTGTCTTAGGTTTGATTGAGTCTGTTCATGAATGGCAATCTACCATCCACACACTCTAGAACCACTTGTTTAAACATGAGAATGGTGTTGTTATAAAGAATAAATAAACATTGGCAGATGTGCAAATACGGTGGTGATCTAAAGTGTGTCAAGTCAATAGAAGTTGTCTGCAAGACCTATTTACAGTACTTACAATTCAAAATGGGACATAATAATGTATTCTCGCCTAGAACTGGAACTGATGGTCATAAATAAATATTCAAATTTTTAAAGCAGCACCACAAAAAGTTTAATGAGGTGGGTGAGCTATGAGTATAATTGGTAAAATCCTAAACAAAGTTATGACTGAAAGTATTCCTTTTTTGAGTTGTAAAGATAGGGTCATATTAAACAAAGGGTGCTTAGGGAATAAAAAAATAAAAGAATAACATACTGTATATTTCCATGTAATACAGATTAGCACACATCTGAATGTTGATCTTGCTTTTTATTAACTGTTCTCATGCATATTTCGTATTTCTCATGTGCATACTGTATCAAATGTGACCTGCAAACTTCCAGCTAGTACAGCAGTATGAATTGTATTCAATGATCTCTAAATCACATCAATACTACACATCAACTGTCCACCTTTATATGTATGTATGTATTCTAGGAGGGTCCATCCACCCTTTCAGGCACTGAAAGAAACCACCTTTTTATATCCATTGACTCAGATATAAAGCAGAGAGTATCCTAACAACCAAGCCTGTGTTATTTTTCACCACTCACTGGTACACAGACCTGTATACAGTGCACATTCATTTTCATTGCACTTGGTATAAAATAAATAACAACTATATTTGGGTAGAGTTTTGAAGTTTTGTATTTATGACATCTTGCAAAAACATGAATCACATTAATCAATTGATAAATGTAAAATAATTCATTGAAGCTATGTGCTTGACTACTAAAACAAAATTAATGTAAAATATGATTTTATAAAATGATAAATGGTAATTAAAATACAACCAAAACATTTTTTACAAAATACTTGTCGTTTTTAAGTGCAAAATACTGATACAACATAAACCTCAATAAACAGAAAATATTCAACAGTTTATCTCAAAATATATTTCATACCTTGAGTTTGACCAAAAGAAAAAAAAATCAAAAATTTGCTAGTTAGATTTGATTGAAAAACAGAAGATTTTCCTCCTTTAGGCCATAAATGTATGCATGCTGTTTATGAATTTATTTCATTTATAACATTTGAGTCGCGCCATGACAAAACCAACATAATGCGTATGCGACCAGCATGGATTCAGACCAGCCTGTGCATCCGCACAGTCTGATCAGGATCCATGCTGTTCGCTTACAAACCCTACAACAAGTAGAGAAACTGACAGCGAACAGCATGGATCCTGATCAGACTGTGCGGATGTGCAGGCTGGTCTGGATCCATGCTGGTCGCAAACCCATTATGTTGGTTTTGTCATGGCACGGCTCATTTGTGATAGTAATTTACAAATTGCTATCATGCTGACTGGCCATATATCATGACTGATCCATTTTTGTGGCTATAACTTACACTGAGCCTTACATTTGTTTACTTGTATAATCAAACATGTTTCTTAACAAAGAGATCAAAGTTTAATGCGAGGAAAATAGTTTAAATACTTATGTTTCAGTGTAACACATGTAGTGTCTCAGAGACTGGATACAGAAACAAGTATTCTTTATTTCTACAGTCTTATATCATACAGTAGATTAAATCAGAAAATTAAAGACAATTTATCTGAAATTCCTCATTTTTCATAATTTTTCATTTTTTTCTGGAAAAAAGTAATGTTTTAATCTTGTCTACAAATTAATTCATAAACTTTTTCTTCTGTTTTTCTTCTGTTTTTCTTCTGCAACTATCTTTGAAGAACATCTTTTTATTTTAAGAACATTGTAAAATGTCCTATGTTAAGACAGGTATAAAAACTTAAAACATATTACGGTATTTAGGCCATGCTGCTATATAAAAAGTGTCTATAAAACAGTTTACCAATCTGACAATGAACAATGAACATCTGTACAAATAGGAAGAAATCAACTATCACATCAAGTGGACAGTAGAACAATAAGAAACCCATAAAAATATACATACACCCACGAAAATACTCAACACATAAACCCAGAACAAAAAACACTATGTCTGTACATGGAGTTAAAATTAGTACCATATAAAACTTTCATCAGTGCTAACCAAAATGTTAATAAAGAACAATTATATAAAACTCTAACAAAGAGGGTTATAACAAACCATATAAAGAATCTACATCTAAATACAAAAAGTGTGTACATTAATTACCCACATAAAATAGACTCAGTTGTAAAACTCGCAAGTTCTTATCAAGGATTATAAAGCAGATGTGTACAATGTACACCGGAAAATTCATTGTTTTTGCAGTACATGGTTTTGCTGTGATTACATTGCAACAGACTAGATACTTCAAGTCTTAAAAAAATAGCTCAAAATAAAACAACTAAATCACATAATTTATACCTTCTGTGGCCTTTTATTTTAATATCATTGGTTTTATTTTGTTTCCATTTTGAAAGTAGTTAAAAAATTTGGCATTAACCAATGAATTTCTGGCATTAGAGGATATCTTTACTAGTAAGTACTTTTCATCAGTTCCAAAACTATCAGAGTTGAATGTTTCAAAAGAGAATTTTTGATATATACAATACAGAGATGACACAACATTAAAACCCTCTCCCCACTTCATTCACTTTGTAACATGTTTAAGAAATAATATATCCCAAACTGTGATTTTATTGCTCAATAACATCACTGTTTGGAGTTCGGATGCCAGGAATTATATCACGAGGGCGTAGCCCGAGTGATATAATGATGCGCATCCGAACGACAAACAGTGATGTTATCAAGCAATAAAATCACCGATTTGGATATATTATTTCGATTCTAACACAACATCAACAAATAAATGCTGCTGTACCTGATATTTAGCTAAATTGCGCCTGATTTGTTTCCGTACTTATTGTCAGCGCGTCACATTTTTAGTGGTTACGTCACGTGTATTATGATTACGTCACATGTCTAAATATAGAACGTCAAACAGTGATTTTATAGCATAATAACACACACTTTCGGTTCTTCTATGTTCAATAGGGAAAAATGCGAGTCGTGTTAGAATTTCTGTTTTAGCATACCCAAAGTTGATAATCCTGTAGAACAAGAAGAAACATTTTTTTGGATTCAGGATTAAAAATAAAAATTTTATAACAAAAATATTATATAACAGACCAGTTCTCTTTTGTAAACAAATATGTTGTTGTGAAATTCTAGTTGTAATCCACTAATTTGAGAGTTAGAACTAGACAGGTTAGCAATATATTAACAATTATTCCAAGTATACATGTTTCTCATAATTTCAGTCAAATTGAACAGGAAAGATCAAACTTAAGACTTTGGTAGATTAATTGATGCACCTGTTAGTTTACAACAAAATTAGCACCTAAGTATCAAAACAAATAAACTTTAGGGATGGCAACAAGTAATGAGTCTGAGAACTCTTATCTATCATTTTGAAGACTTAAATATAATAAGTGAAATAAAATAATTTTGAAATTTAGCAATATTTCCAAAGAAATATCTTAACTTGCTTAATGTTATTAAAACACCCATGAAGATTTGTAAATATTTCATGGCAAATTAAAATTGGTCAACAAAGACAGGCAGTCAACAGTTTGACCCTGTCCAAACAGACAGGTGTATACAATAAACAACAGCCCTAACGCTTTTCTCATCAGCCATTTATGAAATTTATTGATAGTGAGATGTGGGTGTCTGTTCTGAGGTGACTGATATGTAAAATGCTCGAGTTCAAACCACTTTCAATAATACCAGATTAAATTAATCCATGAGACCCAAATCAACAATTTTTTTTTTTTATTTTCAAGATACTTTCCTACTTTTCTTGCATTTAAAGGAGATATCAAATTGGTAAACCTTGGTGCATCAATTACCGTCTTAGTTGTCCTGACAGGACTGACTGACAAGAAAGATAAATTATTATATTTATAGTATATACACTTTCAAAGTGCAAGAAAATCCTCAAAAAAATGGTGTCTTCAATCCGAAGAATGACTGAGAACTCAAGTACTGAAATCGTACTTATTGCCATCCCTAGTAAAATTAAACAAAAACGAGTGCATTTAAGTGAAATATAATGGTAAATTTCATTAATTTGTTGAGAAAGTACAGACATTAATTTATGTTCATTCTGTAATGTCAATGTATTTGACTCCACTGACATAGATGACAAGACTTTCAGCAATTGAAAGGTTAAAGGTTTTATTTCTATTTTACAAGTAATAACTGCTGTCAGGACATGACTGTTGCAATATTTCTAAAATGATGTTTCATCAAGTGCCAGTTATTTTCAAAATTAAATACTTGTAAAAAAAATTATAATTGATAGGAAAATATTTCTGATCACAACCTTTGTACTAAGAGGTTTCTGTGCAAAAAGTATGGTAATGAAGACAAAATGCATTTTGAAAAACATAAAAAAAATCAGTTACTTTGTATTTAAATCTTCTCAGTTTTAATTAAAACAAAAAATTCATGGCAGTCACCAATGTTCTGGAACAGCGTTCATCAAGATAGGCCAAGTCCAAATAACTGTTCCAAGTAAATCAACAAAGATGCAAAGTTTTGAATTTCAGTCTATTTCCCCTAATGCAGAGTATGATGCATTCCAGATGCTAATTAGTAACGTGCAGCTTACAATAAAAAATGAAAACAATATAAGTAGAATGACATTATCACTATTACACAAATATAATTGCACCTTCAAATTTCTTCTCATAAATGCAAAACTGGTATGAGGAGTCTATAAGAAAAGTATGTCTGAATGCCACCTTGTCTAACTTATAATAAGTAGATTCTAAATAACATGTAACATACTAAACAAATTTTAACATAAAAATTCATTAGTAATTTATCTTAAAATTGGTCTAAACCCTATAAAAAGAAATGTCACTATAGTGAAGTGAAATAGAAAGCATTATAGAGCTAGTGATGTTGATAGGAATCAAATCTGTGTCAGAATGTTATATATCTATGAAATTGTTTTGAATGGTTAATTTTGATATTCAGTTCGAAAAGATTGGAAACATGTAGAAATGTTACAAGGTAAATTATCAACTGAAAACGGGGAAACTACAACAGCACCTTAAAATAATAATATAGGACAATAGCATTTGGCTAATTTATAGATAAAACATAATTATACAAGCATAATGTAATTGAGAGTGTAATGCTCTAGGTTATTTATGAATATAGCACCTTAAGCCAGAACCAGCTGGGAACATAGCTGTAATCTATATAGTGTTCCAAGATGAAACTGATATTTGGTTTCAAAAATGATGTCTACCAACAAATAAATACAATCATTGACATCAGGATTTTATGCCTATCTGTATATACATAATTCAAACACTGTAATTCCAAAATTTGAGCACCTCAAATTCTTACCTCCATATTAACTATAACTGCTATACTGCACAGGATATTCATATTCTTATCCATGTTTAACATTCGAATTGCAAAAACAATACCAGCTACACTGGTGAATACTCCTTGATGCTGCTTTAATACAAAATACATTGTATAAATTAAAACTAAATATAGAGAAATTTATATTTAGCATCAGTGACCTTAATCCCATTGACTTCCCATCAATTGGTAGATGTCCATACACCAAACACATTTATAAAAGATATTGTTCTATGAATGCAAAATTGTCTAAATTGTCTTCAGAAAAAACAAACCAGTGATTATAATTCTCACACTAGCCCTTTCAAATAACAAGGAGCATAAAAAAATCCAAAAATATTCCTGATACAGTGTAACTAATGCATATAGCTGTATGTTTATTCTAGAAATGTAAACTATATTAAAAGTACCAGACTTTTTATGAAAATTTTCATTATTAGTGAAATAGCAATATTGTGCAAATAAAGGAAATATTGGTCTTTTGGTAGCAAATATTTGCTGACCCCCCCCCCCCCCCCCCCCCTAAAAAAATGGGAGTATCTTTATTCCAGTGTGAAATTATTCTAAAATCATACAGATTAAAAAAAGTATGTCATGCAAAAATATGTTCTATCAACAAGTTTGCTTTGAAGAGTTGTCTGTGCATTATTTTAGTTTCGAGAACAAAAAAGAACATTTCACTATAATAACACTGTTGTAAAAAAGTAGTGAAAAGAAAATTCTATAAAATAATTTTGTGCTATATGAACTTATTATTGATATTTACAGTATCTTTTTTTTTATACAACATTTAATTAATACTTTGTGCAAAAAATACAAAAAGTTAACATATACAATGTATTGCATTATCACCTTTTAATATTGAATGCTAAACTTGTAAGAAGAGATTTCATTTAGCACTTTACAGTGTAAGAAAATACAAAAAAAAAGAAACAAATTTAACAAATATTTCTTTGACCAACACCGAGAAAAAAGTCCTAAAATACATTTGTACATATATCTATACACAACAATTTCTTTACAAATATATGTATGTGTGTGTGCACTTTGTACACGGTCTGTATTTACACGGCGGTCATGCAGTGTGTAACACTAGGTGTATCTACATGTTTTGTAATTTACAGTGGCACATTTTTTCACCCTTGTATAAAGAGTATCAGCAGTTTGATCTGTAAACATCAAACAAAATCACATACCAGTAAAATATCTTTATACCAATGTAAAGATCTTATCTAGAACCAATTCAGTGAATGCTTGATAAAGAGTCAAAATTCTACATAAACCAAACTTGCTTCATATAAGAGTTAGAATCCTATGATAATCTTTTAATACTTTTTTTTCTCAATATCAAAAAATTCTTACTTGGAATTTAATTCAAATAAAACTATAGTAAAAATCTTTATGGATTAACATTTAAATTAATTTCAAATGTGTTTCTGCTAAATGTATATAAATGCATCAAGCCTTTAGTTGCACTGAATGTGAAAAGGCAGTGTTTTATACCATAACATAACAATATATGTCAACTATGAGTGACACATAAATAGGAAACCAATGTTGTTATATCTATTTTTGAAGTATCTGATGTCACCAAAGCAACAGTGACCCAATGGCAGTGTGTTTTGCTAAGAGAATATATTATCATAGTGCATTTAACTATCAAAACTAAGATACATGAATAAAACTCAATATCAAATCAATTTCGTCAGAACTTTACATTCTGAGAAAACCTCCATTTCTTAATGTTTTGGCATACGTTATACATTTTCTCATTCTGACACTACTGGATTTTGATCAACTCTCCCCCTTGTACTGGCTCGGATATCAGCTCTGTTACAATATGTAACATAAAAGTAAATGTTATATCTGCTGTAGTTAGACAACTGCAGTAAATGATACCAAGTTTATGTACAGGGCATCAAGTGTTTAATACCACAACACGATGTATATTTCTCTACTGACACAGTTATCACTATCAGTTGACTCGTAACGTGTGAGATTCCATGGGTGCAGCTGAGTCATACAGTGTATCTGTATCTTGTGTAGACTCACCCTGTAACCTACACGCATTATTTAGAGTCCCTGCTCCACAGTCACAGAAGAAACGATCGTGTCGGATAAATTCCACTTCATGACCTCCATGGCAAGTCTTAATACAGTTCACACAGATTGCATTTCTTTCAGTAGTGTTGCATGTTTTACATCTGTAATGATGAAGTTACTTTGTTAATAAGTGATACAGCTTAATATTCTTACTTTTGCTTACTTTCTAATAATCTATTTCCATATGGCAAATTTGCAGAGTGTATCAATTAATTTAAGCAAATAAACAGGTGTGATAGAATTCATATGGTAAATTAGCTGATGTTAATTCAGTGGCAAGTGTCAACTATATTAATATTCATTATTTCAAGAAGGAACAAAAAGCCTTTTAGTTTGGAGTACAAAACAGTGTTTATAATATAAAATATAAGACCAAACATTATCCATTTTTGAATACAAATTGAGGCTCAAGCTTCAGTTCCTGATTACATGAATTACAAAGGTAATTGAGGACCATGTTACTTAATCTGTCACGTTATTTTACACATATAATAGTGGTTATAAAAAATTTTCCATATAAAAATAGTTGTTTGAATGTAAAACCTGTACAGCTACATGAGGGTTATATTTCAAACAACCATTTATATACAGCCATACAAATGGCAACGGATACTCTTTGAAAACCAACTTTACGTGAGTTGCAATTCTTTAAAGAGACCAATACATTTAATGCTATTGAAAAAACTTGTGAAAAGGAGTTCACTTGAAAATTAGTCAAGAAAATTTACCTGTAGAAATCATGCATTGGAAAGCTTGTATAGCTGGAGATTTTGTATAGGCACTGACCAGACGACACTGCTTTCTGTACCATGTTATGGTTGCCATAGATTTGATTATCTGAAATATTAAACAAGTATACATCTAACTCACAATATGTTTAGAATATATTTTTAGAGTATTGGTAAATGTAGCAATTCCAAAGCACCACTATTTTCATTATATCTTTTTAAATTATACATGCAAAAATTATGCAATACAATTTAATGTGACTTCTATTTATTATTTAATTGACATTAAAATATAATATTGGAATTAAAACAGAAGGGAAACAATGCTTATTTTTCAAGCATAAATAATTTGTCTTCCTCTCTGATACACTTCCATGTATGTCATAGCTTACCTTTCATGATTGGATTTACTCCACTGGCAAGACACAAGCCTCCAAATTTATTATTAAACACTTTGTTACCCTCAAGGTTTGCTGTTGCATTGTTAGTAATCTCTACACCTGCAGCCTGACCGTCAAATATTCGGTTTCGTCGCAAAGTTGGGTTACTTTGAGTACTAATTAACAGTCCAGCTTGTGCATTACGGAAAATATCATTTTCTTCCAAGATTCCTATTTTACATAAAATAGAATTAAGTAAGCCATACAACTTAAAAGGCACAAAGAATACTTTTTCATATAAGGAAAGCATGATTATTTTATAAAATAACAAGCATACACAAAAAATTCATAAATGTGGTTCACTTCTTGTAAATTTATAATGCATTCCTTATTGATAGGCAGATGTAAAATCTGTGCTTGATTGAAATGTCTCAATGTATGATTTCTCTTATGTTGAATAAGACTTAAAGACAGAAAATTTATCACAGATAATATACTTAAAACATTATTACAAAATCAAATCACACTGATTATTTTTTAACAAAAGTTTCAATGCAAGTAGAAAATACATACCTTTACCCCCATTAAATATACAAATTCCACCATCTCTTCCATCATGAATTTTATTATGTCTTAACACAGGGTTACTGTCTGTTTTAATCCATACCCCTGCCATTGCATTGTCAAATATTTCATTGTTTTCTATCATTCCTAAGCCACTATTATACACTAATATTCCACCATTTTGTCCTCCCCATATCTTATTCCTTCGTATCAAGGGATTACTTCCAGTTCTGACAAATTAAAAGGGAAATCATCACATACATGTATCTAATATGATAAGACGAAAATTTATATGTTTCTGATTTTATCTTTTATTCCTCATCTTAATTTTGAACTATTAATTTTGAAATACATATTATACAAGTTCATATTGGATAAATTGTAAAGGACATCTATTGATCAATGCCTGGCACTGTAACTTTATTTCTACATTTAATACAACCAAGGCTTTTTTATAATTTCTACAAAGAATATATAGTCCATGTACATATATTTACCTAATTTGAACACCAGAGTATAGGTGGTTGAATATATCATTATCTTCCAAAACACCATGACCGTTGTCATAAAAATATACGCCAACCTGGAAACAACAATAAACAAGCAGGTTCTTTATTAAAAAAAAATATCTTAATTGAACTAAACTCTTCTTAATAAACCAAGTTTCAAAAAGAATTTTGTTTGTACCAGTCCTTTCATGCTTAATCATATTGAAAATAAGCAATGGTGAAAATGCGGAATTATTTCTTTATCAAACATAACATAGTATACAACCCTAAATATAATGCAATCAGCTAAATATAATATGCACATTAAAGAGAGTTTTCTTCTACATTTGTAAAAATTACAGTAAAGCCCGACTTACAAATATTATTTGAGGGAGAAAGTTTAACTGAATAAATCACCTGTTTGCCACTGTGTATTCTATTGCGTCTTAGTACAGGTGTACTTCCTGTGGTGATCCATACACCTGCCAGTGTATTTGAGTATACCTCATTCTCCTCTATCAAACCTTGACCTTTCTCATGCTATAATTAAACAATATCTCTATTATCTTATTCTTTGACAATTTTAACATTATTAATACTTTAATTATGGAAACTAATTTCATCAATACAACCCTCTGGGGGGTTAAGAGGAAAATTGATATTTTTTTATAGACATGTTTAAATAAACTTTATGAGAACATAATTAATATTTTGTTAAAGAGGTACACATACCACGTAGATACCGCCATGTTGACCATGGTGGATTTTGTTGTGTCTAACTATTGGATTGCTGTTTGTTCGTATTTGTATACCAGCCAGGGCATTACCTGTAATTAATTAATTACATTATATATCTATATATACAACTGTTTAACCTGCTTGAAATAAGTGTTTTATGTGACAAGTATGGTAACTGGTAACTAAAAATACAAAATTAAATTGAATTTGAATGATCTTGATTTAACAAACAATTAAGATTTCTTTGTACAAATAAAACAAGTGACAGACATTGTCACTAAACCAGGTTTTCTGTTTTCTATTTAATAATTTTTAAAAGAAACAAAACATCTAAAATTTCATAAACTTTCATATTGAGTGGCATTTTGTAAACTATAATGAATTAACTTACCATAAATATTATTGTGTTCTATAAGACCTCTTCCCTCACCAAATATATACACACCACCTTGATGGCCATTGTAAATCTCATTTTTCCTGTAATAATATGTAATATACGTATATATGTATTTTTTATAATTTCAGGAAAAAAATCTAGAAATGAGTCAATTGAACACTCATGCCTACAGTTCAATTACCTTCACAGTGGCATATTTCTCTACTTAAAGCACATTTATAAAGGTCAAGTGTTATAATTATAAGTCAATGCATGTTTATAATTAAAAGTGCCACAAACCTAGCAAACTCTAGCTATTGATGACATTAGCTCATTCCTATTGCTTTAAATTTAAAATCTGCCAAGACTCTGCTTCTATAGTTAGCTCTCAGGCAGCCATCCCATTTAGGCTATAGCAAGTTTTGTAAAGAACCAACAGATAAATATTGGTGCCATTTAATCATTGAGATATTTGTATGATATTATACTCACAAGAAACCTTAAATAGTCTCTGTAAACACCAAAGAAGCATGACGGCAATGTTTCAACATTTGTATTACCTTATAGTAGGATCACTATTTGAAGTTATCCAAACACCAGCAAAGTTATTTGAATGTATTTTATTGTCTATAAATTGTCCTCGTCCATTTTCATGCACATATATTCCTCCAGTCTGACCATGATGAATTTCACAGTGAATCACAGTAGGATTGGCTCCTGCCTTCACCTCAAAACCAGCAATACGATTATTGTGTATATCACAGCTCTCAAAGTAACCCTGAAATATAATAGAAATAATTAACATTCAATCAACTGGTATATATCGTGCTAGAAGTTAATTAATTAAAACACATCAAAAACATTTTCTTTAAAACAGAATACTGTGAGATATAATAAAATATATCAAATGAACTTAGTTCATGTTGATTTACATCAAAATTGAAATCATTTTACAAAATACATGTATAGCAGTCAAACAAAGATGCATAACATACTTTTATTTTTTCACAGACAATATTCTAGAGTCTTATGACAAGATGATTAAAGGTTAATTAATCTAACAAATAATATATAGATATTCTGTATATTACAGACAATGCATACCTGACCATAATCGAAGGTAAATATGCCAACATCTCTGCCATGATGGATATGATTTCTCCTCATTATAGGGTTAGCATAATTCTTTACCCAGATACCAGCTAGTGCATTACCACTGATCTCATTATCCTCATATGTTCCCTGATATAAGACAATACTCAAAACATAGGTCTCTTCAAAATAATAAAGCTTAATTACTTAAATAAAACATCTGAACAGAAATTAAGTGTTTTAAATCTATCTTGTAATCTGTCGGTCAAGACATTTAAGAAAATAGATCAATAAATCATTTAATGTTATTCTTCAAAATAACTTTTATGTAAAGGAATACATACATGCATACTGAAGTGTAAATTTTTGTTGTGGAAAATCAAACTTAAAAACTAAATTAATTACAATTTATGTGAAAATATACAAAATGTGTGTGATCGAATTACTTTAATACATGATTCATATAAACAGTTACACATTATTTTCACGCTCTTCCTTTGTCTAATTTGAAGACTGGTGACTACCTACCTGTGCATAATCAGTAACATAGAGACCAACATTTTCACAATCTTTGATGAGGCAATGTCGTATAAAGGGGTCAGCACCAGACCCAGACACACATACAGCAGCACCTAAACATATAATAGTAAATATTAAACCTTTTTCTCTTATCATATATACACATCAATATAATTATTGGTCAATATTTCTGTACCCTGAAGAAAATGTATACTATTCATGACTAGTTTCCCAATACATAAATACTTAACAAAAATTTCTTTGATATAACCATGACTTTTTCCTTCACAGGAAATTGATCAGACAAAAGACAACAGTTTCACTGATACCTTGACCTTTAAATTACTATTGGCCATGGGAAATGTCCTTACCAGATTTAATAATCTTTTCCCTTCTCATGTTTTGATTGGACATGGTTTATAACACAGCTTCACTGTGACCTTATTACTTCCAAATCATCAAGATGATCTACCTAGAAAATGTCCTTCTAAGGTTTCATAAACCATTGTATAATCCTTCTCAAGAAATTGATTGTACAAGGATAACAGGATGTACGTGACTGACAAACTGAATTCCTCATTACAGAAAACTTCCCACTTTTTAAGTGGGTGCATAATAATATTAAATCCTTTTACAATCTAACTAATTTGAATATCTTTATACATAAAACACTTACCAACTGAAGTACTCTTGATTCTACAGTGATCTATGGTAGGAGAACAATTCTCTGTTACTTCAAGAGCATAATGTTTATGATGTGGCACAGATGAGGCTATATCTGGTGTAAACTGAAGATAAACAAAACAAGCAAATTTATTGAAATAATATTCCATGCCAAACAATACAAACCCCTTAGTACTATGTACTTGAGAATAACATTAACAATGATTTGATAGCTTTACTTATGTTACAAAGCTCACAAAATTACACATCATTAAGTGAAATAAAGCTCTTATAAAAGACATCCATGTGGGATATTGTTAACCATTAACAACACTTAAATATTATGAAATGGTGTGGTGTCATTTGGCCATTATGTTACTAAGAATTACATCTATATGATTCAAGTTACTATTACATTCATTTATGCTGAGATTTATTACATCTGATCAATCAATATACATCTGATCACACAAATGAAAAGATTCTGCTGGCACTTGGTGAGCCTCAGTTTTCTCTTTGATAAGCATTATAATGCTTTTTATTTTTGGTCACTTTGCATTCTTGGAAAACTGAGTGAGATAGTGATTTGAAATTTTTTACACAAGTTATTAGTCCAGACCTTCATCCAATGATACACAAATCTTGAAAAAATATTTCAAGTCCCTTCAAGCCCAAAAAGACCTCGGTGGAGTCCCTATAATTTTATCCAATGCATAAGATGTGGAACAAAACAATTACCTTTAATGTAACATATCCTAAGTAAGCATCCCTAGCTCCCTCAACAAACACAATTGTTGACTCACTTTCTCTCTCAATGATTACATGATCCATAACATTTCCTGGTGCTTTAAACAAAAAATACTCTAATATTTATATCTACATATGCCTATAAATAACAGTCCTGATTATGAGTAAGCAAATGTAAGACTTTCAAACCAGTATGCAGTATTCTTTGCTTGCTAGATAGGCTAATCTAGAATACAGCTTTGTTGAGTTATATTGTAAGATACTATTGTTCATTGTTCATAATATACAAATATTTTAACAATACACTATAAAATAATTAAAATATACAACAGTTTTATGATTTTATTTATATTAGGTTAGACACATGAAATTTGTTTGACTTACCAGCGCCAAGAATTGAGACGTTGAGGTCAATAAGTAGAAATTCCCCGACATAGATTCCAGAGTGGACAAAAATAATGGCATCATCAATATCCTCTGTATCAACAAATGTGTATGCCTGTTCTATCGTGTCAAAACACTGTAAAATAACATCAATAATTCAATATACTAGTAGTGTAACAGTTTAGAAGTCTTTTTCTCTTGTAATGAATATTTTTAAAGCTACCATCTGGATTCCCAAACATGGCTGTTTGAGCATTTTTGAAATTAAATGTCATCAAAAAGATAAACTTTCACTATAGATTCATGCATCTAATATGGAACTATAGATGATTAATTCCTGTCTTGCTTGCGAAATACCATCTTAGTAAAGTATTTGCACTTTTATCTTACTGTAATTTTTTAACTGTTGTAATGTGTGATTTTTAACATGGATTTAAATTAGAATCTTATATAAACACATCTGTTGACTGGTGGCAAGTAGAACAGTTGGTTGTTGGTAGAATAGTTGCGCAGTATCGCTGCACAAAATTTCATACAAAATAGTGTCTATAAAATGTGACATAAAAGAAGAACGTATCTTGTAAATCGGGTTTAAAACTGATATGTATCAGTAACTTCTACCCGCAATAAATTTAATAGGAGTTAGCCCATTACTGCACTAAGCTGGTGATTTATAGTGCAGACTTTGCCTAATGATTTACATGGACAATTTTTAAAGTAATACAATGCTTGATTGAGTCAATTTACACTTACAACAAGATCTCTACTTCTTAATCTTTTCCCTCTGTATGAATATAAATCATAGAATCCAGGTCGCACATGAACACCTTGGTACTGAAAATATAAACATATATCATGTTTCAAACAATCATAACACATGTAACTGTTACAGGGTACAGAAAAAGTACATGGTACAGTTATCTTCTTGTGAGCTATCTAAATCAACTCCTGTATAGGTACTCCAATGAGGTCCACCGGCCTAAAAACAAAAAAATTGAATTTATGTAGATAAGATAGGGGGCCATTAAAACAGAAATATATGCAAAAGATAATTTAGAAATATACTTGGAAATAAATTGAAAATAATTTTTTTATACTATTCTTAGCCCAAGTATAGTGAAAAAGATGAAAGCTTTTTTTTGGGTCATTTTTCACAATAAGAATGATTATTCTGGAAAGACAGAGTGAGTGATTGATCTTTTTTTAAAATTATTTAACAATTCATTGGTCTAGACCTACAGCAAATGGAACATTGATCTCGAAAAATTATTTCCAATCCCTGTCGTGTCAAAAAAACCTCATTGGAGTCCCTTTAACTTTTAATACAACAGCTAAACTACTAGGTTATCTATATTTTATGTGGCATTTTTTTTTAAGAGAACAGGGATTGTAATAATATTAAATTTGTTTTTACTACAGATGTAACCAATTTAATACAAACCAGCTGCCTAAAGCTCTCCTTCCACTGATTTTCATATTCTTTAATTTCCTTTTCTATAAATGTAAATACTTTTGGTTCCGGATGAAAAAGGGGTATGTCATATTCAAACAGCTCCTGGTACAATTTTTTCCTAGAAGTAGAAACACATAGTTAACTGGATTGGTTCAAAAACATCGTAATATTTCAGAATGACTTTACTTATTATAATACTTATATTTTATTTTATATCAGAGGGAGCTAAACTTACATTTTTTTTAATTCATATTCTTAACCTGGCATAAAATTACAGACAATATTGTTTAAATTATTTAGTTAATTTATTTCATTAATTACAACATCTCACCATAGCTCAGCATCGTTTCCAATGGATCTAAAGCGTTTACAGACTTGTGAGGCTCTGCACAAGTCAAACTCTAGCAGGTAACTGAATATCTTGAGAAGCACTTCATCTGGAAGATCCTGCTGTAAGTATTTCCCACCTACTGCCTCACCTAGCAAAATAATGTAAAACATGATTATCATAAATTAAGACTTTAAGCTCATAGATCTAATTTATATTTATAAAGCAAATCATCAATTTTATGGACATTATGCAAAAACTGGTGGAAAATCTTTGACCTTATAAATAATGATGAAACATTCTACAGTAGTAAGCAAAAACTGTTCAAGACAGGTATTGTATTTGAAAATGATAACAATCATAAAGAAATTGTCAAACTATCAATTCATTTTTACTACATTACCTTTAATGATTGGTGTACTTTGTCTTGTCTTTTTCTTTCTTTTGGCTGGAACAACTGTATTACTGGAATCTCCAGGCCTTCTACGTAAGTTATATTGCTGTACACGGGTTCCTGTCTCTCCAGATGTTGAAGCGGCTTCATCATTTGAGTCAGAGTTTCCTGAAAAATGAACAAAGATTAAATGCCAAGTCAAATCTTGTACTTAAATTGATAGATCCTTGACATGATCATGCTTTATTTCAGAAGCTTCGTACAAAATATAACAATAAAAAAAACACTGACACTCGGAACAGAACAGATCTTTTATTTTCACCCAAGCATTTTTCAATACAATATGGGGAACATAACAAAATGTTACATAGCAGAGAATGTATAATTCTGGTACAAAAAAAATGTATAAATTAATATTTAAAGGGACTCACTGAGTTTTAAAAGCCTAAAAACATAACATTTAAATTTCTTATATAAATTAGCTGGGGGCACTTTAAAGTTTATTAAACAGAAGTATATGCAAAGATAGTTAAGAAATTATTCAAATATACTTTGAAATAAATTGAAAATCGTATTTTTATTCTTTTCTCAGCCCGATTTGAGTGAAAAGTGTTTAAACCGATAAACGCTTTTCATTTTGGGTCATTTTTTTACAATTTGAATAATTATTCTGGAAAACAAAGTGCGCGAATGATCTGAAATTTTGCGAAAAAATAAGTGGTCTAAACCTACATCAAATGGTACATTTATCTGGAAAAAATATTGTCAGTCCCATCCCATCCCATCATGTAAAAAAACCACAGTACACGGCCAATGAAAAAAAGAAAACTTTACTAAATTAGAGAAAAAAAATACAAATATATTCTTCTAAACTATCAAATGAAATATTGAGCAGGGGTTTGTTTACTAAATTAATTCATTATTCTAAATGTAACTACATTTGGAAAAAAAATGGAGGTTGCCTATTGTAATAATTAAATTAATTTGAACAAGTATACAACAAAATATGCACTGTATGTATGTATAGCAATGCATGACATTTAGTATGAAACATTAGCACAAGCATGTAGTAAATCTGCATCTGAAAGTTGTGCATATTAAACATTTATATACAATTAAAAGGAATGTCATTCAGAGATTTTAAATTTATTACTTCGTGCATAGCAAAGGAGTACAGCTCAATAAATGTTCACAAAATATGTGTTTGATGGTGGAAAACATTATCCTAAGTCAGAAATGAATTCTAAGTCCATTCCCATTACACTATATACTAATATTATATACTATATATTAGTATAATTTGAGATTTCCTTTATCTTAACATATTACTTTCTTGTAAATATACTCCTATAATAATGTTACTCTTTGATCAATTGAAAATCTGACCGTATTTTAGGCTGGAGGCCTTATATAACAAAAAGAAACACTGTAATTGTCAAATTAAAAAGTTTATTATTATTTCCTTGAGTTAATTTAACTAAGACCAGTCACACTTGGTAACAAACAGGTGCTGGATAGTTATTTTTTTGATAATCTTGAATTATTATTAATAACATTAATGGGAGATTTTCTGATGGTAAAAAATAATGATTCAGAGTCAACTCGTCCCCTGGTCAACTCGTCCTCTGGTCAACTTGTCACCTTTTTGGTCAACTTGTCCCTTGGAGTTGGACAACTCGTCCCCTGGTCAACTCGTCCCCATCTCGTCCCCTATATTTTTTATTATTTGTTTTTCATATATTCCATAAATTATTAAAGACTATTAAAATAATATATTATAAAATTACTGAATTGGACATATTTTGACGCTTTTTGTATGCGAATATTTGGATTTTTTATCTAATAATAAGTATATATATGCATAATTTTGATTAAATTACGTACAGAAAAAAACCGCACGAAGACGATCAATAGCAATAACATTTAATGTATAAAAACATGTTTCATATGCAATGATAAAATATCATATAGTATGTCTTTTTTGTCAATATTATGTCATAATATTCACTTTCACTTTCCCTGTTTTTTTCATGCACATATTTCATTGTCTTTTTTTTTTTGGACATCTTACGACTCTTCGGGCTTATATAAGTTCCCGAATTCTCTTAGAAGTCCCGTTTATGACAGCTCCCCATTCCTGTACCTATCCCACAGCTGGTGCGTCTATAAGTGGATACTGTACTGTTGTATGCATGGTATAAATTGTTGTTTATTAAATATATCATGACACGTGCCTTTGGTTTTTAAAGTAAACACATAGTAATTTGATAAAAGGATTAACGTCACATTTGCCTCTGTGGTTGGATACGTATTTATATATTTAAAGAACTTTAATTTGAAATTATACAAATCGCGTGAAAATCGTGCCAAAGGTTGTTATAAAATTTTATTTTCCAAATGTCGAATTTGTTTTTAATGGTGTATGGTCAAATATATGAAAATGTTGATTAAATACAATTAATACATTCAATATGTTGACTTGTATTATACAAGAAATTCTGGAACTCGGTTTTATACAGCTGCTCCTCTTTGAGATCAATTTAAAGATTTATTTATGGAAATTTAATATTAATCTTTACTAATTTTTAGATGGCAATTGAATATTTGATAATTATTTTATGTTTTCAATCACTTAATATCCACTGCAAATATTATTGTACAGATTTTTTATTAAAAAAAAAATAAAAAAATAAAAAGTTTTTAGCACTTCTTATTTCTGTTAATCTGTCGGCAGTCTTTAATCCATTCAGGGTGGCGGTAAAAATCAAAGAGTTGGACCTAACTTTAGTTTTAATTATCATTAATTAAAACTCCGATTAATTAAACATTAATTGAATGTTTGCAAACTTACCTGTCTTTGTAGTTTAACATCAAAGCTATGCACATGCGCTTAGATAAAGATCATTCAAATTTAACGTAAAAAAGACGCGCTATTTTATTAATATTTCGATATCAATCAAATTCATTATTAATTTTACATAAAGAACTATTCAAAGACATTGATTTACAACATAATAGTGACGAATAGATCGAAAGTAGGAGACGAGTTGACCATATTAGGGACGAGTTGACTTTTTCAGGACGAGTTGACCAAAAGTAGGGGACGAGTTGACCAAAAAGGTGACGAGTTGACCAGAGGACGAGTTAACCAGGGGACGAGTTGACCGGATTTGCAAAAATAATTACCTAATTTTTGTGCTTGTATGTGGGTTAATCCAACTAAATCATTTAATGTTCTTAACTACATTGAGACATTGTACTATTTTATGTATGGGCAATATCTTTCCTCAAGACGTGAGATTCTGACCCAGAATAATAATATCTGGCACCTCAATATATTTTAACTTAATAGAATGAGGGTGTATTTATCATTATTCTCAAAGGTGGACATTTCTGATAAGTCTGAAAAATGCTCATCCTCATTCAAACGTCCAACTGTATGCTTAGGTAAATGAGTTGTCTTGATGCAATGGCCAGACAAGAATTCTGGTTAAAAATAGAACTTTAGGTGACTTTGGATGACAGATAATGATATCATTTCATTTACCAAAAATCATACTATAACTTTTTTTTAAGTTAAATCAACTGCAATGAACCTTCCACTATACAAATAACCTTATGTGATGGTAAAGTTGTCACTGTTTGACTTGAAAAACATCTGTGCAACAAAAAGGATTATCTCCCTTGCTGACCTACTGTTGATTCTTTGTTGACATTTTCTTAAAAATACAAATCACTTACAAGTAAGAAACATAATCAACCTAAAATGTTAAAGTAAGAAAAAGTCAGTTGAAAATATGTAGACAGAAAGTAATTGTTTGATCGTGGCCTTGTTTAGTTTTATGTTTTTATTGATCGTTTCCTTGCTCGAGGCGCAGCAGTGCCAACATAAATTTAACAAATTTCTTACCTGAATTCAGTGCATTTCGTGCCCCTTTCTTCAAAGATGATTTTCTCCGTTTTAGCCTAGAACTCAATCGTGTATTACGTCCAGTTGAAGAAGGCATTTTAGCCTTGAATTAACTGAAATGCTAATTTATTTACTCAAGTTATTACCGATGTCTAACTCCGGCGGCCATATTGAAAATTTCATTTGTCACGCGAATGGATAACTGACAGCATCACGTGATTTTCTTGACCAATCAATGCACGATTTTCAGGAATTCCTCCAAAGGAAAGACATGTGCAGACACCGTTTGCTTGTTGTGTATTTGCAAATAAAAACATTACTGACATACTATGACATGAGTGTGAGATCGGGGTTTAGTTTGGGACCGCTGGGTTACACAACATATAAAAGATGTGTGACTAAAGAAGAGGAAACGTTATGTGTTAAAGTGAGTCAAGAGATATCCAGTGATAACAAGTTTATGGGAGCTTTCTTAGACCATTTGGTCAACATTTCAAAGTATAGGACGGTCACTAAATTGAAACCAGGGCAGGTAGAGATTCTGTCTGTATGAAAACAGGTTGTGTCTGCTCAGAGTCTGAAATCTTTTAATAAAGTTTTACAGTGAAATTGATTAATTATGCTTTTGATAAATCAACAAACTGGTGAATAAATCATAATTTCCCCAAAAGCAGAATATCCTGTATAAGGAATTCATGTCAAAACTTCCTGTAGACTTGGCCAATAAACATGTAAATATTGCAGCCTACAACACCTATCTATGATAGATATCTATCTTCCAATAATGTCAACCAATCACACGGAGGTAGTCAAAATTGCAAGAAAAGTTTAAAAAAAAGGATAAAAGAAGACTATTAAAATGTTAAAAGCAGGGTGTCTGGGAAAACAAATGTCATACATCAGTTCAACACTAGCTATGGCTGCACTGAACTGAATGTCATACAGTACTAGGGAAGAAGGAGAATTTATAATAGTCTGGAGTTGCTTTTAATAACCTATAGCACGCAGGATGGCCATGGCGAGGAGTGTTACATGTATATTCTTCTATGGGGATAGAAAGTTGGGGCGTCCGTGGCAGAATGGTTAAGGTCGTTGACTTCAAACCACTTGTCCCTCACCGCTGTGGTTTCGAATCCCAACAGGGACTTTGGATTCTTTCATGTGAGGAAGCTATCCAGCTAGCTAATTACGGAACGTCGGTGGTTCTACTCAGGTGCCTGTTCGTTCCTGAAATAATGCACAGAAAGGGCACCTGAGGTCTTCCTCCACCAGTAAAGCTGGAAACCTCGCAATATGACCTATATTGTGTCGATGTAAAACCCATTCAAAAAAAAAAAAAAAAAAGCAACCAAACCATGGTAAACCTTGTAGAAAAGGGATAACCAAACATCTATATGTCTGAGAACACCTTTGTTCATCCCCACCTAGAATATTGTTCTCAAAAGTGTCTCGCCTTAGTTCTTGCAAAAAACCTCTCTGATAGTGTTGAATAAGTTCAAACATCACTATTCCACCTGTTACTGTTACATCATGTCAGACTACAGCTGTGTCAATATCTTGGAATGAAAATCGTTACCATAGTGAACAATGTAGACTACAAAACTTCATCATCCTCTTGAACAAAATTAGGGAGGTTCAGGTTGAAGTTAAGGAGCTGAAACCCTCCCCATACTCCCACCTCAAGATGTCTGACCTGTTGATATTTCACCTATCTAAAGAATGGCAAGCATGTATATTTAAGTATAATTTAAAAATTGGCTTAAGATAAATGTAGGTCACTTAATCCTTGCCAATTAGTGCCTGGATCCCTGCTTGTCTGCTAGTCACAATCTTCTGTCAGCCACAAAACTGCATGTCTGAATGCAATTTCATTACTCTTGGTCAGGGTAAAGGCAGATTCTAGTGTCTGCATGATACTGAGTAAATTTGTCTTGGAAAGGAGCTCCTTAGTAGTTTATCTACTAATAAATTAGAAATTATTATCCATTCTAAATCAATTTATCATTAGGCCTGAAACAATCTGTCAATATTTGGTTATTATTTTTGTAATATTTTTGAGACTAAATGTGACACAAAAGGTTTTCTGGTAAATATATCCTCCGGTCAATTGCATAATTAATTTTGTCTGAGAGATTGCCAATAGTTACTGTTATGTTGTAATTGCATCTATAGGTAAATGCCATTTCCAACAGTCTTGCTGTTGCGTAATATTTTTGAGTGTAAATGGCCTAGTAATCAAGAGGTACGAGGTTCAATCCTACAAGGCTGTGTAGGATTTCTCTGCTTTACTTGGATGACAACCAAGGAGGATAATCTTATCATTTGACTTATGTTGGGATGTTTTTTTATGTAGAAATAGCACAGTCAATTAATTAAATATAAAGTTTTCACATTGTACATAATTATAAATTTCAGGTTTTTCATGAGGCTGATGAAGGACAGAAGGGATATTTATCTAGAAGTGACCTGAAAGTTGCCATCGTTGAACTGTTGGGTTATAAGCCTACAAAAGTAAGTTATTGTAAATATAGAACTTGTGTGAAGTTGAAATTACACAGTGAGTCAATGCTGCATGGACATGGTTGGTAAGATTTCTTTGTACATATGGAAACTATTTTAATTTCTAAGATAAATTATTCAGATGATAATTTATGATATTCTTTCAAATTATCTGCCACATATACCTGTAATTAAGAAACATTAAATACTGGACAGATGTTGGGATCAACAAAATATAGAACCAGTCTGTAATTATATTTCTCAGTCATGAATCTTTTATAGTACAAGACAAATCATAAGTAGTTGAAACACTAAAGTATTTCAACATAGCTGGTCACAGTTTAATTCTGTCAAAATTTTTGTATACAATTTCTGCATAATATATTGTATCAATGATCTCTGCATGGTTTCATTGTTGTCTATTTGCACATGTTTTAAAATGTACATGTATGTAGAATTAACAAATTTTTGTTACAGTTTGAAATCAACCATTTATTACAGACACATGGTGAAGATATAGATAATCTTACAAAAGGTTAGTTTTTATTTCAAATTTTTTTTTTATCCAAACTCCAAAACACAGAACTAACAAATAACTAATTTTATTTGTATATTTTATAATTATTATATTTATATTATTAAGTAACATGTAGATTAAAATTGCTTAATTTGTTCTTGAGAGGTGATATAAAAATTATCTTGTGTTCTAAAACTAGAAATTTATATTATAAAGTAACTGTAGGCCTTAATCTAAAAATTAGATGTAGTATTTCAATGAATGCCACAAACTGGAAACATTTATTTTTTTCAGCAAATACAAAGAATATATAACTAAGTTAAACATTCTTGAAGGAAAATTATTAAGAACATGGTGCCATGATGATAATAGAAGTGGGACCGATTATCACTGATCTGGGGTGAATCATTTTATTAAAGCAATACGCCTCCAGATTCATGCTAATTTTCATGAAAGTTTTGAAATGTATTTGAATGTGTAATATTGTAAAGTAACCAGAAGCAAGCAATTTACACATTAACAATGGCTCTTACAAACCACGTAAATTACCAAAAAGTGGTCAAAATATGCATTAATAGCCTTTACTGTGTTAATAACGCGGTAGAAATATAGTTGTAAGTACTGAAATATCAGTAATTTATCGCACATAATATGAAAAAATATTACTTGAATCTTAGAACTTTTTACTTTTCCTTATACATTAGTACATTTTTCTCAAGTTTGATTTTATTGAAATATTTTGACTCATCTGGAGGCATGTAGCTTTAATATAGATTACCCTACAGTTAAAATGAAAAATTTCTGTTCATAAATATTGATACAGAGAACATTTTCTTTCACAAATATACACAAAACAAACATTTAATCTTACCATTTCTAAATTTTGATGATTTAAAGGAAATTTTAGATAATTATTTTGGAATGGGGCGATTTATCAATGATCTGGGGCAGTTTGTCACTAAAGTGGGGCGAGTCATTTTGGGGCGAATTATCAATTTCCACAAGAACATCACATTTTGTAGGGAAAATTGATTAGTGATAAAAAGAAATTTTTACATTCCTGATCTCTCATTTGTAAAAATCAACTTAGATTTACCAGTTCAATATGATCCAAGGTGCTTGGTAATGCACAGTTTGAAAACTTGATAGGTTCTATAATAATGTGACATAATATGAATGTATCTTGTAGTAGCGAGTGGTAATTTGGTTTGATTTGTTTTGTATCATTATAGGTATGACACTGGAGAAATTTGTGTCAAGTATGTGTGAGAAGCTAGTATCTCAAGATGAAGATGAAGATATTCGTCACACATTCATGGCTTTTGATGTTCAGTGTAGGTTCATTTAAAATTTTACATTTCATATTAAAGGGACTCTGCTGAGGTTTTTTTGACATGAGAGAATTTGAAATAGTTTTTTCTAGTTGATGTAGGTCTAGATAAATAACGTGTTTGCACTTGCTCACTCCATTTTTTTCAGAATGATTATTCTAATTGTGGAAAATAACAAAACTTGAAAAAGCTTTTTTAACCTTAAATTTGGACACAAAGAATGCAACAAAAAATTATGATTTCCCTCCATTATAATTTCTGAGTATAATTTCCTTAACGTTAACCTTAATTTGCCAATATCTTTTCTTGTTTTTTACAAGTGGCCTCAATTGATCTATGTAGAAAAATGGAAACTTTTTATTTTTTTAGTTCCCCTTTGGAACTTATAAGAGTTTTTCCCCTTTAAGGTAAATTTTTTCCTGAAAAATTTAAAATGGGTAAATATTTGGAATTGTACTGGAATTCACCAACAACCAGGAAAAAAAAAAGACATTTTTCAAGAAACCAACACTGATTTTTTTTTTAAGTCAACCAATCCAAAGAAAAAGTTGGGGCTTTCCCTAATTTTGGATTTGTTTTGGGTTTCCCTTATGATTTTTGGTACAACAAAACGTTTCTTGAGGGTATTTTATAAGTTAATTTTACACACATCTTTTGGACTCTAAATGGGAGGTCCACTGGTAAGATTTTTAGGACCATCCTTTGAAATAACTACATCATCATGTTTTTAATTTGGATTAAATTAATTCCAAATACAGGTTAACAAATGGAGAATAGCAGGGATCCTTGTTTACCAATTGGGATTTTAACCAATCCCTATGATAAATTGGGCTAGGGGGCGTGAGGGGGTGTTGGCACTTTATTCATTATCCCTCCAATAATACAAGACTCAATCCAAAATCCGAGTCCTGGCAATTTTCATGTAATTTTTTTTGTTTGTGGAAATTATTGCCTTTTCCTGAGGGATCACTTTGTTTCCAGATTTTTTAGTATCTTTATTCAGAAATTGTCAATGTTTATTACATGCTTTTCGGTGGTATATAGAAATATATCAGTGATATAAAACTGATAATTTCACTGTTTTAAACAGTGAAATTATCAATTTGATAATTTCACTGTTTTAAATTTAAGCCCTTTACGTTGTTTCAGTGAAATTCTATCGTGCACAGTACTGGGAACCAACTTAATGACGTGACGTCGTAAATGACGTCACATTGTATTATTATTTGGCGTGCTTTTCATTCAGTATTAGGTTTAATGTCTTTTTAAAATAATAATAAAAAGAAAATTTGTTTAGTTTAGTGTAAGATCGAAATATATTACACCTTGTGAACACCAAAAGTTCATATTTCACTTGTGAAATATACCTTTTGGTGCTCACTAGGTGAAATATATTCTGATCTTTACACTGAAAACTAAACAAATCATTTCTTTCTTAATATTCACATGGGTTGACTGTAAAATTTTTCCTTTGTTTGAATCAATAAACTAGCCCTTTTTTTTTTTTCAGTTTGCAAGACATTGGGGGTTTAAACTATATTAATAATCTCCATATTTAAAAGTTTTGAATATTTTTAAAATATCTTTTTTAAATTCAACTTAACTTGTTAAATCAATACAAAGAGGAAAATGGAAACAAATAAGAATGTCTACTGTTTATGAACAACTTTCCCCCCTTATGAACTTAACTTTTAAAGATGAAAGAAGGTGAATTAACATTTTTCCCCAAAGAAGGTCACTGGTCCCCCCAGTAAAAATTGAACCCTACTTTTATGTTTCCAAAAGAAATTATGTTTTTAAATTTGGAAAATAAGGTAATTATATCTTTCATGTTATATTATAGGTCGTGGTTTTCTCACATTGGACGATGTTAAGAAAGTATTTAGCAAGGTAGCTCCTCATGTTCCAGAACAAACAGTACATTCAGCATTTAGGTAATAATGTTCACATTGTATTAATGTAATTCTACATTTACTTGATTTATTTGATTTTATAGATTGATGTGTCATTTAGTAAATCTTGTCAATTCTATTTTTAATCCTCTTCCACAAACAGGGGAAAGAATGATAAGGAATGGCCCCTGTCTGTCCAGACATCTTTCTGTCCATCTGTCTGTCTGTAACATTTTTGTGTTCACTCCTTTAAACTGCTCAAATTTTTTTAAAAATAACTTGACACAAGTGATGACCATTATAAGACGATTTTCAGAGCGCAATAATTGATTTGCTACCCCCAAGGTCAAGGTCACATTTAAAGATCAAGTGTTAAAAAATCCATAACATTTAAACCCCTGCAATGTTTTTAAGAAAACTTGGCAGAAATGATCACCATTAGGATATCATGTGCAGAGCACAACAATCAAGTCATTACCCTCAAGGTCAGAGTCACACTTAAAAGGTACAATGTGAAAACATCTATATTTCATGTCCCCTCTATAACTTATTGACTATTTAAAGGTTTTTAAAACACTTGGAACAAATGATGCCCACCATGACACAACCTACAGAGCATAACATCCAGGTTGCTACCCCCAGGGTCAAGGTTATATGTTCTCAATAATTTTTTGACTTTATTGAAGATTTTAAATAATTTGGCACAAATAATAACCATCATGAACTATTTGCTTATGATATGCATGGCACAACATCAATGTCATGGTTGGTTAAAGGTCAAGAACACAGTACACAGTCATGCCTGCTGGGGAAGGGGATTTACAACTGTAGCTGTCCTTCAGATGCCTTGTTCAAATTTAATTAGATTTTGGTTTTCATATCTTGTTCAATTCTTAATTATTGTACTCAGTATTATATATTTTGCTTGTTTTTTAAAGTTTTACAGAACTGATAATACTTATATATTCACAGTATTTTATCAAATGTCGAATTCACAGGGTGATGATATTCATTTGAAACTAAATGGTTAATTATATATTTTAGAGAAATAGATCAAGATGGGGATGGCAGAGTTAGTTATAAAGATTTTGAATTTTTGATGAAGTACAACACAGATGACCATATCTGAAGAGGAATTTCTATAGTTGTAAAGTATGACAGGAAATGGGGAAAACGCATGACAGGAAATGGGAAAAGCATGATAGAAAATGGGAAAACATATGACAGTAAATGGGGAAACTTATGACAAGAAATGGGAAAAAGACATATTTAGTTTTACAAATATATGGACTTTGTGAATCATGTTAAATGTTAGATGCTACTGGCTACAAACACATTTGTATTAGAATGTTGCATTTTGAGAATAGTATGACTATTAGTGTTGCACTGATGTACTTCTATGCTATAAGTGCCACATGAAAGTATTATATCATTGATAATGATAGCCAGACCAAGTGTTTAGGTTTATATTTCATGGAGTCAGTTTATTCTAATATTTTAGCATAAACATATATATTTTAGACATATTAATACCTACCCTATCGTCTTTTGCTTGTCATGTTTTGAGTTTAAGGGCATATCAATACCTAAATAATAACAATCAAATGAACAAGCAAAAATGTTTGTATTAGGTCAAACTGTATGGATACAGCTCTTAGTTGATGGTAAAGACCATAATCATTTCTAGTATACACATTTTTGTAAATGTACAAATAAATAAATGTAGTCACTAGATTGTCACATCAATTTGAATTCTTGACTTAAATAATGTTGTTATAATTTATTGTTATAAAGTTTATTTGTTACATTAAAATGAATAATTTATAATTTGTTACATGTATTAAATTTTTGTCTGTATCTATCATTGGTTGAGTTTTTTGTATAACTTTTTCATGGATTAGTTTGAAACTTGAAACATTTTTTATAACCTTCACCTCCTCATAACTGTCACAGAATTATTCAAATTGTTGGAAGCCTAAAAAATAACTTTTTGTGACAGAATACTTTTTCGTACCCATCTCTAGACAAGAATACATAACGTTTTATTTCAGATTTTTAGCTCACCTTGCACAAAGTGCAGGTGAGCTTTTAGGATGGCCAACCAAATGGCGTCCGTCGTCTGTCGTCCGTCCACATTTTAAATATTCTAAGGACATCTTCTATGATACCGCAAGGCCAATGTTAATGAAACTTGGCAGGAATACTCTTTGTATGAAGCTCTATAAAGATTGTTCAAAGAATTCCATTTCATGCAGAACTCTGGTTGCCATGGCAACCGAAAGAAAAATCTTTAAATATCTTCTTTTAAAGAACCGTAAGAGCTAGAGCTTAGATATTTGGCATGAAACATCTTCTAATGAGTGTCTACCAAGTTTGTTCAAATAAAAGCCCTAGGGTCAAAATTGGCCCCGCCCCAGGGGGTCATTGATTTTCCCTATATGCATATAGTAAAAACTTAAAAAATCTTCTTTTAAAGAACCCAAAGAGCTAGAGCTTAGATATTTGGCATGAAACATCTTCTAGTGAGTGTCTACCAAGTATGTTCAAATAAAAGCCCTGGGGTCAAAATTGGCCCCAGCCCGGGGGTCATTGATTTTCCCTATATGCATATAGTCAAAACTTAAAAAATCTTCTTTTAAAGAACTGTAAAAGCTAGAGCTTAGATATTTGGCATGAAACATCTTCTAGTGAATGTCTACCAAGTTTGTTCAAATAAAATCCCTGGGGTCAAAATTGGCCCCGCCCCAGGGGGTCATTGATTTTCCCTATATGCATATAGTAAAAACTTAAAAAATCTTCTTTTAAAGAACCGTAAGAGCTAGAGCTAAGATATTTAGCATGAAACATCTTCTAATGAGTGTCTACCAAGTTTGTTCAAATAAAAGCCCTGAGGTCAAAATTGGCCCTGCCCCAGGGGGTCATAGATTTTCCCTATATGCATAAAGTAAAAATTTAAAAAATCTTCTTTTAAAGAACCCAAAGAGCTAGAGCTAAGATATTTAGCATGAAACATCTTCTAATGAGTGTCTACCAAGTTTGTTCAAATAAAAGCCCTGGGGTCAAAATTGGCCCCGCCCCAGGGGGTCATTGATTTTCCCTATATGCATATAGTAAAAACTTAAAAAATCTTCTTTTAAAGAACTCAAAGAGCTAGAGCTAAGATATTTAGCATGAAACATGTTCTAATGGGTGTCTACCAAGTATGTTCAAATAAAAGCCCTGGGGTCAAAACTGGCCCCGCCCCGGGGGTCATTGATTTTCCTTATATGTATATAGCAAAAACTTAAAAATCTTCTTTGAAAAAACCCAAATAGCTTGAGTTTAGATATTATACATGAAACATCTTTAAGTAAATATCTACAAAGTTTGTTCAAATAAAAGCCCGGGGGTCAAAACTGGCCCTGCCCCAGGGGTGTCATTGTTTTTAACTATATGTGTATAGTAAAAACTTAAAAAATCTTCTTTTAAAAAACCCAATGAGCTAGAACTTAGATGTTTAGCATGAAACATCTTCTTATGGGTGTCTACCAAGTCTGTTCAAATAAAAGCCCTTGGGTAAAAATTGGCCCGGGGGGGGGGGGGCTATATACAGGTGAGCGACCTCAGGGCCATCATGGCCCTCTTGTTACATTTTGATGTCCCTTACAGATCTTCTAAGACCTATTCTTATATATATATATATATACATGTACTATTGTCAGTTACATGTAAAGTATACCGTTTATAAACAGCTTTTAGAATTTGATACATAATTTCGTTTGTAAATGTGTTTAAAAAAAATGAAAATATATAATCCAAATGTAATATCTATGCATTTCAACATTTTGTGATGGCAGTTTGTCACTAGTTGCTCACAATTTCTTTTAACAAAATCTTTTTTTTAACCGCATGGTCATTGATGGATTTTGACTCGACTTCGCAGATCCTTAGTGACCCATTATAAAAGTATATAAAGGTTTCTAGTCAGTAAGATGCATAAATGTGTAAAAAGAACTAAAGATGGAATGGAATCTCGAAAAATGATAGTATATAATGTGACAAATGTATAATGCCTGCAGGTCAGATATTTTGCTTGTAACATAACATTGTGGTTCCTATCAAAAAGTTATAGAAATCATGGCTGTGTTGTTAAAAATGGTATCACCTTCTTGGTGATAACTTACTTTTTGTAGGAAAATGCAGGCTTCATGTATGAAATCAAATACCCAGGACTTAGATAATTTACATGTAACATTGCCATGTTTGCCTCAACAAAAGCAAATTAGATAACTGTACGCCCTGCCGATCACTTAATTATCCAAGATTGAAAAAGTTAATATGACTTAAAGCCCTCGGAAATTTCAGAGTATAGATATTTAGCATGATCGAAGCATCGCCTTATAGTCTTCTACAAAATTTGTGTATTATATCATGCCCAGGGGTCAAAATTAGTCTAGTCCTGGGGATGGGGTCACTTAATTGCATAAAACTTCTGTTGAAAACATTTAAAACGTCATTGCCTAGCGCTTTGATATTAGGCATATAGTATGACATAACAGACCTCTGCAAAGGTTATATAAATAATTGTCCTGCCTCGGAGGCCACTTACTTTACATAGATGTATAAAGTAAATCATCTTAAATAAAGACAATGTCTAGAGAAGTTATTTAGCTTGTTACACGACTGTTAGCTGATCAACTCTTATTGATCTTGGTTTAAACAGTTTAAATATCTGAAAAATATCAGGGGGGGGGGGCTATGTGTGTGCTACAATCTTATCCGAGAACAAAACGTATACGTTTTATTGAAGTCAAACTAGAATACAAGAATTAGATATCTGATATACACCCCTACCCGCACACACTGAATTCACGTATGTAGTGGAACAATGCTAACGGAAGCTCAGCTTCCACAATCAACAATATCCTGCACAGCAAGAAGTAACATGAACTTGCAGTATTTACAGTACAAACCTTAATGAATAAAAGGGATAAATATGTTTTCTAAATTTATTCACAGTTTATGAAGATATTGTTTATAAATAAGTTTCTGGAAATCCATTTTCATGATTCATTTACAACCTACAAGGTCAGGCATGGTGCTTATTTTAAATATTAAAGTTATTGTAATGTGAATGATTTTGTGTGTAGATGATTAAAGCATGCAACAAAGGATTATTTAACAATTTAACCAGTGAAACGTTACAGATAAGACATCTGTAGAATATCATCGTTAATTTGTAAATGCACTTTGTGAAAAACCATGCGAAGAATATTCTGGATACAGAAGAATCAGATTTCACAGATCACAACCTTATAAATGGGTTAGTGTTTTGTTTTCTAAATAAAACACAGCTTATTGGTATGTTTATGACTGGTAGATATCATCACTTGCTTAAAGAGTAAAAGAAAAAGAAAACTTCTCAAGTAGGCTTAAAGTTCACTTAAAACTTAAACAGTTAAAAGGTAAGGGCAGTTTAGTTATTGTTACTCTTGGTTTATTTTTGTTACAGTTATATTTAGTTGATAATTTCAGATCATAACAGTAGTTTTTGTTCAGGGTAATAAAATAAATAACACATAGGTTTGTGAGTAACAGTAAAAATATCATCCCTCGTAAAAATACTGTTACTCTCAGCTACGCCTCGGGTAACAGTATTTTCCTCGGGATGATATTTTTACTGTTACCCGCACACCCATGTGTTATTTATATAATATACCGGTACCCATTGCTGACTGATGAAAAGCCATCTAATTAAACAATAAAACTGTTACATTCTAATCTATTTATTTCTCAAACACATTTGATAAGAAAAAAATATTTATTACTCTGCAGTGATAATATACCCAATACATCTACGTTTCAAATTATCACACAAACCATTCTAAAAGCAGTATGAGAGACTACAATGTATTAATCCACTAACTCACAATTGAACCTTTATCAAAATTCTATGAAAATGAATAACATACATATATACATTTTCTAAACCATTAAACTTACATTACAACTTACGCACTTGAAGTGCACTATATATAGAATTACGTTATAAAGGTGTAAAACAATGACTCTATCTATTTAAGTTTGTCTAGTGGTCACATGGAATAATATAATTATAATCTGATTTATCACGTGTTGCTACAAATTTAAACTATTTTGTTGCAAAATTACCGCCATACAAAATACTGCAATTTTTATTATGAAAGATTTATGTTATAGTCAACCACATTCTTGTCTATTATTCCTCCCCGTCCGCGCTCTGTATCTGTGTCCTCGCTTGCTTTTTGTTCGGTGCCCAGCTAGGTGCTGGTGAGATTTTCGCTCTATCCTTGTATGGTTTGCTTTGTATAATCAGACATATCCGTAAAATGGATATTAAGATTACAACAGTGATATTTATGTTATATGTATTGTTTTCTTTTATCAAATAAATAATCTAATACCCTAGTCGTCATTGAAACTGGCCCCGTGTTCACAAAGATTTAAGGATCAGGATCAAGATCAGGATCAAATTTAAAAACTCAAATATTCTCCATTATTTATCCTCATAGATTAAATATTCAATATTAACTTGATAAAACTGGCCTTAAAAATAGCATGTTTATGAAATTTTAGAATAAATTTATCGTAATTTTTACAAGAAATAGGCATTTTACAGTTGATCCAAATTTTGATCTTGATCTTAAAATTGATCCTCATTTTGATCCGTTTGTTTTTGTTTTGTTATTAGTTATTTTTTATCCCAAAATAGGTTGGTTTCTTTGCAAATAAGCAATTATTTACAATAAGAATATGCACCATTGAATTCTAGCATAATACAATCAATTTTAGTTTTATAAAACAATGGAAATAAAATCAGGATCACCTGATCCTGAACACGGGACCTGGTGATTGGCGAATAAAAAAGACACAAAAATTCTATTCACATTAAAAACCTTGCAGTAAAATTTTCTCGGTGTGACCACCAAGGTCAATGTCTATATTATATGCATCTTTTATCATTTTCTCAGAATACCTTGCAGCTTCTTGTAGTCGTAATAGTTTTTCTTTTGGATAAACGGTTCGTAAAAGTTCTATATGTTTCTTTTCGTTTGTCAAACGATGAAAATTTCCCTCCTGAAGTTTGACTGTGCATTCTATATCTCTATCAGAGATATTTAAATCGAAGAAGGACGCAAGTTTTTTCAGCTCACTAGACATGTTTGTTTGAAGTGTTTCATACTGAATAACGTGCACTGGTCCTTTGAATACCTTTATTGTGCTTCTTGTCAGATCAACATACCAATGCAGCGAGTGCTCGAACGACGCATTGCTTGCTGCAAGAAAAAACAACAAATGTTCTGAAATAAAGAGACATCCGTATGGATAATATGTTTCTGCACCACGTTTTATGGCCATATATATTTCAATAAGTAGCAGATGTGTAAACAATATTTTTTTCCGCGAAAAACGAACATTTATTGATTAAGCTATCGTGCTAAGGACTGATAACTGAAGAGGACGAGTGCAATCGTTTTAATACGAATTAAATATTTATAGTGCCTTTGTAGTTTTCACTATTTAGTTAATTGTTTTAAACATTGAACAATTCTAGCAATAATGAATTCTGTAATGCATCAGTATTTAATCTGATTAATAGTATTATTCTAAAAATATAATACTAGTATTTGGAGTTTGTTACTTTAATTAACTGGTGTATATAATATATGTAGTATTTTGAAAAAAAGTTGTTATTTTTTAAATTTTATTTTCGTGTTCTAATTTTATTTGAGATTTTGTGTATGTGTGTGTTTTTTTTAATTTTCATAGTGTTACATTTGCTTTTGAATCTGTTATATATTTTTTACTTATACTAGACGCAGAGTTATATACTCGTAAGTCTCTATACTAGAAGTGTTTCCAATTAAAATCTAAATTACATTGTACTTATTTGTGCGGGCATTAAAGTTTGTTTGTTTTGTTCTTAGATACGCTTACATTCTTTAGAATTTGGTGAACTAAGGTTGTAAAACTCCAGGAATCTTAAATTTTAACTTCAGCTGGCCGAAAGATTTAAATTGATTTGTTTCAGTATTTTAGATATGTTTCATTTGATTTATACTTTTCCATTTTTGCAACGATTTGATAAATATTTGGACACAACATGTTGAACAACAAGAAGTAAGTATGATCTTGAATCCGTAATGACCTTAACCCTCAATGTCATATTTTGAAAATAATTGTTGAGCATTTAGCTATTTCAACTTATTGCAAACAGTAGTCGGTTTGAGTGATCCGATTTTCCATTGCGCACATATTCAAATAAAATCATGATTAAGGACCTAATCATCATATTATGACTATCAACCAACAAAGCATTAAAAGCCCCCCCCCCCAAACTTGCAGTTGCTCTTGCTAAATGATGTTGATTCGTCATTGAATTAAATGTCGTTTGAAGAAGTTTATTCTTGAATTGTATATTGATTTTACATATTTTTTCTTCTTTCAAAATGTCTGCCTGAATGGTCAAAATATGACCTTGTATATTTAAACGTTTTATTAGTTTTCTTTCAGCATTTTGTTCTAGGTTTTTAAGTATTGCAATATCCCTTTCACAATTGCCTTTTTAAAAACCTTTTTAGCTCACCTGAGAACAATGTCCTCAAGGTGAGCTTTTGTAATGGTCCATTGTCCGTCGTCCGTGCGTGCTTTAACAATTTCTTTTAACAACTTCTCCTCCTAAACCACTTGGCCAAATTTGTTGAAACTTTGCAGAGATGCTCCTGGCATAGATCTACCAAAGTTGTTTAAATAATTAAATTCCATAAAGAATTCTAAAAAATCTTCTTGTAAAAACCGAAAGAGCTAGAACTTAGATATTTGGCATGAAACATCTTCTAGTAGATTTCTACAAGTTTGTTCAAATAAATGCCCTAGGGTCAAAATTTGCCCAAGGGGTCATTGATTTTCCTTAAATGTATATAGTAAAAACTTAAAATATCTTCTTGTGACAATCCAAATTCACTTTAGATTAGATATTTGGCATGGAACATCTTCTATTGGATGTCTACCAAGTTTGTTCAAGTAAATGCCCTAGGGTCAAAATTTGCCCCAGGGGTCATTGATTTTCCTAATGAATTTGTATATAGTCAAAACTAAAAAAAAATCTTCTAGAGATAGAGCTTAGATATTTGGCATGAAACATCTTCTATTGGATGTCTCACAAGCGTGTACAAATAAAAGTCATAGGGTCAAAATTGGCACCGCCCCAGGGGGTCATTGATTTTCCTTATATATACATGTATATTGTATAAACTTAAAACATTATCTTATGAAAATCCAAAAGAGCTAGAGCTTACGTATTTGGCATAAGACATCTTATAGTGGATGTCTACCAAGATTGTTCAAATAAAAGCCATAGGGTCAAAATTTGTCCCGGCCCCAGAGGTCATTGATTTTCCTTATATGTATAGAGTAAAAACTTAAAAAATCTTCTTGTGAAAATCCAAAAGAGGTAGAGCTTAGATATTGGCATGAAACATGTTCTAGTGTATGTCTACTATGTTTGTTGAAATGTAACCCCCAGGGTCAAAATTGGCCTCGTCCCAGGAAATCGAGGTCGACAGTTTAATCCCCAGCCAGGTCAAATGTTTGTTTTCCTTCTCTTTTTCTGTCATCCTTTTATTAGCTCACCTCTCATTAAGTGACAGGCTGAACTTCTCACTTAGTGACAGGCTAAACTAAAATGGCTGCCAGAGCTTAGATTAGAGAAAAAAAAACACATCTAAACGACTGGTTCAGTTTTGAAATAATTTTTCACAAAAATGTCCTTGGTGACAGTGTACACAGATTTTTCAGACTAAGCTGGCCTTTGTTTTCAAATTGTGCTTCTGGGGTGAAAACGGACTCCTCTTTGACTTTTGGACCTATTTCTCAGGTGAGCGATCCAGGGTCCTCTATGCCATCTTGTTTTTTTTCTTGTGATAACACCATTTCATTTTACAGTAAAATATCCAGATCAGTAGTCTGATCAGGATCCATGCTGTTCGCTTTCAGTTTCTCTACTTGTAATAGGGTATGTAAGCGAACAGCATGGATCCTGATCAGACTGCGCGGATGCGCAGCCTGGTCTGGATCCATGCTGGTCGCAAACGTACTATGTTGGTTTTGTCATGACGCGGCTCAAATATTGTAATCAAAATAAGTTTCAATAGCGGACCGAAAATAATCTAATTAATGAAAATGTTTCACATATGTTTAATGAACAAAATTCGGAAATGTCAGTTACTAGAATATAAAGAAAGGTTCTTGTATTTGCATCAATTAGTCTTTTGTTATTATACGTAATAGGTAATACAAGTTACTACTTGAAAATTAATTTCTGAAAAATAATTTTGTTTCTTGATGAATATTACCTTTAATCAAAACTTTTTCCTGTGGATGACCCGTGTGTCCAGCCTTTAAAAAGTTTGCAAAAGAAAGAAGGGCGTCATATGGATTTCTTAGAAGCAAAACTATCTTTGTGAACATTTTAAAGTGCCTTGCTTCATGGGTTTTTACAACCACGACTTTTGTCTTGTCATGTTGACATTCATGCGGAAAACCTCGCACTTTGAGACTTCCATCACAATACACACTGGATGTACCAAGTCCTGTAATTCAAATTCTAAAGTGTTTTTAGAAATGTATTAAATAAACTGAATAAACATGTCTTTGTTCACAAGATATATTTTATTGCGTTCAATAAACTAATGAAAGTTTCATTTAAGTATTGAATAAAAAAACTGATAATCGATTTAGTCTATTTACAATTAAAGGGTTTCCAATATCAATCGTGTGGTATCGAAGGACCAGCAGCAACGTAACAATACAGATACAATTTCTTACTTGATGCGGAGGTCATGCATTAAAATATGACCATAATATCTTGATTTTCACGTTAATGAATGTTTACACCAATATATTTAACGAATACATTTATTATATTTCTAGAAGATAGGTTCTTACCACATTGAAGGAAATTTATAGACGTTATTATACATATAAGACTAATTTTCTATGTAGTATAATATATATGAATATAAGACGAATATAGGGAGTTGAGCTGTATAAAGATATTCATAGATCCCTCTGCATCACATATAGTTAATGTAATAAATTGATCGTCTTGGATTCAATCAATAAAGTAGTCATCTTCCCATTAGTTTCGTTACAAAATTAATTTTTACTCAGGAGATTAAAGTTTTAAATTATTGCTACATATTGAGATAATTAACATCGATTTTACTCCGTTCAAATTTACATGAAAGATTTCTCGTCTGACAAACACTTATTTCAATTATTAAACCGCCATATTTTATACCTGTCATTTGCTGTATCAGATGCCTAGTCCATGTGTTTCCAGATCCTGGAAAGCTGACGAGTCCCGTAACAGGTAACTGTCTTTGAGATAATGAAACTTCTTTCTTTGTGCAATTTTCAGCTCCCAATGTACTGTCTTTTATACGTGTAGTACTTGAGTTTTGTAACTTTGCCCGAAACTTAACATTCCCGTTATTTAATTTTGTATCTGTTAACTCTGACATGTTTGTCTTTCCTGTATAGGAAAGCATTTTCTTGTACACAACGTCTATATCTGAAATATTTTTTGTTTTCGTTGAGATATCTGAAATTGATGTATTTGCTTCTTTTGATGGTTGATTTACAATAAGCTTGAACAATTCTGATTTAAATATACTGTTTTCACTGTCTCCGAAATAGTTTGTATTAAAACATATGAAAATACTTAATATCAAAAACAAAACAACACCTAATTTGAAATTTCGTGTCGACTTTAAAATCATCATAACAATTTAATCCTTTTTGAATTTTTCGAATAAAAACACAGAAAATTCAAGTAAGACTTCGAAAAAGGCGGAGAAATTTATGACTTAAAGATCCGCGACCCAGTGAAGAAATATTTATATCTTACAATTATCCAACTGTTTACATTGATAGAATGTTCGCAATGGGACGTACGTTTGCTCAGAGCTATGCCCTATTGAATATGTTTAACAGTGGAACATTCAATGTTGTATTGGGTGAAAAACATTGTACCTTTGCTACATTGTTATGTTTATATTATTATTGAACTTTTATGTTTACTGCAGAAAAAATGATATTGAAAAGCCAGGGCAGTCAATCATGAATTCTTATTTTGTAGCAAAAATATAAACTGATATTTAATCGAGAGGACACTATGAGCAACAAATAGACAATAAAAGCAAGCAAAATAATATAATTATACAGGTGCCGTGTCATATGCAATGGAATTAAAAAACGATAATAGCCGTTAGAATGTTCAACGTGACAGTCCTATTGTTTTAGTGGAACTTAAAGTTCTATAACTGTCGCTATTTACTGACTATTGCCGTCCACAATCAGGCTCAAGCAAACCTGGGACATCATGTATTATGCACTGTTCCAGACCAAACAGGCACTGATACATTTTATTATAATAGGATTTTTTTTATTATTATATTTGAATATTTGATTTTAAATAAATGTAACAATGAACTATTGATCACTGTTGTAACATTTTAATCGCAGTTTATAATTAAAAAAAATATTACAATGACTGTTAAGTATTAAAAAATGTAGATTCTGTACACAACAATTAAATCATGTCACGCTCGGGTATCCATGAACACCATCGTATGAACACATCTGCAGATGTTTCCAAATTTAAAGTAAACATCATTAATTTCCTATTTAAATGTCGAATAATGCCGGTGCTGGGGTGGGGGCGTGGACGTTAGCTTACACTTTCCACTTCCATTTACAAACAGGCTCAATCAAACCGAGCTCGCAACATTTTTTCTTCTTCACTACATCGGCTTTACCCCATAAAATGGCTTTAATCACATTTAAACATTCTCTGTCACCAGAAGTTAAGTAAATACTTAAAATCAAAATTATACAGTATAATATGCATTGTACGTTGTACTTATAAGAGCCGACAAAAAGCCAAAATCACCCTCAAAACGGTGGTCAAGCCATCATTTTCACGAATGATTTTGAAAAGTAAGCAATTTCGTCGAAATAATCTTGATGAGGGATACAGAGTAATGTCTTTGCATCCGTATGCGGCTATTCCTTTTTTCAGATCGGTTATTTTCACATTCTGGCGTTACTGGATATACACGGTGGGTTTAGATACAGCGTTTTACGCCCGAAAAAATACCAGCGTACCAGCATCTATACGTCTGCGTCTGTCGGTAGTTTACATGTCCGGTCTGTTTCTTTTGAACCGAAGGAAGAATTTAGGCGACGTACAAAGCGCGGGTTTGACCGTCCTCATGTCACACTTAGACATTTTGTATCAATTTTAAATTTCATGTCCGCTCAGCATCCCTCGAACCAATAGAAACAAATTAAAAGATTATTGCTGAAACATTATTTACAATAAGACATGAGCTTAGATATTTAGCATGTAGCACTGTTATAAATGCCTTATTGACCTATACAAAACCGATACGAATCATACCCCTTGGAATAATACTGACCCGCCCCACGTGTCACTTGATTTATATAGATTTATATGGGAAAATATCTCTGAGACTTATTGTATGAAATACGAGGCCAATAGCTTAGATATTTAGCATATACCATCACTTTGTAGACCACAAAATAACTGGTATTGGTCAATATTGGCTACGCCCCGGGGTGTCGCTTAGATAATATAGATTTGTATATAGGAAACATATTTAAGCTTTATTTTGGTGAAACTACAATGGTTAGTGCTAAGATATTTGGCATGTAGCACTGCCATGTTGGTCTCTAAAACATTGGTATTATTCATGCCCCCCCCCCCCCGGGTCAATAATGGCCACGCCTTTTTGGTGCTGTTATATGTAATTTAACACTATGGATTACTGTGAATGAAATATTAGAATATCCGATTAATATAAGTAATGAAAAGCAACAATATTATTAATGTATAAAATCTATATGCTTTGCCGACTAGCGGAAGTTAAGATATAAATATATAATGCAATTACATGTATATCTGTTTCCTGTCGAGATGTCACCAGGTACACAATGACTGTCGGCGCAAACACTCTGGAAAAAGGGAGAACCTTCGAGACCAATGTCTTTGTCATTGTATCTTCAGTAATGACCAATATCTTCATGAGACGAAGAATTATAACCATATACAAGATATTTTCTTCCATTTTGTTAAAACACCATTCTTTTCCTGTGTGATTTATCTATTACTATTTACAATTTTCATAGCAATATGTTTTCAGATACCGACTCATATCATTATTTCACCGATAGACTGCCAAAGTTTTTGAAGATATTTTACTCTTACGCTTAGCTAGTATTATTTCACACCTCATAAAATATAACAAACTTCAGCATTTGAACAACGTGATGCTCCAATAGAAATCATTATTTGATTCAATTTTATCAGTTTAGCCTCATATTCATTTCCAGAGTCCAAAAAGTCCATATCGAATCCATATCACATCCCATATATAGCCACGTTTTCATTTCTAGAGTCCGAAATCCTTACCTAATCTTTATTGTTATTGAAGTATCAAAGTTCTGCCAAAATGTCAAAAATGTAGGTGTGAAATAAACAGGCCATTAAACATAGTTGAGAACAATACTGATTCTATTAGACTCATACACACCTGCAAAACCTATATCAGACTCGACTAGCAACTCGTCCATAATATTTTCGACAACTATGTACTCGTCCATTAATACCAAAATATACATGTATAATATTGTTTAATAACCTCATACTCGTATTATCGTACAGATATCAGTCCACAATCGTATAATTTATTTTTATATCCTAAATTCTACCATGATCTAGGTATAGGTCTTTTACACACGTATTTAGTTACAGCAGGTTATCATGTATTTCTTAACTCATGAATAATCAAGATTTCACGTACATGTAGATATCAACTGATTCTCACATTCAGACTTAATTGATTCTACTTCGTTCAGAAACAACAGAATACAATCAGACATCTACTCCTCCAATATAATCATATATATTCGCTATATACGGCTATTAAAATCACCACAAATTACAAATTTACCGATATTTTAATTACACACACATACCCGATATACCTAAAAAGTAAGAAATCCTCTTTTGTTATTTGAAAACAAATACATTTAAACAGTCTAATACTATAGTCGTTATTTAAACTGGTTAAAAAATTATTGTCAAGATCTAAGATTTTTCAAGATTTCAAGATTTTAAGATATTATACACAATAAAAGTAAATATGAGGTAGATAACAAATTTTACAACAACAAATTGACTAGGTTTATAGCATATAACTCACGTATGTCATCTTACAATTTTCTAATTACAGAGACAGGAAAAAAATAAAACATTCCTACAAAATGAAACGAATTATTTCAAAAATAATTATCAAAATTTAGCATAATGTTTTAGTCAATACTTTTCTAAGATTATTTGAAAATAAACATCCAAAGTTTTGTTACATATACCGGTATATCACATAGTACAGGTCAGTTTTATTAGTTTTTAAACTATATTTTAATGGGATTTCCATACAGAATTCATTCTAATAGAAAATGAAATTCTCGCCTAAAGAGTGCATTTTCTCTTTTTAAGGTTACCCATTACCAATTTCTAGTTTCAACCGGCAGTTTCTAAATTTGATAATATATTGTAAATATTTGTTTAGTGACTAAGATATTTTTCAGTTTCAATTTTTTTTTCAAATTGCAATAACATTTACAATTAGATGTATTTTCTGAGTCTGAGTACCATTGATTTATGAATATATCAGACAATTTTTTTTAAACTGCTTTAACCAGCCAATTCAAGTTAAGGACATTCATGACTCATCCAAATACTAAATATTAGCTATCCCGCATTCTATATCCTTGATGCAAGGCATCCATTTAAAATTGAGTTCCTATATCCAAAATTGCTCAATGAAACTGCATAGATTTCAGTTGTAAGCTTTTTGTAATTTGTAACAATTAGTTTTGCCCAAAATGAAACATCATCCTTGATTTGGAATCAGTTTCATTATATACAATAATATTATTTAAAAAAGTATTTTTCTTTAGGCATAAAACATGTTTTAAATTTTAAGTTGCACTCTTTCAATAATGTGCAATAATTTACCAAACCTCCAAATTTCACAGCCATATTAAAGTTTAAATATTTGCCGAATAACAAAGACATAGACAACATAAAATCTCTATTCACATTAGAAACCTTGCAGTAAAATTTTCTCAGTGTGACCACCCAGGTCAATACTTAAATTATATGCATCTTTTATCATTTTCTCAGAATACCTTGCAGCTTCTTGAAGTCGTAATAGTTTTTCTTTTGAATAAACGGCTCGTAGAAGTTTTACATGTTTCTTTTCGTTTGTCAAACGATGAAAATTTCCCTCCTGAAGTTTGACTGTACATTCAATATCTCTATCAGAGATATTTAAATCGAAGAAGGACGCAAGTTTTTTCAGCTCACATGACATATTTGTTTGAAGTGTTTCATACTGAATAACGTGCACTGGTCCTTTGAATGTCTTTATTGTGTTTCTTGTCAGATTGATATACCAACGCAACCAGTGTTCGAACGACGCATTGCTTGCTGGAAGATCAAACCAATACTTTGACATACATGTACATTTATATGAAAAGTAATAATAATGATAAAGATACGTTTGTTTAAACTTTCTACTATAATTGTAGCCGCATGCTAGTATACATTTATTAGATCGGCAGTCTGATTTGTAAAATAGATGCTAAATAAAACCGTATTCAAAAGCGAAACGTACAACATGTAAATATAATAAAGATGTTTCATGTATATTCACAAATGAATACATTTCGGAAATGCCAGATATTAGAATACAAATCTAGATGCATAATACGCTGGTTTGGATATGTAATTTACCTTAAATCAAAACTTTTTTCTGGTGGATGACCCGTGTGTCC